ACGGGCCTGAGAGCCTCAATCATCTTTTTCATTTACACATTTAGACGAAGTGCTCAGAGCCAGGGAAGAAATGAAAAAGTAAAACCCACAGAGGACTCATACTCTGGTGGACTCAGGCCGAGAGGAAAAGGAGTGTGGAGAATTTCATTTCTTTTTCACAAAGGGAGAGAAACTCGACTCTCTCAGGTTGTTTGGAAATCTCCTTTGCTTAAAGTTCCCTCGTTCCTCAGGGTCCGGATGGTATTTACACCCAAAGGACAAAGACTGGCTCGTGGGTCACTGCGGCGCATCAATGAGACGGACTTGAAAATTCAAAACAGCCTTTCATCAGACTGAAAAATGAAATGACCTCTACTACAGAGGAGCGAGATGAGTCACTAATGAGAGAGTTTATGAAATATCATGAATACCTCCTCTCTCACAAGGATACACCGAATAAAAGGTGTACAGGTCAGCTTGTCGTACATGTCTTCTCTGTGGACGTCATCTCCTCACATCAGAAGGTCAGGGGTGAATTCCGCTTGGTGCTCTCAGAGGTCGAAGCTACTATCAGTGTCGTAATTCACTCGGCATTAATGAGAATGATGAAAATGTCAGATTTCCAGATTGGATTGAAGACGGTGCGGCTCAGTTATCATCCTGGTTTCTGTTCTTACAGCATTTCTAACCTGCTTTCTGTTTGTTTCTTCATGGAGTGGAGGGGGAAAAAAAGAGCCTCCAGAGACTCCTGACAGAGAGATGAACCCTCGGCTCCGTGAGTGAGATACAAAGACGGAAAAAAGAGTGAATGAGGCGTAAACACAGAGCCGAGAGTGACGACAGACAGAGGGATGACGTACGCGGAGAAAATAAAGAAATAGTGGATTCAAACCTCCAGCCTGTTCAATATTAACATGCCCATGAGTGTGTTCACAGTCTTTTGTTAGAGTCGTTCACAGCAGAACATAAATATTAGACTTCCTCCTCCTCCTCTTCTTCTTTCCTGCTGTGGTTCATTTTCATAATCCCTTCTGTTTACCTTCTGCACCTCCCTCATCCCCATCCTCCGTATGTCGTCTCCTCCTCACACCCCTCTGATGAACCCTGTCGCTCCATCGTTCCTCCTCCCCCTCTTCTTCTAAAACGTCCTTGGGTGTGATTAAAGGTTTCGATGTTTGAGTTTAAGGTGAAGGAGAAAAAAGGAGGAACGTTTTGACCTTTCAGAAAGTTTACACAAATCTGTGCTGACCTTTTTCCTGCCGGAGGAAGTGAAGTTTCTGATCCATTACAAACTCGACAGGCCCTGCTGACTCAGCAGATTTCTCACTGAGGGCGCTAATGAGGCGGCACGAGCTCGAATAAACACATTACAAACACAGAAAGTCAATCAGAGTTTCAGTTTAATTGTGTTTGGTGAAGCGGGAAATAGTCATGTCAAGAATCTGCTGCTCCACGCCGACACTGCCATGACTGACACAGCGGGAAACTCCTCCTGTGATTGCTTTATTCAAGAGTCAGTAACTGAGATTCAAACACTCTGAAAACTATTATTCAAGTACTTACTTGGACTTTTACCAGCATCCGTCCTCTCAGAGCTCCTGCTCCTAACCCGCCAAGACAAAGGCCTGATCCTAACCTGACACCAGCTACAGTTTTAAAACAATATCTGAGCTTCACTTCCATTCAACACCAAAAACAGTCCCATACGAACTCAGAACCAGCACCTGAACCAAACCCAAACCTGATCATAAGAACCGATACCATCCTGAACAAAAACACCAAAGAGGGGTCAGCTGACCTGGATCTGCAGACCATTACAGCTACAGGCAAATATACCAGGGGTACAGAGGGACGACCAGAGCCAGCAAAAACCACCTATTGAGGTACTGTCAGACCATCTCCTAAAATAAGGTACTGCTGAAGGCGCTGGTAGATCACCACCATGGGGGGAGGAACCATCATAGACACTGGCACACCATTGCAGTGGGAACCAGTACCATGTGGAACTTAGTCCCACAGCAGGAGCTGACAGACCAATGCCACTGTAAGCACTGGCACAGAAGGAAGAACTGTTCCATACACTGGTAGACCTTTACCGCTACAGGTCTATGTAAGAAACAAGGCAGACATTTCCATTCAAACCTGGGGAGGAAGTCCCAGTACAGGCACTGGTGGACCACTGGCATCTGGCGAAGTACCGTTCAGGCACTGGTGGACCATCACCAGTGGAAGAGGTCTTCCTTGCAGACCATGATGAACTTTTAAATACTTACCGTAACACAAACTCATTGTTTTAACTCAAAATACCAGTGGTTTCCCAAACTACCATGCATGCACTGGAGGATTATCTCAACAATCAATTTGTCAGCTTTGGGCCTGCCGACCAAAACAGAAGGAGAAGGCGCAAGAGATTGACCCTAAGACCAAACAAGAACAAATGTTTGTACTGGTTAGTCATCAGATCAGGCTAAAATGACCTAATCTGATTGGAAGTATGATGGTCGAATACAACATCATCGTTTTTATCCAGACCATGGTTTTCTATCAGATATGGGCCATTATGAGCCCCAGTGCAGCCGTTCTCTTCACAACTACCACAGTTAAACTGAGCTCCTGTACCAGCAGCAAGAAAGATTGTAAACACAACATGGTGAAAATAGACGCTTGTCAAAAGAGAAATACAATGAAGCAGTGAGACAGGGACTTAACCGAGCACAATGTAAACCCAAGAAGACGGGGCTTTGACAGAAGGGATGCGTGGGATGAAAATCTCCTCAATTTAGTGAAGTACAATCCCACAGAGAGGCGGTTTAATGAGGCGGAAACCTCAGGGTGGATCTGGGATTGATTCCAGTTCAGTGCGTTCCTTTTGAAACCCTCACAGGAAATTTAAATGATAAAGCAGACCACTTCTGTTCTCCCATAAAGACGGTGTTTACAAGCAGAACCGCACAAAACCCAGACTCATCCTCAGATTGGACTTCTTTGTGAGAGCTGTAACCGGGCCTTATCTCCAATCGTCATTGATGGATCAGGCCACAGAGATGTGTCCCCACCAGAAAGGTTCAACCTCTGGCGCAGAGAGTGGGGGGTGTTGGAATAGAGGATTAACACCCGAGGTCAACAGCAGATGTAAGAACGGGTTCAAGAGAGAGAGAGAGAGAGAGACTTTAGTGGAGGTGTCATCCTTAGAGCTGGGGGAGCTCTGCTTCCACTGAGAGATAAGTGAGCGCACACACACGTCTCAGAGCAACTTCTGGAATCAATTCAAACACACATCTCTGCTCACCATCACACACTCAATTACTTGTGGTCTATCTCTGTAAACACACACACCAGAAAAGTCCTGCACTCCAGCATCCACGCCGGCGCCCAGGATATAATCTTATGATGGATGAAAGCGCCTCTCTGTTTCATTAACCCTCACACAAACACAAACAAACAGATTCCCAGAACCAACAAACACTCGGACCTTTTAGCTCTCCTTATCCAAATCAATACTAAGATCCATTTTCAGCTGTTGTGGGGTTAATCAGCAGTAATAAGAGGAGGAGTGTCTGCTGAGGAACAAGTGCAGGGATGTTTGTGCAGAGACGACAGATGAAATGTTGAAACTCTCATTTTTAATCTGGTCTGTGAAAAGTAGAGGGTTTGTTCTCAGCTCCCGGTCCAGATCCAGCTTCCCTGACAGTCTGGGGATCATCAGAGTCCATGTCATCTGTGAAGGCTCCATTAATGCTGAACAATATCTCCATCTGCTGTCATCCAGGCCAAGACTTTTTCAGGGAGGACCCTGGATTTGTCAAACCCCATCCTGCCATATTCTGCAGAGGACCGTGACGTTTTTGGACGGACTCCAGTTCCCTTTTTTGGTGGGGGACCATGGTTCACTTTCCGGACTCTGGTGTGGGGGTTCAGCGATCTACAGCTTTTAGTCCAGGCATCCTTTTCTGTGCATTGTTGTTTACAGTTCAGCTAACGCGAGAAGAAATGTGCATGAAGAGAAAGATCTCGTTGCAGAAAACACTTCTTTCTCGGTCTATGAACCGCCTCGGATCAGAACCTTTGACCTGTTTCTGGTGGGTCTAAATAGAAGGTTACACAGAGGCCCCCCTCTCTTACACCAGGTCTGATCCAGAGGAGAAAACTGGTTTTAAAAGGTTTGTTTGGTGAATGGAGGTCATGGAAGTCTGTAAATCTGAACTCTGATTGTCTGATGTAGATGTTCGATCTAGACTCTTAGCTGACCCCCATGCAGATTTCTCTTAACACAGAGTTATTGCTCAACGTGCAGCACAGACTGTGTTCCCAAACCTGCTGATTCCTGATTCTACAGATCTCACCTGCTCCTGTTAAATATCTGAACATCTACTTGGACCACATCCACCAATCCGGCGCTTTGAAAACCTTCCTGGGAATAATTGATCTAAATTATGATAATGCTGAGAACATTTTCATGGATTTCTGCCTCTCAGGAGCGGGTTTTCAGTTTACAGCCTTCAGGTGTGTATCGATCGAGTCGAGGTGTGAATGATTTCTGTGTGTGTGGAGAGAGAATGATCAGAAGTGTTCCAGGAGACTGGGTCTACAGCACACCTGGTACCTTCAGAGTGTTTCCTGCTGATATGAGCCGCCTGGTCACGTAGGTACAGATTTCTATCGATCTACCTGAACCATCGCCCACTGGAACATTTTGTAAGTTACAGGCAGGAATAAGACGACAACCTTCACAGCAGGTCTGGGAGGACTGGCTGGTCTGAATCTGAGTGTTCGATAAATACGGTCCCATGAAAGTTCAGATTTCTTTTCCCTTTAGGTTGGATTTTCTGATCGTTGATTTGAATAAATAGGTTTTAGGGGTAATTTGGAGCAGTAAACTGATTCTAAATAAGAGATTAAAAACAGATTACAGATTATTACAATGTTCTGCTGTTGGGGTTTGAGTATGCTTGGTGAAAAATACAAATAAAACCTTTTTCCTTTTTCTCTATGTGAACAAAAACAAGCGACAAACTGTCAGCCTTAGCACAAACTTCAGAACTTTAAATACAACACTGAAATACAAAAGATCCTAAAATATTCACAAACCAGAGATAAAACTTTTCGAACACAAAACACTCATCATAACATAACAAACATAACGAATCATAACAAAAACAGTCCTGCCTGTCCTCCTCTGAGACGCTCCAGGACAGAGATCCTCCTGCAGAAACAGAGAGAGTCTTTAAATCACAGAGACCAGCCCTGATGACCCGGGTTACTCACTTCGAAAACAAAAGGATTTAAGTAAAAAAAGGCACTATGGTAGTTAAGGACCCCAGAAAAAGCCTGCACTTTGAGTTTAGTAGATGATTAGTGTTTGACACTGATTTTAAACATTCAACATTCAATTCTTTTAATTCCTGTTTTCGTGGGTTTTATGAGCCTGAAGCCCAAATTACGTAAAAATAAACAAATAAATACTTGAAATCTTTGAAATTGTCGGCCCTGAAGATATAGAACCCATGAAAGTTTAACTCTTTGGATGGAATTATGGAAATAAATAGACTTTCCAATGATCTTCTGATTTTTCGGAAAGTGTCTTCCACTCTCAGAGGATGTCTGACCGCTATTCTGGACTTTTCTGGACTCAAAGGTCGACACCTGCTGCTCCTTTTAAAGATGAAGGTTTCACACACAGATCCCAGTTTTAGACAAACATGGAGAGTCTCACCGTCAGTAGAAAGGGGACGGGGTGCTGAAGTAGAGCCTCTGGGAGGAAGGGGGGGTGGGCAGGGACAGAGAGGGGATGGAGGAGAAGGGGAAAGGGGCCTGAGGGGGAGGAGGAGGAGGAGGAAGAGGAGGAGGAGAGTAGGGGGAGAAGGCTCTGCCGCCGCAGGCAAGTAACTCCGGACTGGAGGCCGCCGAGGGGATAGAGAGCGGGGGTGAGAGGCTGCTGGGAGAGTCGCCGAGCGCTCCATTCAGGATGGATGAGTCTGCAGGAGAGGAAGAGAAGAGGAGGAGGAGTCAGAGAGGAGGAGGAGGAGGAGTCAGAACTTCAGGCAGCAGGTTCTCCTCTGAGAAACCACAAACAGCTTCTCAGGAGAGTCAAAGTCTGTCCAAGACTCAGACTCAGGTCTCATCACATCTTCACTTTGGTCAGTGGGAAACCTGAACCGACAGAATCAGAACCAGGAACCAAAGTGGACCGGACAGGTGAGAGTGGGACTTTCACTCAGACAGAACAGGCTTTTCCTCTTCCTCCTCCTTCATAAAAAATCAGCAAACTGATGAAGAGGAGATGTTTGACGAGGATCGAGGCCGTGAGGAGGAGAAATCAGAGTTATTTTTATTATTCAGGTTTAGGGGCTGAGCTCAATCACTGACAGTCATCTTCGTTTGTCTCTGGAGCTTTGAGCGGTATGAAAAATTGATGTGGTGTAAGAGAGTCTGATTAAATGGCAGTCCAGCTTCCCCTTTATGCTTTTAAAGTGACGTGTCCTGTCCAAAACCCTCCTCTTTATCCAATCCAGTCCAGTCCAGCTGGTGGTAGGACCAGGAGTGACACAAACCTGCCTCCTGGAAGTTCAAACTCTAACTCTGCTGTTGGCTGAATGGACGGTTGACTCGCTGCCACGTTTAGCCTCCAAACCCCAGGAGACACATTTAAGCAAATCCACTTCTGCTCTATTTTCAGGACGGACCAGCTGTGATTGAAAAAGGCAGGATGGAGGAGAGTTCAGCTGTACCTCCAGGATTCATGAAAATCTGTGTAATTCAGGACTCTGCTCAATCTGGACTTTATAAAGGTCTATAAAAGGAGGAGGACATGTGTCTCCTGTGGAGGTTTAATTCTCTTTCTCTGCAGGTTGTTCGCGTTAAAGAGACAAAGGAGTGACACTGAGGATGTAAATAAATGATGACTGTAGCTGGAGAGCAGCTGGAGACGTCCGAACTCACTGTGGTGTCGACAGAATCAGCTTGAAGTAAAATCCACTCTCTCCGTGAGACCAGCAGAAGCTTACAGCCATAAACTCTGAAAGTTTCTATGACATCCAGAGGCTTCTCGATCCCACAGAGCAGTCGGAAAAAGGTAGATTGCCTTCTCCACATTGTCTTCTCACTCTCCATAACCGGGAATAACAACAGCAGCGCGGTTAAATCTCCTCGACACCCTCACTGTCAACGTCGGTGTTGAATAAGGGACCGTCAATAAATTACCAGTTGATGTTCTCAGAAAAGGCTGTTTTCCTTCAATAGCTTCACTGTCATGTGACCGAAAGACCTAAAATTGATTTCTAATAATAGTAATAAGGTCGATCAATAAGACAAACATTATTTGATCAATTTTCATTGTTCCTTTAAAGTTCTTTGTGCTCCTTACTTTTCAACTTAGGAGAACATGTGAAATAAGTTAGTGTCACGCCCTGCGGACCCTCAAAAACGTGTGTGTGTTAATGTGTGTGTAGAGTACCTAGGTTCCACAGTGTGGTCTGAGCAGCCAGCTCTTTGGCGTCGTCCAGCAGCAGACACAGCTTGTCTGGCATGTAGGTGCTGCGCGTGGACGGGATCACCACCTGAACACAGAGAGTCCTCCGTTATATGAACTGCTCCGTCTTTGTCTCGTGTGTGTCTTTGTGTGTCGGTGTGAGTGTGTCGGACCTTGTAGACCAGCAGCAGCCTCCCGTCCTGACCCGGCGTGGAGTACAGGTGGTACTCGGGCGGCGCGCAGAAGTTTTTGCCGCAGCAGAACTCGAGCAGACTGACGGCGGAGGTGATCTGACTCTGTTTGAGTGACAGCAGGCTGGTGGGGGTGAGGGCGGTGCCGGGGCAGAGGGGGAACACACACTTGTCTGCCTCGTCTGAACACACACACACACACACAGGGTGCATCAGAACTCCATAACTCCTCTTCCTCCTCCATCCTTCACTCTTCTCCTCATATCAGCAGGAGGAGCTGCTCCCCACAGTGGTTTCATTAATAATTCATGGTCCATCTGAAGGAGAGTTTAACTTTTTTCATTTTCAGAAGTGTCTGTGGGCGTCAGGAGACTGAAGCTGCAGCAGCAGCTGTGTGTGATTATGAGAGGTGGACCTGATGAATGTGGTTTCATAATGGATGAGACAAAGACGCCAGAAATAGGGGGGGGGGGGGGACTGAGAAAACGGTTCAATCAGACAGAGAGAGAGAGGGAGAGAGAGAGAGAGAGAGGGTGATGATGATACTGACACTATTGATTCATCATTATAACCAATATTATTCTAACTGTTATGATTGAATTATTATAATTATTATTAGTATTATCATCATTATTTATTACTTATTATTTTCAACATCATCATAAACATTTATTATTATTGTTATTATTATTATTATTATTATTATGTTATTATTGTTATTATTATAATAATTTTATCTTTATCATTATTATTATTTTATTATAAATACTTTAATCCTACTTATTATTATTTAATCATTATCATTATTATTAGAAGTATAATAATTATTATTGCTATTATTATTATTATCATAATTAACATTATTTAAAAATGGTTATAGTTATTGTACTAATATTATCATTTTTATCATTATTGTAATATCATTACTATTATTATTATTATTATTATATTATTATTGTAATTATTATCATTATTTTCATTACCATTATTATTGTTTTCATATTTTTGTTATTCGTACCATCATATTTTTTTTATTATTATCAATTATTATATTATTTATTATTGTATTAATATTATTCTCATTATTATTAATATTATTATTATTTCCGTTGTTATTGTTATAATTTTGTGTTTAAATGCGTTGGCAATATTGTTGTATCAATCATGCCATAAAGCTCATTGAAATTGAAAATTTGAGAGAGGCTGTGTTTCATCAGAAGGAGGAGGTGCACCAGAGTTGGCCTTCAGGGTCTGAATCAGGAGTTTTGAAGCTCTGATAGACCAAGTTCTGGTTTTTGAAGGTGGACTTTAGCGGAGAAAGTTTGACCCCTCAGGGATATTTTGGAGGACTGTGTCGACTGTGATAAGAGTTTCCAACACAAACCAACTTTTCCTCAAATATCTTCATGTTCTCAGATGTAGAGACGTTTGATCAGGAGGACAGAGCTGATAGACTTCATGAGGAGCTGTCATGAGAGGAGAACCTTCATGTTTTACAGTTGGGTGGGAAATTAAAATCCAGTCTTTCTGCATGTGGAACTTTTGAGGACAGACGTTCATTAAAAAATAAAACTTTTCTTCAATTGTTTTCAAACTTTGATGGGCTGAGAAAACAAACTAAAAAGTACGAGTAAAAAGAGGTCAGACTGCGTCCTTACCTCCTGCTCTCTTGTAGAAGGAACCTCCCATACGTGGCGGCTGGGCCATCCTGACTGAGGAGCACCTGTCCATCATCGCTCCATTACCCCTGTGCAGGAGGAAAGCCCCGCCCACGCCTCCTCCTCCTCCACACTCGGCACTATTCCCCTGGTAACCCCTCCCACTGCTCCTCCTCCAAGGAACGCCGCCGTCTCTGATGCTGGCCGGTTTGGCCAGCGACACCTCCACGCAGGCTCCGTCGATAAAGGCGCCGTTCATGAGGCTCATGGCGGCGAGGGCGTCATCACGGCAGCGGTAATGAATGAAGGCGTAGTCGGTGAGCTTCTTGACCCGCTCCACAGAGCCCGGGTTGAAACGAGAAAACTCCTGATGGAGCGTTTCCTCGGAGGTGCTAAGCATCAGGTTACGAACCTAAAACATAAAAACGGAGTTAACCCTTCGAACTCCCAGCTGTATTTTGGTATTTTTGGTCAGCTGTCAGTTTATGGAGCAAAAATGATGTAGAATGAATATGACAGTAGATTCAAAACCATCAAAGTCAACCAAAAACTAAAACTAAAACTGATACCAACAGTAGTTTGCTCAAAGAGCTTGGAACTGATCTTTGCAGGAAAATATGAGAGTCAAAGAGCTTGGAACTGATCTTTGCAGGAGAAGATGAGGGTTAAAGAGCTTGGACCTGATCTTTGCAAGAAAATATGAGAGTCAAAGAGCTTGGAACTGATCTTTGCAGGAAAAGATGAGAGTCAAAGAGCTTGGAACTGATCATTGCAGGAAAAGATGAGGGTTAAAGAGCTTGGACCTGATCTTTGCAGGAAAATATGAGAGTCAAAGAGCTTAGAACTGATCTTTGCAGGAAAAGATGAGGGACACAGAGCTTGGACCTGATCAAACAGACATTAAAATAAACCTGCATTTATTTGACTGAGGGAGGACATGGAGTTTGTAAATCTTTAGGATCCGGTTCACTAAGAATATGGACAGAATATGCGACCATGTAATTGGTCGAAAGTTATCAAAACAGTTTGTCAAACCTGGAAGACGTAAGCGGCATTTAGCGATCTTTTTTTAACAACAATCTGATAAATAATCCTGTTTTCACCGGTATATCACTGCGGATTTACCATCAAACGTCTCTGATCGAACACCTGTTTTTGTGGCTGGATTGTAAACCTTGTGGCAGGTGTAGAAATGTCTGGAAACCCTCGATAGATCGCCAAAAGTGTAAGCTTTTGAACACTTATCCTGTAGAGATACGCGGTATAGTTCCTGAGAAACTGTAAACAATATTAATGGTGTCACGTGGGATCGAAGTGTTAATGTTCGTCACACTGTAACAGGAAATGATTTAATGAAACACAGAGATGATCAGATCAGCTGACAAATTCTCTCTAACTCCTGAATTTAATCGGCTCGTCTAAATCAGAGAGGGAAATCTTCCCGTTTATCTGCGAAGGCATAAATCACATAGATTCAAAACAAATGAGGAGTGAGCTGTGAGTTACAGGAGTGAACTCCACCTGCTGACTGCGCTCTCTTTCTCTCTCAGGTGTTTTCAGGTTCGTCTCGGTTGCCCTCAGGTCTGCCCTCTAAGACTCTCTCTAATTGATCCTCAGAGACCTGCAGCTCCTGGCTGCTCTCTCTCACCTCTGATCTGAGTAGAAGATCTCTGAAGTCTCTCCCTAAAATGCTGACTCCTCTCAGTCTGGAGGAACCTGACCTCTGAAACCTTTACAGACTCGGATTTAAAGGTTTTTTAAAGGTTGACCCTGTGGGCCGGAGTTCAAACTCTATAAAAAACTACAGACTCTTCCCGTCCCTGATCCGCCTCTTTGATAAAACAGCAGATCCTCTTCAGTTCTGACTCACGTAAAGGACTCTGACACGCTGCATGACCTCCTCGTCCACTTCCTTCTCCGGCTCGGCCCAGTCCACCTGGATATTGTGACCCCACAGCTGTAAGGCTCCTGAGGAGAAAACAAGACAACGACAACCCTCAGGATCTGGGGGCCCCTTCTCAGGATTTCAGAGTCTCAGACAGGGTTCAGGTCTTCATGGGTTAAAAGAGGTGTTTTCTCACGTGGCTCTATCTTGGACTCGTATCAGTATACAAACGTGCGCGTGCCTAGTATTAGGATCTGTGAGTTATTGTCCATCGCGGGGGAAACACTGTCGGTGCTCAAACTCTTGGACTGAACGATTCAGGAGGACTTTATAACCCCTCGTCTTATTCAGAGCTGCCAACAGTGATCGAAATGTTGATTTAAAATTCTTTTACGAAAGCTGCTGGTTGGATATTCTCTCACAGCGTTGAAAGGGTGTGAAGACATCTAAAAAAATGATTCGATCTACGAGTTCAAACCCCGGATTGTTTGAAAAATGTGTCTGTTCACAATCCCAGACCCTGAATCAGTTTTCAGGAGCGAATGTGGAGCTGAACTCTGCTGTCCTCTAGCTCCCCCTGCTGGACAAATACAGGAGAGGAAGGAGAATGTAGAGTTTAGGAGGAAGAGAAAAACAAGAGGAGGAGTAAACAGAAAAGAGAAATGAGAAAGTCGAGGGAGACAAAGAGAGGAGGAAGAGAAAGAGGAGTAGGAAGGGAGGATGGTGAATGCGAAGAAAGGGTATGAAAAGGACATAAATGAGGAAATAAGGTAAGAATTAAGAAAGGGTACAGGAAAGGAAGGAAGGACGGAAAAGAGTAGGGATGGGAATTGATAAGATTTTATCGATATTGATGCCATTATCGATTCTGCTTATTGATTCGATTCTTTAACGATTCCCTTATCGATGCCTATCTTGGATTAAAAAAAGAGTTAACTCAAAATGTTATTGAGTCTCTGATAAGAGAAAAAGGTGTGCGCCACCTTCAGTGAGAGTCTCAAAAAATCAAACAAAAATGATATTTGAAGAGAATTTCTGAATTGTGTTTATGTTAAAACAGGACATACGTTAGGGTGACCATATTCTGAGGACACTACTGCGCGGGGCGGACTTCTGTGTGAAATTATGAGGGAAGAAACGAATCGTGAAGATAAAATGTAAATGATGTCGACGGATTGAACCATTTGGAACCGGTTCTCGATTCCCATCCCTAAAACAGAGTGGGAACAGTATAAGGAGGGGGAGGATGAAAATAAGTGAAGAAGAGCAGGATGAGGAAAGGTTAGGGGGTCAGGAGTGGGAGTAGAAAAAGGAGACTGAACAGGAGGATGGAGAGAGGAGCAAAAAGAGGAGTAGAGTGAAAAAAAAGGAGGATACAGAGAAGGAGGAAGAAAGGAGTGAGGAAAGACAAAATAAAGAAAATATCTTTATGGGAAGATGAAGGAGGAGAAGTGAAGAAAAGGGGGATAAAGAGAAGAAGAGAGAGAGGAGGAAGAGTAGAGGAGGGAATACCAGGGATGAGTTTCCTCCTGGCGATGGCGGCGGCTTTGTGAGAATCGTACTCTACGAAGGCGAATCCTCGATTTTTGCTTTTATCAGTGGAGCTGGGATACAGGATCACATCCACCACGCCGTCCGAGACCTGAGACACAGAAACACACACAGAGGAGGCTGTAGTTGTCAGAGTAATCACAGAATCCCAAAGAGTCCACGCCCTTCATTGATGAACTTTCCTTTCTCGCTCTTCCTCAAGTTTATTTCACTTTTTCCTCTCTTTAATTAAAGTTTTCTGAAACCCTTTTACAGATTCATTTATTCTCTGTCAGTGTACGACTCTTCGTTAGGTATTCAGAGGAAGTCCTGAGACCGGGCCGCCATGCCGCGCTGCCTCGGCCCAATTAGCTCGCTCCACGCTTTAATTCTCTCCCCGTATAGACGAGCTGTCAGATTTACAGAACGAGGAGCAGGTGTTCTCGGCTCCGTGTTGACCTGTTGTTGTTGTTGTTCCTGTCAGTCATGTCTAATCTGTTTCTCGTATGTTCCCCTCAGGTGTGTGTGTGGTTTTTTATTTACCTTCTTCATCTCCTCCATGATCTCCGCCTTCCCCTTGTCTTTGGGGATGGAGCTGATGAAGAGGCGGCAGTTATCCAGACTCACGCACACGCCGATGAACTTCCCCGGGCAGATCTCGTAGTTGTCCAACATCTGGATCGCTCTCTGAGCCGCCTCCCTGAGCGTCCGTCAAAAATCAGAGACAAGGACGTTCACGCTTTGTTTTGTTGATCTCAGTGATTTTGACCCCGAACCCCGACCCCTGACCCCGCGGTCACCTGTTGGTGTACATGACGAAGGCGTAGCCCCGGTTCTCCCCGCTGAACTCCATCATCAGTCTGAACTCGTAGATTTTGCCCGCTCTCTCAAACAGCGGCACCAGCTTGTCCTCGTACATGTCTCTGGGGATCTTACCCACGAAGACTTCGCAGCCGCGCGGGGGGGGCGGACCCTCCCAACCTGATATACAGAGACAGGCTTTAAATACAGCTGATCCCCCCCTACACCTGTGACTGAACTACATCTATAAAATACCTGGCGGGGGTCCTCCGAACTTCCTCTGTCCGTTCTGTTGGACCATATCGTAGCCGGTCTTCTCCATCAGGTCCAGCAGAGCCATCTCTTTAGCGCAGGACGCCATGGACCCGTCTGGCAGAGGACTTCCTTTTCCTGACTCTGTGTCCGCGTCCTCGCCTGTCCCACAAAAAGAAGAGTCAGTGTTGGAGAGGAGTGGACTTCACAGCTCATCACAGACGTAGAAGAGACATCTGAACCATCATGGATGTGAGCTTTAACATCATTTATTTTCATTTTCATACTTTATTTCATTCAGTTCAATTTTAAAACATTCAATTTTCACTTTTATGCCATTAATCTGTGATTTCCAGGTCAATTTATCATCAATAATAACACCTAAACATTTCATTTCATTTACCTTTAATATTCACAGACTTGTTTTCATCACAACTTTTATCTTGTAGTTTTCTTAAAGAAATAATTGAGTTATTTTCTGACTTTGTTCGTACTTCTAAATCTGTGACTTTTCACATTTTTAAATATATTCCTGTTCTTTAATATCTGTAAAAACATCTAGTTTTAGTAAACATGTCATATTTTCAGTTTTAAAAGAGTTTAAACTCAGAATTAGCTCATTAGTCTGATTTTAAACACAGTAATTTTACCTTAGCTAACATTTTTAGCTTCAAAAACGCCTAAAATTAGACTTTAAAGAAACACTGACTCATATTAAGAGAAGGATAACTCACTCACCTGTGTGTATAAACCATTTTAATTCATTAAAGAAGATAAAAACCACCACAGAGTCTGAACTTCTGCTGCTAAATGTTGTCTTATAATGCTAACAGCTCCGCTAACGTCGACCGTTTAACGTCTTTTTAACGTTTTAGCTTCTTTAACTTCTCAAACTTAGACACGATAAACTCTTACCAACTCGGTCTTCTGCCATTCCCCCACTTTACGAACGGTTTCCACTCGATTAGCAATCGGAGACACGATCAGATGATGCTAAAAAAAATTGTAAACTGTTGCGCTATCTCAAACTTCACCGGCGAACAAGAATCTCACCTAGCAACAACTCCGGGAGAGTGATTGACTTGGAGGCCTGTCCCTCTGAGCCAATCAGAGCGGTCTCTAAGGAGAAAAGCCGGGACGACAGGTTCCGAGTTTATTTTATTTTATTTTATTTTATTTAACAAAATCTGCAAATAACCAATAAATTGAATTATTAATCGCCTATAAAATAATTGAAATAAAAATATTAATTCCACAAAACAGATCTAGTGAGGCTGTTTTTAATTCGTTTTACTGAGTGTTTTAGAGCCTGTGTTTGAGCTTTTTTGTGGAACAATCATATATATACATTTTATCAGGAGATTTTATTTAATATATCATCATAAATGATAAAATCTCCTGGCATCATAATTAATCCCACTCTGTTCCTATTTAATTTTCCATAAATACATTTTTTAACCAGTACTTATGAGAAATGCAGCTCAAGATTGTGGGGGGGGGAGGGGGGGACTCAGCAGCTGAGTTATTTCATTTAATAGTAAATATCAGCATTGGAAACGTGTAACAGTTTTTTTGTTTGTTTTTTATTTATTTACTTGTTTGTTTTCAATAGTTAATGTCAGCATTGGAAATGTGTAACAGTTTTTTTTTTCTTTTTTTTTTTTTTTAGAAAATGTCACCATTGGAAACTATAAGGTTTTTTTTTTTTGATAGTAAATGTCAGTATTAGAAACATGTAACAGTTATTGTGTATTTTGTAATTTTTTTAAGTAAATGTTAGTATTGGAAATGTATAACAGTTTTTGTTTTTTTTTGTTGTGTGTTTGTTTTTTTAAAGTAAATGTCAGTATTGGAAACTTGTAACCGTTTTTTTATTTTAATTTTTTTTCTTTTTTTTTGTTTTAAGGAAAATGTCAGTATTAGAAACATTTGACAGCTTTGGGTTGTTTTTTTTTTCTCTTTTTTTTAGTAAACATCAGTATTGGAAACTTGTTATTGTTGTTGTTGTTTTTAAGTAAACAGTATTGGAAACATTTTACAGTTTTTTTTTGTTTGTTTGTTTGTTTGTTTGTTTTGTTTTTTTTCTTTTTTGTTGTTGTTGTTTTAACAAAAGTAATGCAAATACACCAAAAGTATCAGAGAATATCCCAAAAGTACATGGAATAAAATCATAAATATCATAAAAATACTCTTTTTTATTTCACTCATAACACAAATTTCAACTTTAACACACATTATCCTCTGATAAATAAACCTTATAAAATGATTTTTGTGGGTTTATGCGGCCATCCATATGAGGAAGGGCACCATGAAGGTCAGCAGGGCGTAGACTGAACTCAACCATCCCAGGTAGAGGAGGACGCACACCTGCAGCATCGCTGTCACCTTGGCAACACGCCGACTCAGCAGCAGCTTCCTGGACGTTTTACAGAACTGAGGAAGAGGAGAAGAAGAAGCAAAGGAGAGAGTTATAACTAAGATTAGCCACTAGATGGAGTAGTTACACTGTATTATTGACAAAAAAAGCTGTTTCTCACTTTTTTGAGTTTGTTATTTTGTCCGTCTTCTGTCTCCATATTTTTGCTCTTAAATGTTTAAAATCAAACTTCTCTTTAAAAAATAAATAAAAAAACAAAACTCCAGCCTCGTCTCTTCAGTTTTCTCATTATTTCGCAGCATCTGCAGCATGAGAACCGAGAAACAAAAGAGCTTTTATCCACGAGTGTTTCTGCAACACGGAGGCTTAACCCAATTAAAGCTCTGATCTGTGATCGGCTTTAATCTGCAGCAGGAACCAAACGGCGTGTGCAACAACTCACTTTAACACAAACACTGGAGGGTCTGTGAGCGAGATTTACCCATGGTACACCTGGTCAGGGTGATCCAAGGGTCAGAGGAGTGGAAATGGAAATCCAGGAGTTTTAATAAATAGTTTTAATAATGAGAGCTGAGATGACTGCTGTGTGAACTCTAAAGTAAAATTAATGAGATTTTCTTGATGATTTTCGAGGGACAGTCACAAAACTCCATTAGAAAAACAGACATTTTAAGGATAGTCGCTCACCTCTCCTGGCAAACCGAGCAAACCCAGCATGTCTTTCATATTTTACAAACCATAACCACGACGTTACATTTCGGGATCTTTTCTGACCTGTTTCAGACATTATGATCCTGGAAAATTCAGCCAAACTGAACTCAAATCCCTGCAGCTGTTAACTAAAAACCTGTCAGTCTGAACTTCTGAGGCGTTGTCTGAAGTTTCTCCGCTCACCTGGAAGCACTGGAAGCTCATGAGGGTGCCGTAGCGACAGTACATGACGTAGTGCTCACAGTTGTACCAAAGCAGACTGTAGTCGACTTGACCCTGCAGCTTCTCCGCCCGCCGGGCCACCTCCTCGCCCTGCAGCGGCGGCAGGCTGCACACCTGGACGACAAAAAAGAAGGAGAGTCAGGTCATCCGTTAGATCTTCTTGAGGAGATTCAATGGAATGTGAATTTGAGGAGGACTTCTATCTTCATGTTTTTGCCTTTGACGTCCAAAATAACGAGGAAAATTGAGGTTTGTTTTATTAATTCAACATGTTTTCCCTGAGACAGACTTTGTTTTTCGTGTTTCCGTCACCTGGTCTTTGGTGTTTATGAGGATCTCGGCTCCAAAGGCGAAGTCCTCCAAGGAGTCCACCCTGATGCTGCCACACTGAGACAGAAACAGACGGAGGTCACGTCAGTTTAGTGTTAAACTCTAAAGCGGTCGTTTCTGTTTCTGTCTGGGTTTGATGGGAGCTTCGGTACCTTGGCCAGTACTCCCAGTATGAGCCGAGTGTTGGTGACCATCTGATCGATCCAAGAGCGGTCACTGGAGAAGATGGGAAGAATGTCCGGGATGAAATGAGCGACTCTGGGGAGAAAGGAAGAAATTAACGAGAAGAGAAGGATACAAGTGGAGATGTGAAGGAAACATGGGACAAAGGAGACATCACCACCTGAAGATAGACAGTCGTCTTCCTCATCATCAGACTCACCTTCCTCCCCCCAGATAGATCCCAAAGTGGGTGAACATGGTGCGAGGGACCTCCAGCAGATCCCCCCTCCTGAGCGTCACCTCCTCATTCTTCTTCTCCTCCTTCCTGACCTTCACCTCCTCCTCCTCCACCTCCTTCTTCTCGAGCCTTGGTGTGGAGATGAAGAGCAGAGCGAGCAGCTGCAGAGGGAACATGGCGAGAGGACGGCGGCGACTCGGCTCAGGCGGTTTTTATTCTCCTGAAGGAGGCGGGCGGGGGATTAGCTAATACTGATCCAGGATCAGAGCCGCATAATGAGCATAATCTACTGTATCAAAGTTAAAGGAACAGCTGAACCCGAGTTTCTGGAGACTTGATTACACTAAATAACAAAACTATGACCTGAAGATTTAAAAACAACAAAAAGACTTTCTCTGGTCTCTCTTTTCAAGGGTTTGATTATTTCTTATAGGGATATTGTGAAGGTTAAGATATTTTTATTGAGCCGAATTATCAATAAAATCATGATTTTGTTAACAGGTATGAATATATGTGCTGTCGAGTTAATATATTTGAATAAGAGCACAGTGAAGTTAAATCGGATAATTTTCCAATGAGGTTCTGTTACTGAACAAAACTACACCATGTTCTACTGAGGTTAGTACATATAGGGTCACAGCCATAGTACTAGACACCAAACATCTTTTTAACTTTGACTCATTTCTTTAACAAAGAGACTAAACACAACTCACCTACTCTCTTCCAGCAGACGCTTGTTTGTAGCGAGACCTCAGGCCAGTCCATTACAGACTACAGCGGGGTGCCGCAGCTCAAGGAAGAACATTTATGGTCATTTCTATATCATATACTTGAAGTAATAATCACCATATTAATCATTTCACAGAATGCCTTAGCGTCTCAGTCTGATTGTATTTCCATGAAGAAATGATCATAAATGTTCTTCCTTGAGCTGGGACACCCCGCAGTCTGTAATAGACTGGCCTGAGGTCTCTCTACAAACAAGCGGCTGCTGGAAGAGAGTAGGTGAGTTGTGTTTAGTCTCTCTAAAGAAATCAGTCAAAGTTAAAAAGATGTTTGGTGTCTTGTACAGCAACTTTACGGAGAAAGTAACAGACGGATTGACCTGAAATTTTCACCAGAGGTGCCTCTCAGCCCCAGGAGGATCCCATTACATTTTGGTGCTGATCCGGACAAAATTCTGGATACTGTGATCCAGAACACACAAAAATAAGGGTGTCGTTGGAATTTTCAATGCTGAAAGATAACCAATGGGCGGCACAGTGGTGGCTAGTACTATGGCTTGGACTCAATATGTACTAACCTGAGTAGAACATGGTGTAGTTCGGTTCAGTAACAGAACCTCATTGGAAAATTAGCTGATTTAACTTTACTGTGCTCTTGTTCACATATATTAACTCAACAGCACATAAATCCATACCTGTTAACAAAATCATGATTTTATTGATAATTCAGCTCAATAAAAACACCTTTACCTTTTCATTTTACTACAGTAGAAGTTTATTCTGGCTTACAGAGGTGGAGAAACGCCCCCTCCTTAAGTTTGTTTTCTCAGGAGTTAGAACAACTCTGAATATAGTACTATGTCTGTGACCCTATATGTCCTGTTGATGAAGTTAGGTGCTGTTCTGAGCATTATTTGTGGCTATAGAGTGGCGTTTTGGTTGAGCGCGTGTCTCTCTGTATTACTATCCTGCGGTTGTTACTAAAGTTGGTATAACTAGAGAAGCGGTCGATTCATCTCTGGAGGGGGGGTCTAACTCGGTGTTTGACCCTAAATTAATTTTACGCCGGAATATCCCTTTAAGGTTCCAGGACTACCTCCTACTGGACCTGGTCTCCAGATCGATGTTTTTGTCGGTCATATTCAGCACTCAGAGAACAGTCAGGGGTGAGGTGGCTCAGCACTTTTCCTCTTTTCCTAAAAATAACACGGATAACTCGGATTATTCAAATTAAGCAACTTCAGTGGGACTATTTCACCACAGAGAGAGAGAGAGAGAGAGAGAGGGAGAGAGAGAGAGTTTCCTAAGAGCAGCTGATTAGGACTTTAATCAAAGATCGGTGGAGGAAAAATTCCAGTTATTTACACGTCAGTCTGTAAGGTCGACCTCAGTGACGCTCATTCATGATGCAGTCAGGTTCTCCAAATTTGGAAGTTGTTCAGTTTTCATTGATTAAAAAGTCCAAAGTAGGTGAGGATTAATTTCACATTTCTGAACGTCAAACAGACATTACTGTTGAATCAAAATCACTAAGTTATGTACGTAAAGTTTGACTTCCTGAGGTGTTAATCAAATCTAAGGAGGAACTTTTTTCCTAATTTGTTTGTTTCTTCACAGATGAGTGAGTGGAACTTCTCCGACAGTCTCCTAAAAATCCAGATTTCACCTAAAGGAACCTTATCGCTGACCTGTTCCTGTGTGGTCTCTGTATCCTAGTCCTCCTAACCTGCCACTAGAGGGAGGCATTACTGTAGTTGTGAAATGGTTCAGGAGGACCTGTGAAGAAGAACCAGTTTTGGTTTTTACCTCCGCCAAGAAGGTTCAGTAGCGTTTGTTTGTTGGTTTGTTTGTCTTTTAGCAACTTTACGGAGAAAGTTACAGACGGATTGACCTGAAATTTTCACCAGAGGTGCGTCTCAGCCCCAGGAGGATCCCATTATATTTTGGTGGTGATCCGGACAAAATTCTGGATACTGTGATCCAGAACACACAAAAATAAGGGTGTCTTTGGAATTTTCAATGCTGAAAGGTAACCAATGGGCGGCACAGTGGTGTAGATGGGCGGTACAGTGGTGTAGTGGTTAGCACTGTCGCCAAGAAGGTCCTGGGTTTGAATCCGGGTCAGGGCATTTCTTGTTTTAGGAACATTATGAACAGTGAACATACGAGTTTAAACACAAATAAACGTTAATAAAAGACACGGAACAGTAAAAGTTTTGCTGTGAATCACAATATAAGGGGGACATGATAAAAATCCAGTTTTAAAAAGTGAACCATGAAAATCAGTTGAACAGAGATTCTGGAAAAGAAATGAATGATTTTCCAAACTTTGAAGGATAAAGATCTTTCATGATTACAACCTCGACTCCTCAAGAGTTTGGACGCTGTGTCAAATGTTGATAAAGGCAGAATCTCGATGAATCGTATATTAGATTTAATAGAGACAAACCATGTTCACTGACTGTGGTGTTTAGAAGGGATGTGGTGACTTCCACTGCAGAGTCGTGTCTGTTTTTCTACTTAAAGGTCTGAAAATTACACTCTGACTCTTTTTAATGATATTATGAACTCTAGATGATAAAATCCACCAGTTCTTAGTGAGTTTACACTCCTGAACATGATCTTTAAATGGTCTCATTATTAGCTCACGCAGTCTCTCACAGAGTGATGAACCTGTTCATGTTGACTCCTGAGAGACTCAGCCTCTCTGAGTCCTTTTTAAACCCACTCACCTCACTAACTTGTTCCAAATAAACCTCACCAGTGAAAAGTTTCTCCACTCTTCAGTTGTCGTTGCACTCTTATCGTCAAAATATAGAGTTTTAATCATTTAGAAACCATCAAATTCTGGTTTTATCAACATTTTAAACATGTATGTCAATATTTTTGATATCAGGGTTGGATATTTATGCTGATTTTTTCTTTTCAAACAGAACAAAAATGTGCATTAAAGCTTTACACCTGCAGAGACTTGGCCAATCTACCTCCAATCAACATTTACAATCATTTCAGAAAATTAAGAACACGTCACACATGGTATCAACTCCTGCTGCAGAAACATGTGGGAATAAATCAACTCCACCTCTTTATATTTCCACTGGGTGGCGCTGCATCATGGTAAAAACAAAGTAATCCAATCAAAGTGTAAATTTATGATCATGTTTCCATCAACAAAACAAACCTGTTCAGACTGTTTGATCCCAGAATATGAGGGAAAAGATCAAATATCCAGAGTCCAGGTCCTGAGCTGATCTCAGAGCAGGTCAAAGTGCAGCTCCCAGAGTCCTCTCCGCCCGCTGTGATTGGTCAGTCAGTCTCTCAGTCAGAGACTCACCTCACCCTCACTGATGCTGCCTCCACCTCTCTGATCGTCAGGAAACACATGATCCTCTTCTTCATCACTCTGACAGATGTTACTACCATCTGAGGAGAGAAAAACAGACGATCAGTGTTTCCACTCTGAGACTCACTTCATCAGCTGGACTGAAGAACATCCAGTTTACAGACCAGCAGGTCTCAGTCCTGCTCAGACCAGAAGTGATGGTGTAAAGCAGCAGGTTTCCTCACAAATAAACCAACATCATCAAAATAAAGAAATCATTCCTGTCAAATGTGTTAAAGCTGATCGAACAAACCTGCTGTGAAAATAACAAGTATAAAGAACAGCTGTCTGTTTTCAGACTTAGAGCTCAAAATCAACAAGTTAGCAGAGAAATAAAGTCTGTGTTGAATACAGAGAACTATAAACTGGACTTCAGAGCAGAAACTGAACATTTCTGTTTCATTATGTCTCATTTCTACATTTGATCTGAAATATAGAGACGAGGAGACACTTTTTTCATCACTGACACTCTTACACTCCTGGTTTGATGATTTCTGTTCTCACAGCTTCACTAAAGAGATAATCCTCTGAGAGGGTCGAAGAGTCAGCAGGAAATACTGAATATCTGCTGTGATACTGTGTGGAGAGGAACAGGAGAGATCAGCACAGACTAACTCCAACTCTATACTGACTTCAGATCCTCCAGTCTGTAGTCTGGACTCTTCTGAAGATCACACAGCAGCTTCACGTCTGAATCCTGCAGCTTGTTTCCATACAGCCACAGAGTTTTCAGATGGGAGGGGTTGGACTTCAGAGCTGAGGCCAGAGAAGAACAGCTGATCTTTGTCAAACTGCAGCGAATCAACCTAAATAAAGAGGAAATAATGAGATTTTAGAGAAAAATGATCCAGTTTGAAACCTGATGTCTTAAATCTGTAGAGTTCAGGGGAAAGGTTTGGAAAGTCTGAATCACAGAAAAGTGACGCTCCAAAGAGCTGAACCAAACAGGAAGTCAGTTTGAAACAGTGAATTCAAAAACACATTAAATAGTGAAATAAAAAACTCAGAGACTTTTTTTACTGATTGTAGATGCAGATCAATATTTTCAGAAAATGTCAGCGACTTCAGGACGGATGGGAAATAAAGGATGATCAGAATATTTTCACTTTGCTGAACCAAAAATATCACGTCTTTGAGAGGTAAATATTTCAGTCTAAACACAGCAAGGCTTCAGAAAAGTGAAGATAAACCAGAAAATTCAGATTTTCACACAAAGATTCAAAAACAAAATTCAAAGTAACAGAGCTGGACTTTCATCAGAGTCAGAAACTAAACTCTGAGTTTTTTCTGTTCCCTGATCTTGTCCTGAACTAAAGTGTGAATGGTTCTCGTCTGACAAATCTCCCCCTGCTTCTGTTTTCTGTCTGAATGTGCTTCTCACTGTGAACTCTACAAAGAGTTTTCTTCTTGGGTTCAGGTTTTAATTCACTGGAGCTCAGCAGTGATCGAACTGGAGTCAATCAAATAATCCACTGATGCAGAAAATCTACTCTGGACTGAAGGTGTTCAGTCTGGGTCAGTATTTCAGTCCTGAGTCAGCAGTTTAGTGTCATCATCACAAACAAATCATGATCATGTTTGAATGGAGGAAAAAAGTCTGACCCCAGAGTCTCCAGTCTGCAGTTTGGACTCTCCAGTCCTGCAGAGAGAAGCTTCACTCCTGAATCCTGCAGATTGTTGTGACTCAGGTCCAGATGTCTCAGATGGGAGGGGTTGGACTTCAGAGCTGAGGCCAGAGAAGAACAGCTGATCTCTGACAAACTGCAGTCCAACAGTCTGAAAAAAGGAAAGAGAATGAAGATAAAAATAATTAATAATCAAACTTCAGGTGTTCAGGTTTAAAATATGGAGCTTAGAGAACTCCAACAGGAGACCTTTGGACCAGATCCAGTCTGTCAGAGCTCATTATCTGGTCTGCTCTGACCCTCCATGTAAAATAACAGACAAGACATCAACTGTGATGGAGCACTGGTTTAGATTAGAGGTTCAGGTGTTCAGAAGGTGGAGTCCTTGTTGCAGCAGTTACTGGTTGGACTCCCATGATCCTTTGCTGTAAGTCCTCCCTCACTCTCTACTCCACGTTTCCTGTTCCTCTTCAGCGCTCGGATCAATCAAAGTCTTCAAAATGAACTTGAACTGTGACATGGAGGAAACAGGAGGATCTTTGTCTGCCTTCATCCCTCACTGTACACTGATCTTCAACAAGAACACTCAACCCAGAATAACAGACTGTGTTGTCTCTACTGTCAGAACTGGACCGGACCAGCCAGCAATCCTCCAGATCTGAGTTCATGGAAGTCAGAGACAAACCAGAAATACTCTCAACCAAGAAGAGCTCAGAGAGAGTCACCCAGGACACTGAGCCCACCTCCCTCAACCAGGCTGGAGCCAAAACAGGAACCTGATCAATCTGATCATTGAATATTGATCAGGAGAAAAATCTAAATGGTTCAAATAATATTGAGAAGAAGAAAATCTGAGAGTTTGGTTCTTTAACTTCTTTGGTTCAATCATAAAAGTGACGAAGAAAACTTTGTTTTTGTGACTTCAGTCATCACAGCAAAGAGACAAAGAGGAACATCTCTGTGTGTCTGTGTTTGTGTGTCTGTGTTTGTGTGTCTGTGTTTGTGTGTCTGTGTTTGTGTGTCTGTGTCTGTGTGTCTGTGTTTGTGTGTCTGTGTTTGTGTTCTCTTTCTGTGTTTGTGTGTCTGTGTTTGTGTGTCTGTGTCTCTGTCTGTGTTTGTGTGTCTGTGTTTGTGTGTCTGTCTCTCTGTCTGTGTTTGTGTGTCTGTGTCTCTGTCTGTGTTTGTGTGTCTGTGTCTCTGTCTGTGTTTGTGTGTCTGTGTTTGTGTGTCTGTGTTTGTGTGTCTGTCTCTCTGTCTGTGTTTGTGTGTTTGTGTCTCTCTGTCTGTCTCTCTGTCTGTGTTTGTGTCTGTGTCTCTCTGTCTGTGTTTGTGTGTCTGTGTCTCTGTCTGTATTTGTGTGTCTGTGTCTCTGTCTGTCTCTCTGTCTGTCAGTGTAAATTCAGGCGTCTGTGTTTCTCACTGTCAGAGCAGATCTTTCTCGTTTCCTCCTCATGAAAACTCAAACCTCATGTTCTGACCGATTAAACTCATTTGATGAAAAAGTGGATTTTTTTCAGATTTGGTTTGTTTGGTGTTTTTTTGTGACTCTGAATTTATGAAGCATCATTATTACTTTAATAACTGTGATGAAAACAATGATGCTAGCTGAAGAAACAACAACAAGGAAACTGGGAGCCCAAGTTTAGTCCATGACTTTCTCCTCATGATTGTAACGTGTCAAAAAGACTAATAAACACCTGTCACACTCCTGTCTGATATCAGTATGATATGGTTGTAATTCATGAATATTAACTCATGAATATGTTCAAAATGTCTCTGAAATTTAAAGACTAAAACTCCAAATCTAAAAGTTGATATTTACAAAAATTGAACCTCTGAAGAAACTGTTCCTGTTTTTAATGATTCAATGTTCTTGAACCCTGAAGGACATGGAAGAAGAACTTTTTCAGAGTTGATCTGGAGGAACTTTGTAAAATCATCTCTAAACTTTTGGAAAATCTGGAGGAATTTTTTATTGAATATTTGTGGGACTGATTTTCTCCTGCTTCCTTTCTACATCCATCGTTCTCCTCAAAGTCAACTCTGAAATGTCGGATTTTTCTTCCTGTGTTGAAGTTTTACAACGACAAATTCAAACTGCTCGACCAAAGTTGATGGAAAAACCACAGAGAAAAATCTAAGGCAGCAGCTGTCACATCTTATTGTTAGATCAGAAGGAAATGGTGTCTCACATCAGAGTCTCCAGTCTGCAGTTTGGACTCTCCAGTCCTGCAGAGAGAAGCTTCACTCCTGAATCCTGCAGATCATTGTAACTCAGGTTCAGATGTCTCAGATGGGAGGGGTTGGACTTCAGAGCTGAGGCCACAACTTCACAGTGAGTCTCTGAGAGTCCACAGTACCAAAATCTGTAACAACATAAATATCAACAATATTTCATTAAAGGGTAATTTGATGTTTCTCTTCCCCAAAAACAAACATGATCTTTGGTTTGACAGACGGCCTGTTTTTAACCAGACAGATACTAATATCAGGACCACAGCCATGAGAGAAGACAGGAAGTCAAAGTTTAGAAGAAAAAAAAACTGTTCAGATGTTCAAGACAAATGACTCCATGACTTATTTTAGTCCTTCTGTTCTCTAACAGTGTTGTCTTCATGTTAGTGCAGCTGGATCATTATGACTGAGTGAATTCTTGAGTTCTGGTTGGAGAAGGGGACCCCCAACCCTAACCCACTGTACCTCTGTCTTTGTGTGCTCTCTCTCTCTCTCTCTCTCTCTCTCTCTGCACATTATCGTCCAATACTTCATGATAGTTAAACGATAAAAACAAAGTTAAACCTGAAGAGCTGTGGTGAAGGTGAAAGTTAGGGTTGAGAGAGAGAGAGAGAGAGAGAGAGAGAGAGAGAGAGAGAGAGAGAGAGAGAGAGAGAGAGAGAGAGAGAGAGAGAGAGAGAGAGAGAGAGAGAGAGAGAGAGAGAGAGAGAGAGAGAGAGAGAGAGAGAGAGAGACATTAACATCCTATCTCCACCATTGTTTTCAGACTCATGGAGCTGCTGTCCAAATAACTCCTGTGTTCTCATCATTCATATGTTCTAGTCCAGCAGATAATCTCCAGTGAGTGGTGGAAAATGATGTTAGTTTTCATGGTTGTATTGATGATGAATATTGAATGATGAACATGATGGTACAGAGACAGTTCTGCCACTGTGTAGAAAATGATCCAGTTCTATTTTCAGCATCAATGCTGTCAACACCCTCATTTACAACAGATTCATCATTTCCAACCTGAAAACCAGCAGGAAGAAGCTGCAGACACCTTCTTCAAACTCAAGTTCACCACAACTGACTGAGATGTTGATCTGGACTGATACCATCATCAGAAGACCTCTGTGTGTCCTCAGATATGGTCGCTGATTTGTCCTCAAAGTTCCACTTTATTCATTACAGACACGATTCAAAACAAAGAGGTCCTCCACAATCAGGACAAGTTCTCAGGGGTCCACAGGTAGACCTCATCCTGGGCTAACAGGACTTTAGACACCAGGATCAGGTTTTTGCTAAAGAAACCCCCTCCCTGATATTTGAGTGGATTTCTATCTGAAGAAGAACATCATCAGTAACGTGGACATTAGAAGAACTAGAGGGATCATTTACACTATTCTGAGAATAAAACCTGGACTTACTCAGCCTTTCTGCAGTTCCTCACAGCTGGGATCAGTCTCTGTCGTCCCTGGGCTGATGTTTTATACTTATTTAAGTTCAACTCCTCCAGAACCTCCTCTGACATCTGCAGCATGTAGGCCAGAGCAGAGCAGTGGATCTCTGAGAGTCTCTTCCCTGATCTGTTCTCTGACTTCAGGAACTCTTGGATCTCCTGATGAACTGACAGATCGTTCATCTCCATCAGACAGTGGAAGATGTTGATGCTTCTGTCAGGAGAGATATCTTCACTGTTCATCTCCTTCAGGTTCTTGATGACTCTTTGGATCATTCCTGGACTGTTGTCTGTGTGACCCAGCAGACCTCCTAAGAGTCTCTGGTTTGACTCCAGAGAGAGTCCATGAAGGAAGCGAACAAACAGGTCCAGGTGACCGTTTTTACTGAGAAGGGATTTCTCCATGACTCTCTTCAGGAAGACATCCAGAAATAAGAAACTGTAATCCATGTGTTTATAATAATAAGATAACATTTTGACTTCATCTTCGTCTTCATCTTCGTTGCCTCTTAGAAAAGTCTTCAGAGCTTCTGTGTTCCTGCTTGTGAAACTGTGGATCATGTAGACTGCAGACAGAAACTCCTGAACACTCAGATGAACGAAACAGTAAACAGTTTTCTGGAAGATCACACTCTCTCTTCTGAAGATCTCTGTACAAACTCCTGAGAACACCGAGGCCTCTGAGACATCCAGACCACACCGCTCCAGGTCTTCTTGGTAGAACATGATGTCTCCTTTCTCCAGATGTTCAAAGGCCAGCCTCCCCAGCTTCAGGAGGACTTCACCGTCAGCCTCAGTCAGCGCCTGAGGACTTGTCTCATGTCCTCCTTCATACTTCTGCTTCTTCCTCTGAGTCTGGACCAGCAGGAAGTGTGAGTACATGTCAGTCAGGGTCTTGGGCAGCTCTCCTCTCTGCTCTCTGCTCATCATGTCCTCCAGAACTGTCGCAGTGATCCAGCAGAAGACCGGAATCTGACACATGATGTGGAGGCTCCTGGAGGACTTGATGTGTGAGATGATTCTTCTGGACAGATCTTCATCTCTGAACCTCTTCCTGAAGTACTTGTCCTTCTGGTCGTCAGTGAAGCCTCGTACTTCTGTTACCCTGTCCACCTGTGAAGGAGGGATCTGATTGGCTGCTGCAGGTCGAGAAGTTATCCAGATGAGAGCTGAGGGGAGCAGGTTCCCCTTGATGAGGTTTGTTATCAGAACGTTCAGTGAAGACTTCTGTGTGACGTCAGACAGGACCTCAGAGTCTGTGAAATCCAGAGACAGTCTGCTTTCATCCAGACCGTCAAAGATGAACAGAAGTTTACAGACAGCCAGCGTCTCTGCTGTGACCTTCTCTAGTGTTGGATGGAAAACATGGAGCAGACTCAGAAGACTGAAGCGCTCATCTCTGATCAGGTTCAGCTCCCTGAATGAAAGCAGAACCACCAGATGGAGGTCTTGGTTCTCCAAACCCTCTGCCCAGTCCAGAGTGAACTTCTGCACTGAGAAGGTTTTTCCAACACCAGCCACGCCGTTGGTCAGAACCACTCTGATGACCTTCTTCTTCTGTTGGTCAGGTAAGGTTTGAAAGATCTCATGACACCTGATGGGCGTGTCATGGAGGGTCTTCATCTTTGAAGCTGTCTCCAGCTGTCTCACCTCATGTTGGGTGTTCACCTCTTCACTCAGTCCCTCTGTGATGTAGAGCTCAGTGAAGATCCTGTTGAGGAGGGTTTGACTACTTCCTGTTTCATCACTTCCTTCATTCACACGTTCACATCTCCTCTTCAGACTGATCTTATGTTCATCTAAAACCTCCTGCAGACCACCATCTTCTGAAAGAGAAGAAAAATAAAATGAACCAAACTTCTCAACACTGAAACGTCTTTGTGAAAATCAGTCAGCTGAGTTTTCATCCACACAGACTTTAGAGGACAGATGTTCAGACTTACCTCTATCAGAGCTGAGATATCTGGACAGCTGCTCCTCCACAGAGTCACATCTCTGTGTCTCTCTGTGGAAATAAAGAACATTTATTTTCTTTATTATTTCATGTTTAAAAGATTCAGAATAAGAAACATTTATTAAACCAGAGTTTCTCTTTTCTCTAACATAAAACAGTAAAATATTCAGCTGCTGCTGCCTCAAAGTGTGGAGACAGGAGAAAAAACTCAACTGTGATTTTTGAAGGTCGAGAGATTTTCTCTGACAGTTTCAAACATTTTTTAACAATCAGATCTAAAGGTCTAATAACAGACAGATGCTCTGAATGAGTTTTTATTTCTCAGGATTTATTTCTTCTTTGGTCTTCTGGTATTTTCTGACCCACAGACTGTTTTCTGGGGTCTATACACCACAGTCCAAAGACTAACAGGCTCAAAACGTCCCAAACACAGGAACCAAATCAGAAAATACAAGAGGTCAGGATCCTTTTCTAATGCTGTTTTATACCACCTTCATTTTTATCAACATCAGGAATAATAAGTAAATCTGAGCTCAGTGACTTTTTCTTTACTTTCTCCAGGTTGGAGGTTCAAGAGGAAAATCAGCGTTTTCAGAGCAGAGGAGAAAACAGAGGGGTCAGGATTTAAAGTTCGGATTTTGAAACATCCGCTGTTGTTGTTTGAGTTTGGAGGGTGAAAAGTGTTTCTCTTACTGTGAATCTGAGGGTCCTGGTTCTTTACTGAAGTTAAGAGGATGACGGTTAGACCGGTCACTCCTCATAGACAGACAGTCAAACATGTCAGACTTTTGCTCTGCCCTCCTCTTCCTTGATACCATCTTCTCCATCTTCTTTTGTGCAAATTTATGGAAGATGAAACCGAGTTCTACAACCTGAGGACAAAGTAGACAAACAGGTGAGACACAAACAGGAAGAGAGAGTTTCAAAATAAAAGAGGAATCAGAAAGGAAGTACAGAGTCTGAAAACAGCTTCATCCCCCTCTTTAAGAGTTTTACAGGTTTAATCATAGATATATGTATATAAACCTTTCTTATATATGTCTATGGGTTTAATATCTAAGAACTTCTGATGTCTCCCCACCCTGCAGGGCCTCTCTCTGATCCTTGTCTCATTCATGGTCCAAACAAAATCAGCTGTGAGGTCCCTGAACTCTCAGAAAAACTTAAGGAGACTGGATTAAAGTTGAAATGAGAGGCTAAAAAGATTCTGATTTATGTTTTTTACCACAAAGACAAGTCTAAACAAAGAGGAGGAAGAACTGCACGTACACAGTTTCTGTATGAAGAACTGATCCAGCTCTTTGTCTGCTCAGGTTTCTTTGTTTTACAGTTTTTAAGTGTTTCAGTCAGTAAATCATTTTTCATTAACAGATAAAACAGATAAAAAGTTTGACATTAAAACAAAAATAGAGTAAACTCTCACCCTGTCTCCTCGTCCTCTCCTCTCTGTTCGTTTCTCAAAATGGAGTCTGTTTGTTTAACTCACATACTTTCACTTTCCAAGTGACTGTTTTCACTGCAGTTTATTTTTAATGCAGCAGCTCCACCTGCTGGACAAACCAACAAACTACCAGATGAGCACTCCTCTCCTCATACCCCGACTAAATGTGAATATTTTGATGAACAGGTTTTTGTTTTTGCTCACAGTGTGATTGTGTTGTCACTACACAAACTCCTCCTTCACCTCACTTTACAAAGATCACTGTCCAACATCATATTCAGTATGAAGAGATGGTTGACATTGTGTCTCCTCTTAGGTGAAATGAAAATGTCGGGAGCGCCCCCTGCTGGCTGTAAGGTCATACCATGTTGGAGATGAGTCAAACTTTAGAATAAAAAAACATTTTTTTTTTATTTTCAATTATAGTTTCTATTCTTATGACACGACTTAGGATGAGAGCGACTTAATTATGGTAAAATATTAGAGATTTTGAGAAAACGTTAAAGAGTTATGAGGAAAGAAAATCTAATAAAGTCGTGATCTTACAAGAATAAAGTTGTAGTTCAAAGAGGATGAATGAGATGTCTGTGCTCAACTACCCGGGCAGATTTTGTTTGAGTGTCCATCTTCTCTGTGTGTTAATGAGGAGGGTAAATCCATGATGCTCTCTTCTGCAGGTGGACTCTGCCGCTGGACACACCGCAAGGTTGGTTCCTCCACAGTCCACTTCCAGGCTGGCTCGGTTTAGACCCCGAACAATCTAGTCCAGCTAAAAAATAATAAAAATAATAATTATATATATATATCTCAAAATATCCCCCTATCCATTTCCTTAACTCATTTCTATCATCAAACTTTCTACTCTTCAACCATCAGGGATATACAACACTCTAATCCTTATTACCTTACCGTAAAACAGGTTTGAAATACATATAATTAATAACAAAGGAAATTACTCTCTTAATGAACTAGCTTTTAACTTAAAATCACGTCCTAATGACCTTTAAAGGTGTAAATCACTATCACTGCTCGGATCACGATGTTACAACAGTATCTACATTCACCAAAGTAGCAGCAATAGAAAACCAACGGCCGACCGTTAGCTTATGCTAGCTGTTAGCTCGACGCTAACGCACTTCGCGGTCTTTTTATAACCACTCGTTACAGACTGGTCAGTATTTGTGTCTGCGAAGTATCAGACACTTGGTAACGGTGTTACAGCTCCGACTGGTGTTTGAGAAAAAGCAGTAAATCGCTGTAAAGAGTCAGTGGGGTTAACATAGCATTCACACAGCCGTTAGCATTTCTCACCGGAGCTAAAACCAGCGACAGACGCGCCTCGTTTAACTTCAACCTTCACACAGAGTTTCACCCGAACAACCAAACAACAGATTAACTCTGGTACTATATGGTTTTGTGTGAACTTTTGGCTCTAAGAGTGTATTTACATACCGAGAGTCCTAAAGAGGTGACTGTTAGCTCTCGGGGAAAGTAACGGTTGAGCGTTTCTTTCAGCGCATGCGCCACCTGATGGCGGGACACAGACGCGTTACTGGGCAAACAAACTCAGAAGGGTTACACATACCTGCATTATATTTAGTTCAGGTAAAAGTAAGAGCAGACCCTGACTCCCCAACTTAAAGACAACTCCATTCAAGACTGAGATTTCTTCCTCATATGGTCTCTATAGGAGCAGGTCTGCATTAGTAATCCAACCAGTGGGTGGAGGAAATGCTCACAGTGATGATCATGTTTTACTCTAACACTTCATAATTCACACAGACTCATTTCATCCAGAGTTAGTTAGTATAAAACATACAAACGACTTTCATCTTACTTGTGCTTCATGTTGTATTTCTTTGTAAGAGAGTGTTTGTGAGATATTTGTCCTCTCAGGGCCGACTGAGGGACAGAACATCAGAGGGATTTCCTGTTTCTTGTCTTCTTTGTCTTCTTCTTCATCGTCTTTGTTCTTGTCCTCCTTGGAAAGTTCAGGTGAGAAACTGCATTTATCCTGAGGTTCTTGTGTTGAAACATCAGGCTGTAGCATTAACCTGAGGTGTGTTAAAGCTGACCACTAGGTGGCGTTACTGCCCTGATGTTTTAGTTGAACTGCTCTTTAAATCCAGCAGTGAGGAGGAATGAGAGTACGATGTAGGACAACGTGAATAAATTCACTTATGGTTTAGATTTTAAAGCCAAATTATGATTAAATCATGTTTAACTATGGAGGATCTAGTCGAGTAAAAGTTTGATTTAAACTGTAATAACAGGACAACCACTTCATCTTCAATAATCCAGGTATGACAATTTAAACTAGAAAAGCACTCGGAGAGCGCAGACCTCCGCCAAGCAGCTCATGTCCCCCCTTAAACAAGACATTCCCTGACCCGGATTTGAACCCAGGACCTTCTGGCTGTGAGGTGACAGTGCTAACCACTTCACCGCTGTGCCGCCCATTGGTTATCTTTCAGCATTGAAATCCCATTACATTTTGGTGGTGATCCGGACAAAATTCTGGATACTGTGATCCAGAACACGCAAAAATAAGGGTGTCGTTGGAATTTTCAATGCTGAAAGATAACCAATGGGCGGCACAGTGGTGTAGATGGGCGGTACAGTGGTGTAGTGGTTAGCACTGTCGCCTCACAGCCAGAAGGTCCTGAGTTTGAATCCGGGTCAGGGCATTTCTTGTTTTAGGAACATTATGAACAGTGAACATACCAGTTTAAACACAAATAAAAGTTCATAAAAGACACGTAACAGTAAAAGTTTTGGTGTGAATCACAAAATACGGGGGGCATGAGCTGCTTTTTTTCTCGGTGTGGAAATTCATGTTTTTTTTTTTGTTTTGTCTTTTTAATAAGAATGTACAGTTTCCAGTCTGAACCCAAAAACCACAAATAAATAAATAAATAAATAAAAAGTACACATAGACGTGTCCAATCTGGTTCCACTTCCTTTATTTACATACAAAACAAGATATAAAGTGTCGCCGATTCATAAAAATATATTCTGTACAAACGTTTACCGACTGTTGAACAACAATCATCGAGTCCAGACGGAGCGTATCTACACATATATACAGAGGAACTTCACCTGGTTGGAGTGCAGGGTAGGCGGGGTTAACATCGTCGTTACACGAGCATTCACACGAGCTCCAAATATGGATTCATCCGCCACTGAAAATAGTCCTCAAGAGGTTGAAGTCTGTTTTGAATATGAGGGGAAAAATGGGGAACTTAAACGTGACACAGAAACGGAATTCAGCCTGACCCGGGATTTCCACCGCATCCGGAACGGCGGCGATTTCGCCTTCCCCCAATTCCTACCGGATCCATTTTTGAGAGGGATTTCGTGGTGGTTTACGGAGAGTAGGAATTGCAAGAACTCACAAGAACCCGTGGATTCACGTTCAATCGCACAATAACGAGTTGTCTCTATAAAGACAGACACATAGACATATAAGCAGTAGATTGTGTCCTTCCAGAGGAGGAAATCTACTTCTAGACTTCTAGAATCAGCATCTCCTCATCCATGGTGTCATCGGGGTGAAATGACGTCTAAAAACCTTTCACTTGTTCGTCTCCGCCCGTTTGCATGGTGTGAAATACGATCCTCCTGAAACACGGAGTGTTTTATTTTGAAAAGAAGTCGGATGTTTTATTTTGAAGTCTGTGCCCGACTTCCTTTCCAGCACAGGTTAATCAGTGCTGAATTTATCCGCCATGCTCCAGCGATCCGCAGAGGAGCAGAAAGGAGCCGGTGGTAATTGACACGTTAACTTGGATGGTTACGATCAGCTACGATTGGCGCACATGACCTTTTCATAGACGTTCAAGATGCGGTGGAAATTGGGGGTTAGATCTCTTACTGCTACGTTCCAGTTGTTCTCAGAAGTCGGGATTTCCGAGCTCTGAGTCGGGAATTCATCTGGAACACCCCCCTGAAGTCGGATGATCCTCTCCAACCCCGACTTGACGACAACGTCATAATCCAAGATGGCAGCACGAAGCATCAACAGTAATCAGGGAACAGCAGAACGGAAAGAAGTCGGTGGAAATTGACACGTTAACCTGGATGGTTACGATCAGCTACGATCGGCGGATACGACCTTTTCGTTGCCGTTCCGGATGCGGTGGAAATTGCCGATTACTTTGTTGATTAAGGCACTCCTTCAAAATAAAAGCATCATCCAATCTTTGGTTTTCTTCACACCACGTTTGGAGCTGGAAAAGGACAAGTAGCAGCTCAAAGGTCAAATCGGGGTCGTGTTTGTGCTGTTTTGATTAGCTAATGATGCTAATGCTGCTAATGCTAATGATGCTAACCCCTCTTCTTCTTCCTTGGTTCACTTCCTCAGCAGGAAGAAGAAGTTTTGTCGTGTGTATTCAGTGTTATAAGAGGTTAAGTGTAGTGAGAGTCATTAATGGTATAAACACGTACGCAGACGACCACCTCCTCTCTGTCAGTCTGTTTAGAAGCAGCACAGAGGCTAAAAATCGACTTTGAACGCCAGTCAGGAGCTCCTAACCGGCCATCCACAAGGTGAAGGGGATGAGGAGGGTGGGCAGGGCCGTGCTGGAGGAGATACCCAAACACACCATGGACAGGAGTCCCAGGAGCGCCGTCAGGACGACGTTCCGCTGGTCCCGGATCAGCGACTTCAGCCACTCGCAAAACTGGAGGAAAAGCAGAAACACGAAGAAATTTACCAACAATAACCAGATACTCTGAGGTCAGCTGAGGAGTATTTCATTCACGTATTCTTGTTCTTTTTGATTTTTCAATATGGCATCAAGAATTCTAGAAGGTTCTTCAACACGGTAAAGGCTTTCACAGAAGTCGTCCCTTCTGTACGTGTCCATGCTGTAGTTTTTTCTCAAACCACAACCACAAAGATGAAGGATATCATGGACTCATTGTTTATTTACTGGGGGGCCCTCTGAGGCCCCTGGAACAGCTCACGTGACCCCTCCCCCACCCCCGCTCACTCATTCACTCTCATCATCGTGAATCTGGCCGAGCCGCAGCAGGTCAGATGTTCCAGTTTGCGGTTACAGTTTCCCCGTAAATTTGAGATACGTTCGTCTTTTTGATTTCAGGAAAGCGACCTGAGCGCCCCGCCCTCCTTCATCCTCCTCCTCCTTCTCCTCCTCCTCCTCGCTCCATCCTGTCTCGGACTCGTGCCGCTGCTGCTGCTGCTGCTCGCTCTCAATGTGCCTCTTGTTCTCCGAGGAGTGACCCAGATTTTCCGCTCGTCTGAAAACAGTCCCACCTCAGCTTGGAGGAGGAGGAGGAGGAGGAGGAGGAACGTGCTTTTTGTTTCTCATCTGTCAAACCACATGAAGATGTTTGTTGATGTTTCAGAAAATGAAGAAGCACGCGAGTCCAGATTGAAGCACTTTGATCATTTTTCCAGTGAACTGGTCGAGCTAAGAGTTTCCAAACCTGAGGGTTTCGCTCCACTTAAGAGCCGTCACATAAACCAGAGCGGTCCTGAGGTCATGACTGAAAACTTTGATAAAACCAGGCGAGTGTTTCTGTCCATCAGACTTAAGTCCTGATAAACGTCTCATTAGAAACAAGACTTGAAATGAGTCAAAAGTTCCTTATTTTTCACTCATTTCAAGAACTTCAGCTCTTAAGTTTAGACTCTAGTATCTTTGATAAGATGTTTATCTAGATTGTACTTCTATGACGAACATAAATTTATTCTTCCATAGAACTCTGAAAAGTGTGTGTTTCTGTTTGTGGTGTTAAACTCTGGACGTCACTTTAAAAATGTCCAGTAACACAAAAATATTTAAGTCAAACTAAAGAGACGAATTAAAAGATTCTTTTAAGCAAACTAACAAAAAATATGTTTGTATACGAGATTTACTTGATTCCACAGAAGTATAATATTAAAACACTGATAATTATTATAATATCTAAAGAACTTTGATAAGTGACTTACGTAGTGTTTAGGTCCTCTCACACCAGGAGCGTTTTTATCGTGCGATTATTTCAAACGTCAATTTTTTTTTTTCAAACCCGTAAAAAAAACACAAAATATACGACAAAAACCAACAAAAAACAACAAAAAACAACTACACAGAGACACAATCACAAAATATACGACAAAAACCAACTACAGTAACCTACGTATGTTTGAGGTCCTCTCACACTGGGAGCGTTTTTGTCGTGCGATTTTTTCAGACGTCTGTATTTTTTTTCGAAAATATATTTTGCGACATGTATTTTTTCGGATCACGGTCGATTTTTCTAAAGTTTCACATACTGTGTGTCCACTTCTGACCAATCAGAGTGCGTGTTGTTGCGACGTCTGATTCACCGGTATATCCAACATGGCCGACCGTCTGATTGTTTACGTGTCGGAGAACAGAGTGATTTTTGATAAAAGACACAAACATTACAAAGATAACGACCTGAAGGACGACTTGTCGGATTTCTCATATGACGATGTTTTGCTAAAGGTCTTTGTTTGAACTTTCATCTGTGCTAACGTAAGCTAGCGGTTGTTACCAAAGTTTTGTTTGCTTATTTTAGTGCTGACCATTTGGCTTGAGCGTGTGACGACGTTTCCAGCTTTTCCAGCCAATCAGAGGCGAAGGAGGCGGGACTTTCCCCGGGATGCGTCTTTTTCCCCTGGAAAGTCGCAAAATCTCGTTTCACTTGATGTGTTTAGTCAGGCGCGTCAAAATTCACCTCCAAATATTTTGTAATTTCGTGTTCTACGTTCACGTCGACCCAGACATCTTTGTGTGTAATTTGTCAGTATTTATACAGATCTTTTTAATTTACACTAACTGATTTTTTAAAGCTCTTTGCTTCGTTCTGTTTTATTCTCTAACTGTTTATTTTTGACAAACGTGTTTTTGTAAATTTATCTTTATGTTTGGTGTACATCTGTATTATTTTGTTCTGAGTTTTTGTTTCTCGTTGGTGTTTTTTGTTGTTCTTAAAGTTTGAGATAATGAATTAGCCAATTATCTCAGCCTCTGCTCTTCTTTCTTTAAAACCCCCCTGTGAAGTTATTGATCAGGTTGTTTGGTTTGAGTTTGATGGACCTCCTGCAGAAAAACAAACACTCTGCATGTGTGAACTGAAGAAGAGGACGACAAACAGCTTCAAGACGTCCATGAATTTTCAATGTGAGCGTCTGCGGTCTGATAGGGGCGGGCTGAGAGGACGCTGAAAAACTTCAGAGGACTCTACTTTTGAGATCAAATTAGATAAACAGATGAGAAATTTTAACAGATTTTCCACTTTTTTTAATTAAATTCGATGTTTTTCAGGAATCCTGACTCTGAATTAACCCTAGAAGACGATCTCCGGCTGATTTTAACCCAACCAAACACGTTTTTAGGTGATTTTCATGATGTTCTGTTTGTCTGAGGATCATGGAAATGTTTTGTTGATGATGCATAATTTCAGTTTTTTTGTTGTATTTTTCTATGATCCCCTCATGGCACTTTTTTCCCTCCCTTTGGACATTACACAGTTAAAAAAACTACTTTAAAACAAAAAATAACTACAGATAAGGAAAAAAACACGACAAAAACCAACTACAGAGAGACAAAAACACTAACAATACGACAAAAAATAACTACAAAGAGACACAAAAACTAACTACAGTCAAACACAGACACAAAAAATACGATAAAATACGACAAAAACAACTACAGAGGGACAAAAACGACAAACTTTGTTGAACAAATGTTTCGTTGTTGATGCCTAATTTCAGGTTTTTTGTTGTTTTTTTTTTTGCTCCCCTCACGGCACTTTTTGTTCCCCCCTCTGGACATCACACAGTTAAAAAACAAAGAAACCGACTTGAATTTTTCATGTTTTGATATAAAGGGTTAATCTGCCTCCTGCACCACAAGAGCATGAGTGACAAAAGCAGCACGTGCAGTGAAACCTCCGTGCGTAAACCTCCTCCTCTCCGGGTGCGTAAAAGCGCACAGGACCTTCAGATGGTTCTACTTTTGAGGTCCAAAGATGCAAACAGATGAGAAATGAAAACAGATTTTCTGCCTGAAAAACCTCCGTGCGTAGACCCCGTCCCCCCCGGACCCTCACCTGGTCGGTCTGCAGGCTCTGCGCGCTCCCGTAGCGGCAGTAGGTCACGAAGTGCTCGCAGTTGTTCCACAGGAGGCTGTAGGACACGGAGCCCACGAGCTGCTCCGCCCGCTGCGCCACCTCCTCCCCGGACAGCGGGCTGCGCGGCACCGCCCGGTCCATGTGGTTCAGGAGGATCCCGGCCCCGTACGCGAAGTCCTCCACGGAGTCCGTGCGGATGCTCGCGCGCTTGGAGATGACCCCGAGCAGCAGGCGCGTGTTGGTGACCATCTGCTGGATCAGCCGGCGGTCCGTGGTCAGCGCCGGGAGGATGTCCGGGATCAGGTGCGCCACCCGGTTCTCCCCCAGGTAGATCCCGAAGTGCGTGAAGAGGGTCCGCGGGACCTCCAGGAGGTCCCCTCTCTGAAAGTCCCGAACCGTCCCGGATCCGGATCCTGACCCGGCTCCGGAGGGCTGCGGAGGAGGAGAAGGAGGAGGAGGTTCATCCCGCTCACAGCGCCTCGAGAGCGGAGAGTCCGCGCGAGCTGCAGCCAAAGGAGGCACGAGGCTCGACAGCTTCAAGTGCGCGAGGAGGAAGAGCTTCTGCACGAGGAAGGTGAGCGTTTCTAACATGGTGGAGGAGAAAAAACATCGAAGAAGAAGAAGAAGAGAGACCGAAGGAAGAGGTGTGGACGTGTCCCCTCCACCCCACTCTGCAGGTCTGTCCTCCTGCAGGGACATTTGGAGACGGAGGGGGGGGGAGGTCCGAGCGACGTCATCGTGGGAGAGAGAGAGAGAGAGAGAGAAAGAGAGGGACGCCTACCAGTGCATTACTGTGTTTAAAGAAGCCAAATATACGGTGGCCGAGAACTGCCACTGCTGCAAATAAGAAAAATAACTTACAACGGAAGTTACTGATGCAAAAAAAACAAACAAACAAACAAAAAAACATAAGCCGATTGCAAATAAAAAAGAAGAGCCACAATGGAAGTTTATGACGCAAAAAAAGTGGCAATGCAAAAAAATAAGTGACTGTGAAAATTAAGGATGCAAATAAAAAAATGCAATAAGAAAAGTCCTGACAAAACTTACCGATGCAAAAAAAGAAACAGAAGCCCATTGCAAAAAAAAAAAAGAAACAGTGCAGGTAAAAAAAAGACACAAAGGAAGTTATTAATGCAAAAAAAAGTGGCAATGGAAAAAAAAGTTACTGTGAAAATAAAGGTATGCAAAGAAAAGAATCCACAACAGAAGTTGCCAGTGCAGAAAAAAAAAGAAACAATGCAGATCTAAAAAAAAAAAAAAAAAAAGCCACAACAGAAGTCATTGGCACAAAAAAAAAAATGGCATTGCAAAAAAAAAAAGAGTTACCCACTGCGAAAATAAAGGGACACAAATAAAAAAACACAAAGGAAGTTACTGATTCAAAAAAAGTGGCAATGAAAATAAAGTTACTTACTGCGAAAAAAAAAGTATGCAAAGAAAAGAATCCACAACAGAAGTTATTGATGCAAAAAAACGAAGCCCTCTGCGAATAAAAAAAAGGAACAATGCAGATTTTTAAAAAAAAGCCACAACAGAAGTCAACGACACAAAAAAATTAGGCATTGCAAAAAAAGAGTTACCCACTGCGAAACTAAAAAGGAAGCAAATAAAAAAAAACTTACCAACGCAAAAAAAAAAAAAAAAAAATGACATGATAAATAAAAAAATTGACATGATGCAGATAAATTTTTAAATCCACAACGGAAGTTTATGACACAAAAAAAGTAAAAAAAAAAAATAAAAAAAAAGTTACTTGCTGCGAAAATAAAAGAATGCAAATTAAAAAAAAGCAACCACTTTTTTGCATTAACTTCTGTTGTGGCTTTTTTTTTTTTTGCAGTGGCAGTTCTGGGCCACCGTAGCAGACCCTTCAGAGATTTAACCTCAGTATTGAGTATTCTTGTGTGTTTTGTGGTTTTAAGGAGGAAAAACTTTGTCTGTTTTATCTCTGCGTGTTTTCTGAAATATTCTGGAGGGATGAGAAAAATGACATTTATAGAAAAACAGGAGAATCAACTTATTTAAAAAACAAAGAGATCCTTTTTGTCTTGAAGAGGTATTTATTTGGATTATCTGTTTGTTTTTTGTTTGTTGGTGTTTGCTTTAGTTTCTTTGTTTTTCTCTTAATCCCCTGGAAAGGGTCGATGTAGTCTATCAGTCCAAATCTTCAGTTTCACGATCAGATCGTCACTTTTTATCGTCTTCTCAGAGTCGGTGTGATCTTCAGACTTTTTAAAAACGGGTTTGCAGTTTTTCTCTCTGGGGTCTTAAAATCACCTCCTCCTCAAAGTTGGAAAACAGACTCTGTTTGAAGTCACGGCTGAGGGACACGAACACACCCCGCCACAAACCCGGCGGACACACTCACTGTTTCCACCGCAGCAAATGTCACACACACACACACATACACACACACACTTCTATACACAGAGAAGGGTGAGTGTGGGGCATCATGGGAACTCTGCAGAGTGGTTAACACTCCTCTCTGAGATTTGAAAACCACCAAATGGTTTTGAACACAGACCGGGCTGAGTGTGAACCGCTGACTCAGCGACAGTGAAAAACGGCGACTCTTCTCTGGATGTGGGAAATTTCCACAGTGATCCACCACTTTTTAAAGGTTATTACACTCATCTCAACCTCGCAGTTAAGAGGGGGTGTGTGGTATGAAGTCTCAGACGTGTTCTCTGTTAGCGTAGAAAAAAACGTTCTCATGTCTCGTTCATGTTTTTAAATTAGCGTGCGAAATAACTTGAACTGGCGGGTAGTGGTTGACCAGTCACGGGCAATAAAACAGGAAGGAAGTCGGGCAGAAACCAGTGAGGAGATGAGTGTGGGGGACATCAACCAAACTGAAGAAAACAGACGACAAAGTAGAGACGGCTGCTGAGCTCTCAAAGTTCGACAAACTGGATTTAAAACGCCGTGAATACAGAAACGACGGGAGGACAGAGGAGTGACAGAAGAAAAAGAAAAATGATAGAAATCAAAAGAGGGATGACAAAAAGAAAGGCAGGTGATGAAAAGAGGAGAAGAATGATGGACCAGCAGTCGTTTATCTCCTTTTCTTCACCCTGACAGACGGACAGGAGCTGATGTTAGGGTCTCAGTCCGAGACACAAAGAGGACGGAGAGATGACGGACGAGTCGGAGGACGTCCCGCAGCTCACACAGACACACACAGACACACACACACAGTTGTTCCCATGCTGTCAGCCTGTGATGAATGTTAATCACCGTCTCTCATTCTCAGCGTGTCAGAGGAGCTGAAGCTGATGTTTGTGTCGAGTTTTTTTTCCTTTTCATGGGGATCGTTTGGGTTTAATTCTCTCCAGATTTTCAGCTTCCAAACCCAACGACCGGGAAGTAAATTTGGTTTGAGCTGCGAGTACCACGTTTAAAAACTATGAAAACATGATTGTTCTGGAATTCAAACTTTAATCTCGGAATTTTTACTTTGATGTTGGATTCTTACTGTAATCTGAGAAATGTGACCTTAACCACAGAATTCCTTCATTGATCCCAGAATTTAAACTTTGATCTTAGAATTCCGTCTTTGATCTCAGAATTCTCTCTTTGATGGTTAATTCTTACTTTGATCTGAGAAATCTGACCTTAATTTTAGAATTCTGACCTTCATCTCTGACTTTGATCTCAGAATTTCATCATTGATCTCAGAATTCTGACTTTAATTGCAAAATTCTTTGATGGATGGTGTGTTCCTCCTTTGATCTCAGAATTCCAACTTGGATCTCGGAATTCAAACTTTGATCCCCTAATTTTTTTAAATCTCAGAATTCTGTCATTGATTGCAGAAATCCAAAATTGATCTCAGAATTCCAACTTTGATTGTAGAATTCCGCCACTGATGTTATATTCTTACTTTGATCTGGGAAATCTGACCTTAATATTAGAATTCCAACCTTCATCTCCAACTTTGATCTCGGAATTCCAACTTTGATCTCTGAATTCCAATTTTGATTTGAGAATTCCGTCCTTGATCTCAGAATTCCGCCATTAATGTTGTTTTCTTACTTTGATCTGGGAAATCTGACCTTAAAATTTAGAATTCCAACTCTTGATCTCAGAATTCCGCCATCGATCTCAGAATTCCGTCCAACTTTTTTCGTACATTTCCGACACTGTGCCCTTTAGGCCACCTTTCATGAATCAGGAACCCTTTGGACCCTGATGTCACTGTCACTTGACACAGATATTAACAGGGATCAGATGAAGTTGAAGTGAGGAATCGCCTGACTGATTCCTCCTTAAAAGGAACAAAAACCTCAACAAAGTGGAGACAGTGATGCACTAACACACACAGAGGATTCACAGCTTAGGTTAACACAGGGTTGTTCTGTTACTCAGCTCATAAATTACAAACGTTGGAGAATAGAAAATAAGCCACTCCCACTTCTCAGACATCTGGCTTTGTCTCCTGTCCACCACTCAAAGCAGACAACGACACAACATCAGTGTATTTTTGACGAATACGGCGTGGGCAGTGATTCTATGATACTACCATGAATCCTCATCCCTATCCTTGGAAAACAGTGTCAGAGAGCTGTGATTCACACTTCAGGATACACACTTAAAACACACACTAACACACACACACACACACACACACTGAGGTTTCTGTGTTGTTGCTGTCGACACCTTTTGCCGCCTGACTTCCTGTGACAAACTTTACAGGTCCGAGGACAGAGGAGGTTTTCCACACAAACACACACAGTCAATGACGTTTCCTAAAACGGACTTTTGTTCATAAAAATATCTTTAATCTCTTCAGTTCAGTATCTACAAATCATACAGAAATTTACTCACTGTTCGAAAACCTTTAGAGATTTTTGAGGCGTAGAGAGCAGAAGAATCAAGCACCCATAGTTTGTGAAATTTTCGATAAATGAAGGCAGAAGTGAAAGATTTTCAACGTAAACCTTTAGAGTCGTCTGAGCTCTTCAATCACAACAGTTCCTGGATTAATACACGTTAATTATAGGCTACTGTATTCCTCTAATACTGCAGTTTTCAGGTAAAATAAAAGGATAAAAGTTCAGACTCAAGTGTCGCTCCCTTTAACAAACAAAAACAACCACTGTGATGATTTAAAGTACGCACTTGTTGGGACGCAAAACTTTACATGTCCCGAAAACTTCAAACAGAGAGTATAAAGCAGCAAAGCATTATGGTTCAACCAAGAACGAAAATGTAGTTTTGACACCAAGAGTTTGAGTCAGTCGTACTGAAATTATAATCCAGAAACTTCTAAAAGCACCTCCTGGATTTGGCGTGGAGACACGTCGACTCAAGTCTAAGATATATGAAATAGTGTCGGCAGAAAGTCACAAAAGACTCGCAAAGAATCGAGAAACAAAATCAAGAGTTTCTGGGATTTTTTGGACGGCTGGATCAGATTCCCGCTCTTCCTACATGAGCTGCCCATGGAAAAGGCACTTGAACGCACCGTTGGCCCGGTGGAATCGTGGACGTTTTGGTGTAATGTATCCGGAAAGGTTCTGTTGTTTTAGGCGAACTAAGAGGCGGCATGGCCTCGGTGTTCCTGATGGCTTCACTCGGACATTGAGGGTGTGTTCGGCAGCGAATATCTCAAAAAAGGTGGGAAAACGTTTCAAGAGGAAGCTCAACCATCGAGCCCCGACTGGTTTGAACAAATGGAAGAGTCGTTTTATTGCTTTACGAGAGCAAATTCTGAGGTGGATAAAAAAGTTAAATTCAGGGTCTTTTTTTTTTTTTACCCATTTAGCACCGACATATCTATGTTAGATAGTTTATGGGTGGTACAGGCCGGTTTTTAGGGTTAGGGTTATCTGTTACCTGGTGTTCCACAAGGCTCAATACTCGGACTTTTAGTGTTTCAAATTCAATCAAAAAATAAACTAGAAAAGCACTCGGAGAGCGCAGACCTCCGCCAAGCAGCTCATGTCCCCTCTTAAACAAGAAATGCCCTGACCGGGATTCGAACCCAGGACCTTCTGGCTGTGAGGCGACAATGCTAACCACTACACCACTGTTCCGCCTACCTACACCACTGTGCCGCCCATTGGTTTAGAATTTTGTCCGGATCACCACCAAAATGTAATGGGATCCTCCTGGGGCTGAGACGCACCTCTGGTGAAAATTTCAGGTCAATCCGTCTGGAACTTTCTCTGTAAAACCAACGCTACCGAAAACATAAGCTCCTTGGCGGAGGTAAATATTTAGACTTCAATATAAAAGTTTGTAGTATCGTGAATTTTGAAGAAACTGTTTTCGACGTACAGAACAGTTTTTCGGTGATCAGCGAAGTTCGATGGACGTTTGATTTTTTACGAAACAAGAAAATTCGTTAAAGGACGAAATATTTGAGATAAGAATCGATGGATTATCATGCTGGAGGACTTCAGACCAGCCTTAACTTATTTTAATTAGGCCGCAAACCGTTAACCCAAAAACTGAATAACGTACACTTATTTTTCTATCTATGTATAAAGTTCGGATTCGTTTACAGTCACTGGTAAAACGAAACTTCGGCTCCAGTTTTTGGGAAAACTTTTTTAATTGTGATTAGAAACTGGTCTTCACCGACCCCAGAGGAGGTCAGGAGGTTTGGACGGAGGTTTCACGTCAAAGAAAAGTTCTTGCTGGTGCTTAAAAACTTTATCCGGATCATTGCGGACTGAAAAACTCGTCATTATCTTTTTAGACCTTCCTGGACTCTTGAGGTTACGAGGAGCGCTGCGGGCCGACATCAGTGTGGTCGAATGAGGCGTTTTCTCTCCGTTGACGAATCATCATCGCAGTCCTGAAAGTCTTTCTCGGGAATAACGAGGTCGGAGATTTTTGGAGCAGAAATATGCGGCACAGATGTTGGTTTCAAGATGAGACACATTCCCACGAAACGAGCCGACGTTTACGTTTGAAAACAGGAAGTGAGCTGGAATTTACAGTCATCGTTTCAACACCTCGCTTTGTAAATCTGAGCGCTGGAGTCCATCCAGAAGGCGCTTGTTTCAGTTTGTCCTTTTTTGTTGTTGCTCTGATTTATGCTCGTTTACTGACGGCCCAAAGAAACCATCACGTTCTGATGTGGTTGTTTTGATGCTTTCGTGCCGCTTCGTTCGGAGGAACAGACTCCAACAGAGGAGCGACCCGGACAGAGCTGGAGGATTCAGGACGGGATCTTTCTGAGGGCAGCCCGAGGATCCGGAGGACGCGACGGAAGCCGAGGAGAGACTCCGACTGCGGTCTGGTTGTAATTAGGGATAAACAGAGCGGACGCCAGCAGGGAGCAGACGCACATTCCTGTGGGCGGCGAACACCGGAGCCGGGTCGAGTCTAGGTGAATGAGCCGGGGGGGGGGGGGGGGGGGCTGGCATCCAGCACAACCAACCTGAAACCGGCGGTGTCTGCTCTTTAAAACCAACGCGCCAAACCGCCTCCATATGGAAGTCAGGGGTCAAAGGTCACTTCCCTTAAAATGGGTTCTCCGGCATAATGTTTCCTTTCCTTCCTGGTCCCATCGACCAGGACAAAGAGAACTTCTTTCTCAACTTTCCCCCTGACTTTAGTGACATAAAATCTCTGAGAACCGTTACCTTAAGACGGATGAGGGTTCGATATTTAACTAAATGCTGATTACTCATGCGGCAGGGTTACTTTTGATTATTTTTGAGGGACAGTTTCTGATTTTTTTCCTCTTTTTTGACACTAATTTTGCCATCAACTGGAAAAGGTCCAAAGAGAATAGAGTTAGACCCCCCCTCCAGAGATGAATGTTGTCGACTGCTTGCTTCTCTAGTTAAACCAACTTTAGTAACGACCACAGGATAGAAATACAGAGAGACACGCCCTCAACCAAAACGCCACTCTATAGCCACAAATAATGCTCAGAACAGCACCTAACTTCATCAACAGGGCATATAGGGTCACAGACATAGTACTAGACACCAAACATCTTTTTAACTTTGACTCATTTCTTCAGCAAAGAGACTAAACACAACTCACCTACTCTCTTCCAGCAGACGCTTGTTTGTAGAGAGACCTCAGACTAGTCCATTACGGACTACAGCGGGGTGCCGCAGCTCAAGGAAGAACATTTATGATCATTTCTTTATCATCATCACTCTATGGCTGGGACCCAAATGTACTAACCTGAGTAGATCATGCTGTAGTTCCGTTCAGTAACAGAACCTCATTGGAAAATTAGCTGATTTAACTTTACTGTGCTCTTGTTCAAATATATTAACTCAATAGCACATAAATCCATACCTGTTAACAAAATCATGATTTTATTGATAATTCGGCTCAATAAAAACACCTTTACCTTTTTATTTAGTCTCTTTGCTAAAGAAATGAGTCAAAGATGTTTGGTGTCTAGTACTATGTCTGTGAGCCTATATGTCCTGTTGATGAAGTTAGGTGCTGTTCTGAGCATTATTTGTGGCGTTTTGGTTGAGGGCGTGGCTCTCTGTATTGCTATCCTGCGGTCGACAACATTCATCTCTGAGGGGGGGTCTAACTCGGTGTTACAGTGTGTTTGACCCTAAATTAATTTTACGCCCGGATATCCCTTTAAAAACCTCTAATGGAGTCCTGGATGTCTGGTTTGGTTGCGGAGTGCGGATCGTACTGATCCAGCAGAAAAGAAAGTTTTTCAAAAGTCGATCTCACTTTGATTCGGCCGTCTCAATGTTTCAGGACAGAGAAAATCTCTTCGATCTGTAAACGATCCTCTTGTGTTTCAGTCGAGATGAAATAAAGTCTTTCGGAGTTTCTTCTTCTCGTTCCATCTTTACCTCCTTCCGTCTCTCAGTCTCTCTCACTTTCGCTCAGTCCACCAAAGACTTGAGGTCGGGGAGTCCTTTCAGCTTCAGGTCCAGCAGCATCTGACCGTAAGCTTTACCCTGAAAAAAAAAGACAGAGCAGAGACTTTAGAAACTCACCGCAGGAGGAAAACAAAGAGCCGGCTCATGTGTTTGGATTTACGCCTCATGTGTTGGAGTTTTATTGGAGTGTGTGTTTGATGTGTTGTGGATTCCAGCGAGGCGGTAAAAACTTTACAGGAGCGTCTACGAGGAGTGGGGGTGTGTGTTGAAGCTGTTTCCTGAAGTCAGCGCCGCGATGACGAAGAGTAACGAGGCTTTAATGAGGCTCGGTAAATCTGTTCTGTGTGGTCTGCAGAGAAGATCTGAAACTCAGGATCTGAATCTACGCCAGAGGAAGACGACCAAACTCGACCTCTGAGTCCTCAGCAGGACTCTTCTCCTACAGAGCCATGCTGTTGTCAGAATGTGGTTTGGGATCATATGAAGGTCTTCACTGAAGATGTTTTTGTCTGGATGGACGCAGATGTTGCTTCTAAACCTGGAAACTTTCACTTCTGCTCTTTGAAAACTTAGATTTAAATTAAAACGCCTCAAATGTCTGAAAATTCTGTTGTCCTGTATCTGATCCGCAGACGCCCTGACGACACGACAGAAGAGAAACATTTTCAGGTCAAAGTGAGTCCGATCTGAACGAGGACAGGAGGTGATGAAATAAGGAGGAGAAAAGAGGAAGAAAGTGAAGAGAAACTCCGGGATGAAGAAAGAGCAGAAAGTCAGAGCTGTGTTTTTGTCTGTTTTTGTTTTTGTCTGTTTTTGTTTTTGTCTGTTTATGTTTTTGTCTGTTTTTGTTTTTGTCTGTTTATGTCTTTGTCTGTTCTTGTCCATTTTTGTCCTTTTTATGGTCTGTTTTTGTCTGTTTTTTTTTTTTTTGTTTGTTTGTTTTTTCCCGGTTTTGTCTGTTGTTGTTTGGGTTTGTCTATTATTGTCTGTTTTTGTCTTTTTGTCTGTTTCTGTTTATAACTTTGTTTGTGTTTGTGTTTTGTGTTTTTTGTGTTTTTTGTTTTTGTCTATTTTTGTCTTTTTTTCTTGTCAGTTTTTTCTTATTTTTGTTTGTTTTTGTCTGTTTTTTTGCCAGTTTTTGTCTTTTTTGGTCTGTTTTTGTCCAATTTTGCTTGTTTTTGTTTGTATCTACCTTTTTTGTTTGATTTGTCTTTTTTTGTTTGTTTTTATCTTTTCTTGTTTGTGTTTGTCTGTTTTTGTCCATTTTTGCTTGTTTTGTCTGTTTTTTGTTAGTTTTGTCTGTTCCTATCAGCTTTTGTCTGGGTTTTTTTGTCAGTTTTCTGCTTGTTTTTGTTTGGTTTTGCCTGTTGTTGTCTGTTTTTTGTTTGTCTTTGTCTGTTTTTGTCCCTTTTTGTCAGTTTTTTGCTTGTTTTTGTTTGGTTTTGCCCTTTTTTGTCGATTTTTGTTGGTTTTTGCCTGTTGTTGTCTGTTTTTTGTTTGTCTTTGTCTGTTTTCGTCCTTTTTTGTCAGTTTTTTGCTTGTTTTTGTTTGGTTTTGCCCTTTTTTGTCGATTTTTGTTGGTTTTTGCCTGTTGTTGTCTGTTTTTTGTTTGTCTTTGTCTGTTTTCGTCCTTTTTCAGTCTGTTTTTGTCCAATTTTGCTTGTTTTTGTTTGTGTTTTTCTAGTTTTGTCTGATTTTGTCTTTTTTGTTGTTTTTGTCTGTATGTGTTTGTCTTTTCTTGGTTGTGTTTGTTTGTATTTGACTGTTTTTGTCCATTTTTGCTTGTTTTTGTCTGTTTTTCTTGAACAAACTTCTCCATCGTCTGTCTGGAAAAGCTCTTTTTTAAGTTTTGAATGTCAGGGTGAAGTTCGGTCTCCTGAAAGTATCTCAAGTCTCTTTGAGACCTCAGACCTAGTGTAAGTGTGTGTGTGTGTGTGTGTGTGTGTGTGTGTGTGTGTGTTACCTGGGGGTCACTGCGTAGAGAGGCCACCCCTCCCCCTCCCAGTGAATTCTTCAGGACGAAGTTGAGACCGTGGATCCCCGGCAGAGTGTATCTACAAAAAAAAACACACACACACTTATTACCACAACACAAGAGTGTACACTTTTTAAACACACACACACACACACACTCAGGTCTGCAGCAGCTTATTGCGCTTTAATGTGTTCCAGTGTGTGTGTGTGTGTGTGTGCGTCATGGTTGATAAAACTCGGTCTGATGTGTAAAACGTGCGTTTGTTCTCGTATACATCTGCAGCTGCACCGAAGAGAGGGGGTGATCATATGCAAAAAAACCTGAGTGTGTGTGTGTGTGTGTGTGTGTGTGTGTGTGTGTGTGTGTGTGAGCAGTTAAGTGTGTGTGTGTGTGTGTGTGTGTGTGTGTGTGAGTCTCCCGCAGCTTTAACAAGCGGTGGAGGTGCTCTAATGAAGCGTCTGCGGCGGCAGGGAGGCGTTCAGGGTGTGAGAGGAGACGCAGGTCAGCGCGCTTTACGGCCTCCTCCTCCTCCTCCTCCTCTTCATTAAGCTAATCGCTAACACGCGGCGCGCTGAGTCATCGCTCAGACACGTCCGCGCACTTTCCCCCACAATCCTTCGCTGTATATTTAAACCTTCAGGGGGGTCACTGTTGAGCTGCGTTTCTTTTTTTAATCTCTCCTCAATAGCGCCCTCTGTGGCCGCAAGCTGCAACTGCAAGGAAAGCCGACACAAACAATAGAACGTCGTGTTTTCGTGAGCAGAACTGTGCAAACTGTGAGTGTCACCCACAGGAGTACCCCAGGGGTCAATCCTCGGACAACTAATTTTTACTCTTTATACCGAAAATATCGACAAGTTTTTCAAAGTCTTCGGAAATGTTCGTGTTTATGATTTCACCTGTTTCTCCGATTTTAATTCTCCTAAAATCTCCACCATAACTCCGCCCCCTGAACCTGTATCGCCCTCCCCACGACACACCCCCTCTGGCAGAAGATCCTACGCTAGCTTCAAATAGGATCCACCGTGTCGGATTGTTAGTGACTAGCGGCGGTAAACGCCATCAACTGGAAAGGATGACCCGATGTTTATTCGAGTTAGATTCCTCGCTTGGTCACATGTCCTCTTCGACTCCGCCCTTTCTTCTGTCGGCGTTTTCTTCCCACTTTTGTCGGTGGGGCGAGCTGAAGTGTTTTTTTTTTTTTGCGTCCTTCTCCATCACAGCTCCTGTAGCTAAGCTGCTACGCTACTTTTAGCCGTTCAGAGCTCCGAGGAGGGCCGGGAGCCGATATTTCTTTTTTCGTAGAATGGTAGGGGAAGGTCCCGCCTTCTTCGTCTCTGATTGGTTATTCCTAATGACTGTGAAACGTCATCGTCTGTCGGGTTAGGCGATATAGGAGTATGATAATGTTTCCAGCTTTTCTAGCCAATCAGAGGCGAAGGAGGCGGGACTTTCCCCTTCCATCCTATAAAAAAAATGTCGCGTCCAGGAAGGATGGCTCCCATTGGTCAGTGTTTTTGCAGCCCTGCACCTGATGGGGTGAACGGATTTTTTCCGTTCTTTTTTCTCTTCGCTTTGTGGAGATCGCACTATCGGACCGTGATCGCCATGGAAACGAGGTTCATCAAAATGACCGATCTCTCCATCAACCATGCCTTTAAACAGACTCTTTAAATCTACTCCAGCGGCTCATTTCTGCGTCTCTCAGGTGTTTCATCTTTTTAAAGCGACCTCGTGATTCCCCGCCGTCTCCGTCTTCTTGTTTGGAGACAGACTGAACCTCCAGACGTCCAAACATCGAACCCTCAGCCTCTGTTGTGTCGTTTCACGGGGATTACCTTGAAGGAGGGTCATGAGGGACAGCGGTGTCTACAGCACTGTGTCTCATTTCAGAGGAAGTTGTGTTGCTGTTGCGGTTCTTCTCCTGACTCAGATGTTTCGTGTCTCTCAGCGTCTGCAGTGTCTCTCGGTTAAATCTGGAGTCCCTGTGGTTTTTGTTTGGTTTGAAAACGGAGCCGGTGATATGTTAAGAGGTCTAAACAGGATAAGGGATCTCCTTTCTCTCTGTTGGTGGACTCAGTTTGAGCAACATCTGGGAAACATCAGGGGAGCCGGAGGTAAACAAACCTCTAATACACCTTTGGAGAGCCAACCTGGATCCTCATCCAGACACTCGGACCGCTGAGGTATTCTTCACAAAGTACCTCAACAGACCAGATCCAGACCTGAACCGGGACTGTCCAAGACCGTTTACCCCGAGAGAAAGAAAGAAAGAAAGAAAGAAAGAAAGAAAGAAAGAAAGAAAGAAAGAAAGAAAGAAAGAAAGAAAGAAAGAAAGAAAGAAAGGAAGGGAGGAACGTTTGGACTCAGAGATGTCCTTCAGATTATCTCCAACGATAGGAGATAAACAAAGAAAGCAGAGAAGACAGGAAAACAGGAGAGAGGTTTCTGTGTGTGTGTGTGTGTGTGTGTGTGTGTGTGTGTGTGTGTGTGTGTGTGTGTGACTAATATCTCTCCAACCACAGATTGTGTGTGTCTTGTTTTTTTGCTGTGTTGTGTCTTGTTGCTGAAGGCCGACGTCTGACAGCGATTACACCGACCGCAGAAGCTAATCTCCGCTAAGTGTGTGTGTGTGTGTGTGTGTGTGTGTGCGTGTGTGTGTGTGTGTGCGCTCTGTTGAAATCTGTGAGTCTGATCAAATACCTCCACTTTCTGAGATTCAAAGCTGACATCCACAAACCGCAGTTCCTCCAGTGTCCACTAGAGGCTGCGTCTGAAAGCGAGTCAGCTCCCATAGAGCCCCATGTTAAAATATCGATCTATCGAATAATCAGGTGACTGTGATGATTTGTTGTTTTTCCTCCTAAATGATTATTTGCTTCTGTTTTTAATTAAACCTTCAAATTCCCAGCTACATTTTGTAATTTTTGGTCCGCCTCTTTTTTTGTTTTTTTTGTAAAAATCTCTGTAACGACTCAGGACATCCTCAGCTACCAGTTTATGGAGCAAAAATGATGGAAAATAAACGTGACAGTAGATTCAGAACCATCGAAGTCAACGAAAAAACAAAAACAGAAACTGATACAAAAAGAACTTTGCTCAAAAAACACATAAATCTACCCAGAAGACATTAGCGGCATTTAGCGATGACGATCTTTTTTTCATGAAACAGGACTGACCCTGAACTGAGGGTACAGACAAAGAAAGAAAGAAAGAAAGAAAGAAAACTAGAAAGTTCAAACCAAAACAGAAACAAGAATTAAAAAAGAACTAATAGAAAAACAAAAAATGGAGAAAAAAACTATAAATAAATCAAAGAAAGAAAGAAATTAATGATGAGAAAGTAAAAAAAATTAAAAAAGGAAAAAAAGTTTTTCAAGAGCAAAGAAGAAAAAGACAGAATAAAAAGTGAAACTTGGTTAAAGGAAATGAAGAGTCGGAAAAAGAAAGATAGAAAGAAAAAAAATGGAAAATTCAAAACAAGACAGAAAAAATATTTATTTAAAAAAGAAATCAAAAAAGGGAGAAAGAAACAAGAAAGAAATCAAAAAATGAAAAAGTCTGTAAAGGAAAAAGAGAGAAAGAAAAGAAGAAGAAAAAACAATTTTTAAGTTAAAGAAAAACGTCAATACAAAAAGAATGGGAATTTGAAAGAATAAAAAAGAAAAGTGAAAACACAAAATCTGAAAGAGAATATTTTAGAGCGATACGAAAAAACTGAAAATAAGAAAAAAAACTGAGATAAACGTGAAAGAAAAGGAACTTAAAATATGAAAAAAAGAAAAAGTCAAAAAATGAAAAAAGAATGAAAAAGGACACGAGGATGATAAATAAACCAGAATAAAAAGAGAGAAAGAATAATTCATTCAATAATTTTAAAGAAAAAACAAAAGGGAGGACGGACTAATGAAAGAAAGAAAGAAAGAAAGAAAAAAACTAGGAAGTTCAAAACAAGACAGAAAAGAGATTTAAAAAAGAACATAGAAAAACAAAAAAGGGAGACAGAAACAAGAGAGGAATCAAAGAAAGAGAGAAAGAGAAATTAGCATGATGAGAAAGTAAAAAAAATTTAAAAGTTTTTCAAGAGCAAAAGAAAAAAAGAAAAAGAATAAAAAGTGAAACTTGGTTAAAGGAAGTGAAGAGTCAGAAAAAGACGTGACGCCTTTTTTAGATTTCTAGAAACCGTCACACTTGTCCTCATTTCTGCAACACTTCCTCTGAGCACCGTGACTTTGGGAACATCTGACCTGATGTCAACATCACACACACACACACACACACTCTCTCACACACTCTTCGTCCTCACCGTGTGACGGCGTCCTTCGTCCCCGACTCGATGAGATGGGAGAAATACTCCTCCACCACGGAGGAGGTCAGGTGTTTCTTCAGGTAGGGGAAGAAGAGGGGATGTCGAGCGATCACCCCTGAGAGACAAAACAAGGAGACGTTTAGGAGAACCAGAGAGTACCACTAGGAACCAGAACCTAAATCTGTGGGAACCTTTCTTAGAGGAGCTGTTCTCTGAATCTGTTAGTCCAGAGAAAGACATTTTTGGTGATTATAGAGCTAAACCTGACTTTGGTTCCTGCTGTGGAAACTCCTCAAAAAAGTTCCTGGTCCCTTTAGGAGGGTTTTTCCAGTGGGAACGGGTCAATAAAGATCCTCAAAGCGAACATGCTAATGCTGCGAGCCTCTTTGTCCTGCCTCTTTTGCAGGCTGAGCCTCGATGAGGACACTTTCAGTCTGTTAACTAACTTGAGTTTCCTCGCAGGACTCCCTCACGTGTGTCTCTGGAGTGTTTTTTTTCTCTCACCGATGTTCGCCGAGTCTCCTTTGTCTCCACTCCGGGTGTAGGCCAGCTCCTCCAGCCTGTAGCTGTGTGGTCCGCTGGGCAGCTCTGGACAGAAACCAGAAATCAGACGTGTTTGTTTGGCTCAGCTGACCAGATCAGAACAGGAACGTGAGAAAATAAAACAGGATCAGGGTTTTTATTCCTCCTGGAGAAGATCTCTGGAGACATGTTTAATGTGAGCGTGAGAAAGGTGAGTCTACATCCGAGAGCTGAAGATGAGGAACCGACCCCTTTAAGATCTTAAAGAAGAACCTTCATCAACAGGACATATAGGGTCACAGACATAGTACTATATTCAGAGTTGTTCTAACTCCTGAGAAAACAAACTTAAGCGGGGGCGTTTCTCCACTTCTGTTGTCTATAAGCTGGGCCAAGAAACTTCTACTGTAGTTAAAATGAAAAGGTAAAGGTGTTTTTATTGAGCCAAATTATCAATAAAATCATGATTTTGTTAACAGGTATGGATTTATGTGCTGTCGAGTTAATATATTTGAACAAGAGCACAGTAAAGTTAAATTAGCTAATTTTCCAATGAGGTTCTGTTAGTGAACGGAACTACACCATGTTCTACTGAGGTTAGTACATATAGGGTCACAGACATAGTACTAGACACCAAACATCAATTTAACTTTGACTCATTTCTTTAGCAAAGAGACTAAACACAACTCACCTACTCTCTTCCAGCAGACGCTTGTTTGTAGAGAGACCTCAGGCCAGTCCATTACGGACTACAGCGGGGTGCCGCAGCTCAAGGAAGAACATTTGTGATAATTTCTTCATGGAAATACAATCAGACCGAGACGCTGAGACAGAAGAACTACTGTGTCTATAAAATGATTAATATGGTGATTATTACTTCAAGGAAATGGTAAAGGAATGATTTTCTTTCTTAGTAAAATGAAGCCACGATTTCGCTCGTTTCTGACGACTTTTCGTACCGTCCATTTTTTTTTTCTCTGTCTCTGTTCCTGCTCGCGTAGACTGGCACTCGCGAGACCGTTTTTCAAGGCACCCGTGAGAAAGAAATCATTCAGGGTATCGTTAAGATAAAATGTAAATGACTCTTAACTAATTTTTCTGATCATAAATGTTCTTCCTTGAGCTGCGGCACCCCGCTGTAGTTGATGGACTCGCCGGAAGTCTCGCTACAAACAAGCGTCTGCTGGAAGAGAGTAGGTGAGTTGTTTTTAGTCTCTTTGCTAAAGTTAAAAAGATGTTTGGTGTATAGTACTATGGCTGGGACCCTATATGTACTAACCTCAGTAGAACATGGTGTAGTTCCGTTCACTAACAGAACCTCATTGGAAAATTATCTGATTTAACTTTACTGTGCTCTTGTTCACATATATTAACTCAACAGCACATAAATCCATACCTGTTAACAAAATCATGATTTTATTGATAATTCGGCTCAATAAAAACACCTTTACCTTTTCATTTTACTACAGTAGAAGGTTCTTGGCCCAGTTTATAGACTACAGAAGTGGAGAAACGCCCCCGCTTAAGTTCGATACGGTCCGGTATGCTAGTTTCATCCCTCAGTCAGTTTTAGATGTTTACAATATCCAGATGGATTCACGTCACGTTCAGTGTTTTTCTGCAGAGACGCTCTCAATCAAAGCGGCTAATCAGTGATTTTCTGTCTGATATAAAAAGGTGGATGAATATTTAACACACCAGCTCCGTCTTTTCTTCCTGCATCTGAATGTTTTTTATTCACTTTGGTTTGTTCTGGTGGCTGAAGAGGGCTGGACTGTTCCCAGCAGGAACGTGAGGAAGGTGGGGGACGCAGCCAGGACCCTGTGTGTGTGTGTGTGTGTGTGTGTGTGTGTGTGTGTGTGTGTGTGTGTGTAGAGAGTCGTATCAGAAGTCCTCGATTCACAGGTTCTCGCCTCAGAAGGATGTGGGTCAGTGTTTTACTGTGTTTGTCTCTGAGGCCTTGTGAATGCAGCCTTGGTGAAGGGTTAGAAAGGCCCAGCATGTGTTCTTTTAAACACACACATACACACACGCATGCGCACACACACACACACACACACAACAAGAGGGCCTTTGACAAACTCAGAATCTGAGTTTTTCTACGTCGCGTTAACGACTGTTACACGTTGTCGCCCTCTGTTGGCAGACAGCTGTAACTTCAAACTCCTTTACGCCCGGGTAACTATGACAACGGTCATTCTATTGGCTCAGCCTGACTGAGTGTGACGTCACTCTTTCGTAGGTGAGAATTATCGGACGTGAAACTGGAGCGTGTTTGTTTACCTTTGTCGGGTACGTCCTCCTCGGAAGTGGGCGGAACCTCTCCCTCTGATGCGTCCGGCTCCGCCTCCGTGAGCGACTCCACCAGCTCTCCGTCCACGTGGATGTCGACCTGCGGGGAAACCGAACCCTCAGACGACTGTTGGTTTTAATTGAGACCGATTTAAACCCTGAACGCCGAAAAACCTCAGATCGACAAATGAGCCGAAACTAAAAACAAGGATTAAAGTTTCCGACTTTTTTCTCGATTTGATTTTTAATTTTTGGATCGTAAACATGTACGAGTTCATCCTTTACATCTTTAACTACTTTATTTTTACAAACAGGGATTTGAACCTTGTGAGTTTTCCACTTTTTTCTCCATATTTACTTTTTTAATCATCATACGTGAAAAATTTTTGAAACAACTTTTTGGTGTAAAAGTTGACGATGATTTTAAATCGGATCAACAAATTAACTCGGTCGTTAAATCCAGTTTTCATCGTCTTAAGGTCCTTACACACCAGGACAGACGCAAATATACGAAATTACAAAATATTCGGAGGCGGATTTTGACGCGCCTGACTCTACACATCAAGCGCGATGCAAATTTTGCGACTTTTCCGTGGGGAAAAAAAGTCGCGTCCCCGGTGGAAAGGAGAAGACTGACACACATTATGCAAAATTTTAGAATGCCGCAATATCGCAGGACGGGAAAACGTCGCTGATGTGAACGCTTGTATTGACAGGATACGGGTTCGAAAAAACATATTGACGTCCGAAATAATCGCACGAAAAAAAAAAAACACTACTGGTGGGTAAGGACCTTGAGGCTTTTATCCAAGGTTAAACCGTTTTTTATCTTTAAATGATTGATTAAAAATAAAAATGAAAAATAATAAATAATAATAAATAAAATAAAATAAATAAATCAAATCAAATCTAATAAATACAATTAAAAATATTGATGTCCGAATTAATCGCACGAAAAAAAAAAACAGTGTGAGGCTTTAATCCAAAGATTAACCGTTTTTTTATCTTTTAATGATTGATTAAAAATAAAAATAAAAAAAAATAAATAATAATAAACAAAATAAAAAAAATAAATTAAATAAAATCTAATAAATAAAATTAAAAATATTGATGTCCGAATTAATCGCACGGAAAAAAAAAACGGTGTGAGGCTTTAATTGAAAAATTAACCGGTTTTTATCTTTTAATGATTTCGCATCATTCCTGTTTTTATTTCCACGCTTTGATTGGATGACTGTAACGCTCTTTACGTCGGCGTTCGTCAAAAATGCTGCTGCTCGTCTTTTAACAGGTAAACGAAAACATGACCACATCCCTCCTTTTCCTGCGTCCCTCCGTCGTCTTCCCGTTCATTTTAGAATTTTATTGTTTGTTTTTAAATCTTTAAACGGATCAGCACCACGGTACATCTCCGACCTTTTAAACGCTCCGACTCATCGTCCTTAAAACTCGTGGGTCATGAAATCGGCACCTTTTCAACTTAGAAATTTTAAAACTGAAACGATATTTAATTGTTAATTTTTAATTACCCAGAAATCAAAGAATGTTTAAAATAACAGGAAATGACATTGAACCATCTCAGGCTGTTATTTAATATTTTATGACCGTTTTTCTTACTGTTACCGACATAAACTTGACAAAATACAATATTTCTAATTATAAATATGCGATATATGGTACATATATTAGCAATACTTCAGTCTCTTTTACCATTATGATTATTTTATTTATATTTGTCATTCTGATGATCAAATTTTCCCTAATTTTGCATGTCAGTCTCAACATATCAGATATTTTTTTAGAATAGAAATATTGAAAAATGGTCCAATCTAAAATATAATGTAATTTAAATTACAACAGTGAGTGTTGAAAGACCATTTAAGTTTTTTTACATTTTTATCAAATTAATGACAACAACAGGATTGACATGAAATCAGGGGACGCCGATAAATTGGTAAATATTTATAATGATTAATATATTATTACTTAAAAAACTAATAGGGTCACACTCAAAAAAATATGTAAATGTGACAATTTTATTATATCTAAATTTAAAGTCTTGTTTATGTACAACAGTAGTAGTGAGGGACAGGCCAAAAACCTCATCAGCATATAAGTAATTTTAATTATTTAAAATGATATTTAATTTGATGTTATTTTAAATTACATGTTAATTTGTTGTTATCATTATTTTATGCCTGATTACTTCTTGGGGACGTAAAAGGCACCGATTTCATGGAATGACCCTCGTGGCGACCGAGCTTTCTCGGCTGTGGCGCCCAAATTGTGGAACGAATCGAAAAGAAAACATCCCTTCACTTTTTCTACTTTTAAATCACGTCTTAAAACTCGTTTTTATTCCTCGGCTTTTAGCTCAGCGTGAGAGTTGAGTGATCTCTGTCCTTCTATCACTTTTATTTCTATTTGCTTTTGTGTTTTTATTTCATTCTAAACATTTTTTGATTTGTTTCATCTTGATGTTTTCGCTTGAATAAAGCGGATTGAAACGTTTCCTTTTCTTTCGACAAACCTTCAGCTGAGATTTGGGGTGTAAGAAGAAGAACGGCTTCAGGACAGGAGACCTGAAACAGAAAAAGCAGGAAACTTCGATGTTTTTACGACGATCAGAGACGAAGTTTCAGAGCGTCAACGTTCGTAGGTTTCACTCACACTCGTGGACGCCCGCCAACGATGCCCGTCAGTCCAGGAGCTGTGAGCAGAGAAAACCAGAGGAACAGGTTTAGAGATCTCAGGGTTTTCTGGGAATGTTCAGTCATCAGAGTTCAGCTGGTCTACCTCCTCCCATCCCTCCAGGACTCACACTCAGATCATGAGTCTGTGTTTGTGTGAGACTCTGGATACCAACCACAAACAAGATCTGGTTTGGAAGGACAAAACCTCCCTTATCTGTGTGTGTGTGTGTGTCGTACCCATGCCGGTCCCTGCAGGAGCGACCTCCCTGGCGAACAGCTCCAGAGCTTTCTTCTGTTTGTGGTGGACGGCCATCCAGAGAACGGCCTCTCTGCTGCCCTGCAGACCCACAGAGAGAAGAAACACGGACAGGCGGTGAAACGACGAAAAAGTTTCCAAAGAAGAAGTTCGGATTAAAATAGAAACTTGGGATGAGAGTGAAGGAAACAGAAAAGAAGAACAGAACAGCCCTGAGGATCATGGGAGGTCAGAGACGTGAAACGAGTTTAAGTGTGACCTCGACTTTCTGAAGGAGAGACATGTGTGATGGAGGGAGAGAGCAAGAGAAAGAAAAAAAGGAAAAAAGAGAGTTTAGCAGCATGAAACAGGATTAGGTCTGACCCTGAACTGACACCCAGGGTACAGAGAGAGAGAGAGCGGAGAGAGAGAGAGAGAGAGAGAGAGAGAGAGAGGAGAAAGAGAGAGAGAGAGAGAGAGAGAGAGAGAGAGGAGAAAGAGAGAGAGAGAAAGAGAGAGGAGAAAGAGAGAGAGAAAAGGAGGAGAGAGAGGGAGAGAGAGAGAGAGAGAGAGAAAAGGAGGAGAGAGAGGGAGAGAGAGAGAGAGAGAGAGAGAGAGAAAAGGAGGAAGAAGGAAAGACAGAAGGAAAGAGAGAAAAAAAGAAGGAAAGAAAGAAGGAAAGAGAAAAAAAGAAGGAAAGAGAGAGAGAAGGAAAGAGAGAAAGAAAGAAGGAAAGAAGGAAATAAAGAAAGAGAAAAGGAAAGAAAGATGAAAGAAAAAAGGGAAGAAGGAAAGAGAGAAAGAAAGAAGGAAAGAGAGAAGGAAAGAAGGAAAGAGAAAAAGAAAGAAGAAAGGAAAGAAGGAAAGAGAGAAAGAAGGAAGGAAAGAGTGAAAGAGAGAAGGAAAGAAAGAAGGAAAGAGAGAAAGAAAGAAGGAAAGAGAGAAGGAAAGAAGGAAAGAAAGAAGAAAAGGAAGAAGACAAGAAAAAAGGAAAAAAGACTAGAAGGTTCAAAACAAGACAGAAACGAGATTTCAAAAATAGAACATAAAGAAAAAACATAAAGGGAGAAAGAAACTATAAATAAATCAAAGAAAGAAAAAGTCTGAAATGAAAAAATTAAGAAATAAATGAGAAGGTAAAAGAAAATAAGAAAAAAATATTTTTAAAAGTTAAAGAAAAAGGTAAATACAAAAAAAACAGGAATTATGAAAGAATAAAAAAGAAAAGCGAAAAAATCTGAAAGAAAAAATCTTTGAGAGAGAAACGAAAAACTGAAAATAAGAAAAAGAAATAAAACTGAGATAAATATGAAAAAAAGGAAACTTAAAATATAAAATATTAAAAAAGAAAAAGTAAAGAAATGAAAAATGACACGAGGATGATAAATTAACCATAATAAAAAGAGAGAAAGAATAATTAATTTTAAATTTTAAAAGAAAAAAACAAAAGGGGAGAAAGAAAGAAAGAAAGAAAAAAGTACTTTAGAAGGTAGAGAGAAGAAAGTAAGAAGAATAAAACAGAAAAGAGGAAAAGAAGTGACAATAAAAGAAAGAAAGAAAGAAAAAAAAGAAAGAGACGACTACAGGACAACCTCCCTGAAATTCAACAAAATGGTGTGTGTGTGTGTGTTTTTGTGTGTGTGTGTGTGTGTGTGTTTTTGTGTGTGCGTGTGTGTGTGTGTGTGTGTGTGTGTGTATTTGTGTGCGTGTTCGATACCTTACTGCGGGCGTTTTCTCCGTACGTGTCTTCGGCTCCGAGGACCTGGATGTTTACGGCGCTGAAATCCTCCATCCCCAACTGCTTAAAGATTCTCTTGGTCCTGCAAACACAAAACACACACACACACACACACTCAGTTACTCTCACCAGCCAATCAGAACGCAGGAACATCTATGACCAAGGGCGCCGTTCCTACATCACCCACCGTTTGATGATGCTCTCCGCGGTCCGCCGGGCCTTCTCCGTCGCTCTTGGCCCTCCAACCGGACACACCGCCGTCGCCCTGAAACCATCCATGTAGGTCGCACACACCTGGAGAGACGCGGGTGGAAACACAGGTAAGACGACCATATAAGGGAGTGACGACCATATAAGGGGGAAGAACAGACAGAGCATTCAACGGTCGGTGTCTGACCTTGTAGTCATGTGACGGTGGGAGGCCTTTAGCTCCGGTCACTCTGACAGCACCTCCGTCAACACCTGGAAACACACGTCACAGGAAGTCACATCAAAGACACTTCAAAATAAAAGCATGGAATAAACCTCCTAAAACAGTGTGTTCGCTGAAACTGTACGTGTCGTCCAAGTAAAGCGGGTCAGGACAGAAAAAGAAGAAGTGACCCCGTGACCGTTGAGAAAAAGAGGAACGTGTTGTCCTCCTCCCTGACATTACTCAGAGCACCGCGGCATGTTTCCACCCCCGCCCCGCCTGAGCCGGACCACAGACTGCACACACCAGTTCATCCTGGGGTCAGGTTTCTGGCGTCCTCGTGCTAAAAAACTGAACTTGAGGGGTCACGGAGCGGTCAGATGAAGCTCGGAGGTTCAACTGAGGCTCAATTAGACGGAAATATTTACAGCTTCAGCAACAACAGTCACTCAAAGTTCACATCAGGGCTCTGAAAAGGGACATCCTGGTCCAGAAAGATCCAGAACCCCCCCCCCCCCCGGCGCAGGATCTGGTTTGTTAAAGATCAGGCAAAGTTCACTTTGGGTCAGCTGCTAAAAGCAATCAGGAGAGATGATCAGGACCAATACAAAGATCTGCTGTGATCCTGGTGCAAAGTACCAAGACCTGGTGGAGGAGTGCAAGACCAGAGGGTGGAGAACCTGCAGCCTGGTGGACCAGGGTCCTCATTTATCAACCGTGCGTACGAACATTCCCACGCGAAGTCAGGAATTGATCAACCTGTACTTGTTCTCAGGAACGTTCTACCCTAGTGGTAGAACAGTGAATGGATTTATGATCCGTGATTTACAACCGTGTCAGAGCGAGAGACAAAACGCACCAACGCCATCATCCCAGTGACCATCCAGCTCCTGTCCACCCTAACCCCAACATCTCAGCGTGAGGTTAGAGACATACACGATATTCCGCAGCCAACGCTAAACAGAATCGTGTCGGCAGAGTTGGATGCAGTAATTTCTCCGGACTCGACTTACATCCAGTTCCCGAACACACATCAGCAACACGCCCAAATAAAACCAGGATTTCACGCCATCGCCAGATTCATTCCTACGCCAGAATTTAGAACCTTTTCCACGCACCGTTGATAAATGACGACCCTGGACTGTCCCAGACCGCTCAATCTGAGAGGTCAAGACCAGGGCCTGATCAACCTGTGGGCAGTGGCTGCTGGGACCTGAGTCGGAGTTGCTGTTGGTGTCTGATGTTGTGAGACCCCCAAACACTGGAGGACCAAAGGTCTCAGGAGATGTGTCTTGGGCTCAAACAAGGAAGTAGCTTGTGGATTTACAGACAGATGTGACAGGATCACTTTGAATTGGACCAGAACTCACTCCAAGACCGGTTCTGCGGTTCGACGGTGCGAGTATCAGAGATTGCAGGTCATGCTGGATCCAAGGTTCGGTGAAGTTTTGGGTCATGACAAAGAGACAAACTGAAATCTGATTTTGGACACTGAACCAGGTCCTTCGGTCCAACATGCCTGACTTTAGAAGGTTTCTCACTCGTTATTTGAACTTCTGCTGACTTTCTTGGACTCGCCATGAGAACTGGTTGAACCTCCGTCAGCTGGCGGCTCTTGCAGACCAGATTTGACCTACTTCTCCGCTGAAGTTCTGCGGTTCACTCTGGGTGAGCCTGCGGAGCGAACTCATTCCTACACTTCAGGGAAGATAAACTATATGCTGCTGGAGGAAACGGGTCGCGTCGGGGTCATGGAGGAGTTATTGCTTCTGTTGGAGGTTGACTTATGGGAAAAACTGAAGGATGTCTATACATACACGGATCATCTGGACCTGTATTTACTCCAACGCGGCGGTAGAAGGGTCGTTTCCTCGTGTTTACACCTTCTTCAGCTGACCGAGGAAAACAAAACCCTAAAACACCGAATTAATGAGCAGAAGGAGTGAAATGAAGCTCCTTATCTGTGAGGAGGAGGAGCTGATGGAGGATCAGAGGGAGGTTTCAGGGTTCATGCAGAGGTTTGGAGATACGGACCGGTTCAATCTGTGTTAATGGAAACATGTTTAGTTTGTATAAAAAGAGGAATTAAACGCTGATACGGAGTTGAATCAGAGTTCAGAGGAGGGTGGGCGGGTCACTCAGAGTTTGTTTAAGGTTTCCCGATGAATGTTTCTGGATTTGAAAAACAGTCCGCGGTTCAGCTGCCGGTCATGTTCTCAATGCCGACTCTGTGTGAGTGTTTTTTCCTCACCTCGCATTTTCTTGATGGACACCTGGCTGAAGTCGCAGACCACGTCAGGGAGCAGGTATCGCCGCGGGTCTCCGATCTCGTACACCAGCTGCTCGGCTACGGTGGCGAAGGAAACCAGGCCGCCTGTTTTCGGCGGTTTGGAGAGAACGAAGGAGCCGTCGCTGGAGCACTCTACCACCGGGAAACCCATGTTATCCCTGAGGAACACAACGAAGGGTTAAATCGACATTTACTATTTTCATCACAGACCCCAAACAGGACCGGACTTCTGGTTCCTCACACTTACAAGAGACCAAAGAGGAGAATAACCCCAATCTCCACCTTCATCCAGAACGGCTACGAAAAGATCGTATCCTCCGATCGTAGCTGATCGGAACCATTCACGTTAACGTGTCAATTTCCACCGACTTCTTTCCGTTCCTCTGCGGATCGTGAAAGGTTTTTAGACGTCATTTCACCCTGATGACACCATGGATGAGGAGATGCTGATTCTAGAAGTCTAGAAGTAGATTTCCTCCTCTGGAAGGACACAATCTACTGCTTATATGTCTATGTGTCTGTCTTTATAGAGACAACTCGTTATCGCACGATTGCACATGAATCCGCGGGTTCTTGTGAGTTCTCGTGATTACCACTGTCCTTAATCCGCCACGAAATTCACCTCACAAACAGACCCGGTAGGAATTGGTGGATGGCGAACATCTGTGCCGTTCCAGATGTGGAACGATGTGAAAATTGGGGGTTACAGAGGAGACCAAAGAGGGGGATAAGGATCCGCCATTAGGGATCCTGCATAACCGGCTTAATTCGCTTTTACTCCCCCAAAAAATACTCTTGAACACCACCCTGAACCCCCCATGGTAGCCAAACTTTAAATTGAAGTAGATAAAGCAAAAAAGCTCAGACAGCAGCTGGACCAAACATCCCTTTATTCTGCTGACGTTCAGTCAGGATCACCATCATTTGTATCTGGTCCCTTTAACGAGCGTACCTGGAATACCTGGAATACCTGAGGCAGGTAGAGCATCAGCGAAGACCTCAAGGTCCAGGTTTTCCAAACTCTTACCCGGGAATCCCACTGGATCCAGAAAGGTTCCACTCTGGACCGGCAGGTGGATCGAATACACAAGCATACAGCACCCACCGGATCCGATCCGGGATATTACCGATAGTTCTTGCCGGAGCGGATCCGCAGCAGAGCCGGATGGCGGATGGATTGTGTGGAATCACTCACATCGATGATAATGCTTGTGTATTTGATCCGCCTGCCGTGCCGGAGCGGAGCGCAGCCGTTCCGGATCCTGTGGGTTTCAGCTGTTAAACTTCATCACAGCTGTCAGTTTTTAGATCACAGCTCACCAGTCGGGGATTTTGTGCCAGTCGGTAAAGATTCCTCCTGTGCTCTGAGCTCCGCACTCGATCAGGTGACCTGCCAGACTGACACACACACACACACAAACACACACACGTGTTCAGACAGAGTTCAGATCCTCCACATCTGTAAACAAACAGAATAATCCCTGATAATGAATCTATTTGACTTTTATTGGGGGCAGTACCTTCCAGCTGCCAGCAGGTCGTAGTCGTCCTTCTGCCATCCAAACTGTTAAAGACGATCACAGGTAAGAATCACACCTGAACTCTTTAAAACCACCTTAAGACCTTTCACACAGAGGTTTAAATCAGACGTACAGAGTGCATGAGCGGACCCAGAGCCACAGCGCTGTCCACACAGCGCCCGGTGACCACGATGTGAGCGCCACGATCCAGACAGCGGCGGATCGGTTCAGCTCTAAACTCAGAAAGAACATGAGGGTTAGTTTTTCAGACGTGTTAACAAAGAGAGGAAAAACGGTTTAACGATGAACGGCGAGTCCGTACCCGAGGTAGGCGTTCATGCTGTGGAGGGTTTTAGGTAACGACTGTCTGCTGCCGTCATCCGCCATCTTGACCTCAGACAGACCGCTCCTCTGAGGGGGGAGGAGAGAGGACACGAGGAAGGAAAGATGAGAGGGAAGAATACAGGAGAGAAGAAGAAGGAGAGAAGGAAAGGAAACAAGAGAGGACACGAGGGGAGAAGGTAAGGAAAGAAGGAAGGACGGAAGGAAGGAAGAGAGAAGGGAGGACAAACATGAGGAAAGGAATGGAGAGGAAAGAGGAGAGGAAACAAAGAAGAGGAGAGTAAGAAAAAAAGGGAAAGACAAAAAGAAGGAGGAAATAAGGAGAGGGAGAAAAGAAAAGAGGAAAGACAGAAAGGAGATAATAGAGGAAAGGGAAGGAGGAAACAAGAAAATCAGGGAAGGAGAGAAAACATCAAGGAGACAGGAGAAAAGAGAGGAAAGGAAACAAGAGAGGAAGGAGGAGGGAGGATGGAAGGAAGGAAAGACATGAGGGGGGAATAAAAGAAGAGAAGAGGAAGGAGTGAAGGGCAGGAAACAAGGAGAAAAAGAAAGGAAGGAAGGGAGGAAACAAGGAAAAGGGCAGACGATAAGATGGTGGGCAGAGAGAAGGGAGGAAGGAAAGAAGAATAGGAATGGAGAAGATAGAGGAGAGAAGCAAGGAAGGAAAGGAGAAAAAGAGAGAGTAAGAAAAGAGGGTAAGACAAAAGGAAGGAGGAAATAAGGAGAGGGAGGAAAGAAAAGTGAAAAGACAGAAAGGAGATGAAAGAAAAAAGGGAAGAGGGAAACAAAGAAAATCAGGAAAGGAGAGGAGACATCAAGGAGATAGGAGGAAAGAGAGGAAGGACAACAAGAGAGAAAGGAGGAAAGAGAGGACACGAGGAAGGAAAGGGAGGGAGAAATAAAGGAGAGAAGAGGAGGGAAACAAGAGAGGAAAGGACATGAGGATAAATAAAGGAATAGTCATCAGTCGTGTCATGACGATATCGAACTGTGGCGGTCTTACATGGGGCATGAGGTCATCTCCCGTCACCACGGCGACTTTGAGGTCCAGGTCGGCTTTTTTAAGCACTTCCTGTATGGCCTCGGCGCACGCCAGAGGGTTCACTCCTCCGGCGTTACTGACCACACGGATCCCTGCGGGGACACGGGATGATGTGAGATTAAAAATAAACTTTAAGACTAAAGATTATCAATCAATCAATCAATCAATAAAAGCAGAAAAGGGGGCGTGGTCTGTCACCTTTCCTGTGGATGTCGTTGATAAACGGAGCGAGCGCCACCTGGACAAAGTCTGGAGCGTAACCCATGTTCTGCAGGGACAGAGACCTCCAGTTACCTTCATATATTAAAGAGACGCCACACTGCCCCCTGCTGGCAGACAGCAGAAACTACAACCACACATCTACAGTCAGTCATGAGGAACAGCTGGGAACCCTTATTTTACACCGTTTGGAGTTTATTTCGATGATCAGTGATAAGTTAATAAAGTAAACTAAATAAATTAATAAACAGTCGGATTAACAGAAAACCCCGGGACCAGGACGTGTTAGGGTTTAAAGATGGAGCTACAGACCGTAGATCTACAGACACAAACCAGAACTTCAACCCTCCTCCTGTGTTAGGGTCTGTACCGACCTGATTTTGGTTTTTAAATACTTAAAAGAAACACTTCAATTAGCTTTTTTTACATCTTTGTCAGGAACCTTTGTTTCAACACAATGAAAATAAAAACATTAAATCGACTAGATTATAAAATCCTCTTATTAAAATTATAGCACTTGTCATGTCAGGGTTGCTATTGACCCGGTTAGATCAATATCTGATAATCAGAGCAAAAACTGAAATCATAAGTTTACTGGTTTTTTACAAACAGGTCTGTAAAAACGAACTTGATTATAAATCATGATGTGTTAAGTGTACTGTTCAATTGTGTTCAAATCTTTATCGGGTCTGCTCGGTAAGTTTGGGTGATTCGTTCGTTTAGAAGAATTCACACTGAACATGAACCGTTCCCTCGCAAACCGCTGCAGTGATAGGATGCTGCGGGTTTAATGCACTGCTTGTTACCTGCTGTGTCCTGTTGTATGCAAGTTGTTGTGGTGGCAAAAAAAAAAAAAAAAGTTAGTTTTGTCCGACAAAAATGATTCCTGAGAGTGTAGTCCAATGCGTGATTCGTTCACCAAGAGATTCAGGCATCGGTGTATGCGGTCCCTCGTTCGCCGGCTGTTTCTCACTTTAGCTCAACTGAACGAATCACTCGAGGAAGTGATTCTGTTCAGTATGTTCACTTAAAAGATTCGGTTCTTTTGGACGAATCGTTCACCAACTACACAACACTAGTGTGAGGGGTATACCGACAAAGAAAGGCCCAGAGGACCACGACAAAAACTATTATAATCAATATTTTCATGGATAATGAAGCCGAACAAGGTGACCTAGAGTTGAGAACCAAACTGGATGATAGAGAATTGTTTTTAATTTACAGCTGATCTAAGACACGGGTCAAAACCGACCTGTTAACATGGAGGGTGCGAAGTAGAAACTAACACAGGAGGAAGGTTAAAGGTTCATAGAAAATGAGGATCAGCAGACTCTGGAGGATCCGTGAACTCACCGGCATCTTGGTCTTGGCGGCGGTGAGCAGCGACATGGTGATCTCACTGAGGTAGTCAAACACCAGGAAGTCCAGCTTCCCGCTGTAGATCAGCTGAGGCACTGCAAACGCAGGTACAGTCAAAACCAGGCATTCTGGGTAATGTTTCTGTTAGTTTTAAAAGACGTTTTCGGACAGAGATTGACTTGATGGTTCTGAATCTACTGTCACACTCATTTCATTATTTCTGCACCTATAAACTGACAAATAAAGTTGTCCTGAAAAAAATAAGATGAGTATATATTTGCTGTGCTTGAAAGGATCGAGATTTTGACAAAAAGAAAACAGGCGGATCAAAAATTACAAAATTTTTGGGAGTTCTAAGGGTTAATAATGCGCTCTGTTTTATTTAAGACCAGATTTTATTAAATCCTCTTCAATAGATTCTTTTTTCATGTTGATTTATTGCCAACAAACAAATCTAAGTCTTATTTTTGTTAAATTTTAATATGTTATAGCAGTTCTGTTCCAGTCTGAACTCATTAAACTGTTGAATTTGTACTTTTGTATTGTGTCTTTTATTGGTTACACACATGCTGAACGTCCAGTACACATAAAGTACACACAGTACTTTGTCTATTCATACTCCGGTATTTACTGCATTTGCTTTCTAAATACAACAAAAACACATTTTAAAACGACAAACCGTCTTTTTCCACCTCCACACGGTTGGAACAGCTCAGGTAAACCGTAGAAGAAGAAGAAAGTAAACACCTGTTGAATTACCTGTTTTAGCGCGAGGCTGAGTGTCCTTACCTGAGGTGGCCGTGTCCCCCCAGAACCCGGAGGCACAACCGATCCGGACAGGTGTGGTCCCGGAGCTCGTGTAACACCTGGGGCTGGGTTTATGCTCAGGTGTCGTACTCCTCCCTGTCGAAGTCGCGGAGCTGCCGCAGACGAACTCCGAGTTTAACGGCGACCTGACGAACATCTCCGCGTTCCTGACGCGCCGCAACCGCCCGAAGACCGGCGGCGCGTTTCGGAACAAATGTGTGTATCTAGACATCTTTAAAAAGAGTTTATTTCTTCATAAATCCAGAAAAACACGGAGAGGAGACAGAAGTGGGTCTTCTCTGGCAGGTTCAAGGTGCACTGGTCCGTTCATAAAAATAGTCCGGGCGGAAACACGTCAGAGAATGGTTCCGCCCATCCTCATTTATTGAACTTTAACCCAGACTAAAAGTCACTTCTTTAACATCTACTTTAACCCAGTCTAACTGAAAGTCACTTTTTAGAAATAGTTTAGTAAAGCTGTTAAATAAAACGAATTGATAAACTAAAACCCGTTTCTTTGCCTTGACATCTTTTTTTTTTTTTTCAAATTTATTTGTCAGAGTTTATTTATTTGTATTTAGGGTCGCGGAATTCCAGGAGTTTTAAAAGTTGGAAACTTTCAATGGGAATTAACGGGAATAAATCTAAAATGTACGAAACTGAAAGTTAAGTTTAGCTTTATTTGGTTTAGTTAAGTTTGTGTTTTTGTTTTGTATTGTTTGTGGGTTTTTTGTTTGTTTAGTTTACTTTTTGTTTTGTTGTTTTTGTTTTGTTGTTTTGTTTTTTTTGTTTTTGTTGTTTTTGTTTAGATTTGTTATTGGTTTTGTTTGGGTTTTGTTGTTTTTGTTTTGTTTTGTATTGCTTGTTTTGTTTTGTTGGGAGTTTTTTTTTAGTTGTTATTGTTTTGGGGTTTTTTGTTTTGTTTTGTTTTGGTTTTTGTTGTTTTGTTTTGATTTAATTTGATTTGTTGTTGTTTTGGGTTTTTTTGTTTAGTTTTGTCATTGTTTTGTTTTGTGTTGTTTCTGCTTAGTTTTGTTTTGTTTTAATTTGGTATTGTTTGGGGTTTTTTTGTTTTGTTTTGATTTGTTGTTGTTTTGGGGTTTTTTGTTTTGTTTTGTTATTGTTTTGTTATTGTTTTGTTTTGTTTTGTGGTTTGAATGTTGCTCAGTGATCGATTATTAGAACAATCAGACTTTGAGTGAGGGGGTTAGATGATAAAAGATGCTTCTCCTCCCTGCTCTTTTCCAACCAATGGATAAAAAATGTTTTAATGTGACATGATATTGTCAAATGGAGAAATTTCCTTGGCTGGAATAAATAAAGAATAAAGAGTTTTTTGCTTTTTATCACTGAGATTCTTCTTTGTACTTCTAAATCCACTCTCTACTGCATCTTTACTGACTTAGTGTGACTAACATCTTAAATACAGCATCACATAGACGTGGTCTGGAGTTACACAGTTTCCTAAAGTTCCCTCTGTCATATTTGACTCCTTTAAGTCGTCTCCTGTGTTTGTTTCCATAAAAAAGCGATTCATTTATGTAAAAACCTCAAGATAAATCTCAGGTCTGAGCGGTGGAGCAGCTGCAGAGCCATTATGCAAAAGTCATCTCTGTAGTCTCATGTGGAGTTTTTAATACCATGTCATTTGTGTTTGTCTGTGAGTGTGTGTTTGTGGTTTCTGGTCCAGTTGAAGTGTTTGTAGAGAGGAAACCTGTCCGCAAAGCTCTCCGAGGACACAGACAGGTGAGTGACAGCTTTAAAATACTTACATTCAGTTTATCAAATCTGTGACACAGAGTTTGTATTTTTCCCTGTGATGAAGCCTGTTTATATCTTATAACGTCGTATTATCGATTTGTGTCATAATAATGCAAAAAAAAAGCTATGGACAGGAAAAGTATGGGACTGAAACTTGAGCCCTGGGGGACGCCATCGTAGCTGGATTAAAACCCTCTGTCATAAACGATCATCACACTGTTTATTCCAAAATAACAGGAGGATATAATATTTTTCACAGCCACTCCTCTTCTGTAGTGAACTAAACACAGGAAACATCCTGGAGATTAACGCCATTTAAGCGAGCAAAATACAGTCATGCGATGAACTGAAACGACTCCATCACAAAAACAAAAGTTCATTATAAATCTCAGAGATTCTCTCAAAGATAAACTCGAATAAAAGTATTTTTACAGTAAAACACAAACTCATTTCAAAGTGTTTTAGTGGAGCTCATTATACAGGCGGTACTCCTCAAACCTGCTTTGACCAGCAGAGGGCGCTCTGCCACCATTAATGCAGTATTCTCTAAACGAAAAACTTGGAGACATTGTGATAAAATTGTGGATTTACGGCAATATATTTTGATGCCATATCAAAAATACCACCATAAATTTAGAAATCACATGTTTTACTGAGTGACCAGCAGGGGGAGCCAATGACCCTGTATGTTAAAGGGGACATGATGAGTCCAAGACAGATCTCCAATGTGACACTCAGACTAATCTCATAATTCCTTTTTTCGCAGAATCGGACTTCTCTCCTTGTCCGCGTATACACACAGTGTTTTTGTTCCGGGGTTACAGGGGTGCGGCGCATGCGCACATGCATTGTCCAATCATACTCCGACTACGCTGGTAGAAAAAATCGAATTCCAATCGCATTATCTGGGTGTCTTAATCAGAGTTCTCAAACTCCGATTACAGTCGGACTAAGGTGTTAAAAATGACCTTCAGTTATCTGGTTTTAATCGGAATAAGGCAATAATTCAGTTTTCTTGAGTGTCGTGTAATCATACCGACCGATGAACCTTCAAACCGGAGAGGATCAGCTGTCTTTCTGACTTCATTTCAGTTTTGCAGACAGGATGAACTCCTCCAACAGCTCCACCCCTCAAAGCTCCCCTGAGGAGACCCCCTGGAACCCCTGTCCCAGGTCTCCACTGGGAGTCCAGGTCTTTTTTGCCATGGAAGTCGTCAACATTGTGGTACGTTGACACTTGAAATTCTCATTCACGTGGACTCGTTAAGGGTTCATTGTTTGGACATTGGTCTGTCCTGAACTACTAAACCCGGTACAGCCAGGTTAGCACCTCTGAACTCCCCCCAGTAGATCCAGTAATGGTTAAGTCCAAAGATGTGGAAAACCAGCCCCCCCTTTGGTTCTCACTGAGCATCTTTCACCTATGGACGTCTTACCCAGGATTTCCACCGCATCCGGAACAGCGGCAATTTTCACCATCTGCCAATTCCTACCAGATTCGTTTGTGAGGCGAATTTTGATTACGGACAGCAGGAATCGCGAGAACTCACAAGAACCTGCGGATTCACGTGCAATCGCGCGATAACGAGTCGTCTCTATAAAGACAGACACATAGACATATAAGCAGTAGATTGTGTCCTTCCAGAGGAGGAAATCTACTTCTAGACTTCTAGAATCAGCATCTCCTCATCCATGGTGTCATCGGGGTGAAATGACGTCTAAAAACCTTTCACTTGTTCGTCTCCGCCCGTTTGCATGGTGTGAAATACGATCCTCCTGAAACACGGAGTGTTTTATTTTGAAAAGAAGCCGGATGTTTTATTTTGTGTCTGTGCCCGACTTCCTTTCCAGCACGGGTTAATCTGTGCTGAATTTATCCGCCATGCTCCGGCGTCCAGAAAAAATAGAAGTCTTGTGATCAGCTGAGGAGTCCGGTGATCCGCAGAGGAACGGAAAGAAGTCGGTGTAAATTGACACGTTAACTTGAATGGTTACGATCAGCTGCGATCGGCAGAAAAGGCCTTTTCGTAGCCATTCCGGATGCGGTGGAAATTGGGGGTAACTGTGTCTTTGGTCCTTGGTTTACATCAGAGGTTGAAATCAGCTGACGGTCCTGTTCTAACCTTTGACCTTTGACCTCTAGTTTGGTCTGCCCATGAATGCCAGGACAGTCTGGTTGATCGGCCTCAGCTCTCACGCCGTCCAAGCTTCGGAGGTAAACACTGACTCTGACAGGTTACATGTGGAAAACTCAGGTGGGGATTTGTAGTTCTTCAGACTTGGAAACGGTGTGAACTCTGACCTTTAGATCCGGTCCATCCAGGTGGAACCATCAGGATGTGACACAGAGTAGGTTCTGAAGATGTTGCAGACGGTCATATTCCTCTCATTTCTCAGGTGTTCACTCTGAACATGGCTCTGCTGGAGTGTGTCTACATCTCCTTTTCTTTCCTGCGACCTCTCAACTATTACTCCATCAACAGCGCCTCTCTGTTCGCCGTCAACCTCTTCTTCCATGGTCTGTTAAACGCAGGTGAAATGCCCTCCTCTTTTTCTCTATCTCCACCTGAAGTTTGGAGGTTTGAGCTCATCCACCTGTCGATGTCCGTCAGTGTGAAAACAGTCGAATTCTCCTCCACAGGTCGTCCTCTGTTCCAGGCGTGTGTCTGCGTGGAGAGATACGTGGGCGTGGTTCACCCTGTGATCTATCTGAGGTCTGAGAAACCACGAACTCCTGTTCACTGACCTGATTACCGCTGATCTGTTAACAGTGTTTGAACCCCCGCCCTCTCATATGTCTATCAGATATAACTGTGTGAGGACCCGTCTCTTGGCGCTCCCTCTGGTTTGGGGTCTGATGTTGGTCTTCTGTGTTTGTAACGTCCAAAAGTTGGACTACGCCTTCCCGATCCTCATCCTGCTGGTGTTGCTCCTCCAGGGTTTCTGCTGCATCAGGATCTTGCAGGTCAGAGAAACGGTTTCGATGATATGATCTATCGCCGTATCACATATGATATTTAAATTTGGATGTGACCTGGTTTTCCTTTGACACCCTGCAGGTCCTGCGTCAGCCCAGTCCAGGCAAAGAGCAGGTCGATCCAACCAAGAAGAGGGCTTTCATCACAGTCCTGGTCCTCCAGGTAGATCCACAGATATGTGTGTGAGATGTCATCGTGATGAAGTTGAGGTGATTGAAGGTGTGTTGTGTTTCAGGTCATGATGGTGCTGAACTACCTCCCCATGGTGCTGACAGTGCCGCTGCGAGGCCAGATATCCCGCCATGCTTACATGTGTCAGCTGATCCCCGCCTCGCTGTCCTTCTCCGTCTTCGGCAGCTTCATCCAGCCTCTCATGTACCTGATGAGGAGGGGGACTCTACGCTGTGGGGTCCAGTGCTGACCGTCCATGTCAACATCTCAAAGATGATTCGTCCAGGCGTGATTACATCATTGTCAGACTGTGTCACAGGAAATGATTAATGGGCTATTAAAATTAAAAAAAAGAACATTTGTGTTTTTGCATTATGCAAATGACCTTACGATTCCTCGCTCATGCATTCACAAACAGTCAGTCAGTCATATCAGGACATCTGTCGGTGGACTGGCTGCAGGTTTGAAATCAGGCACAAAGCAGGTAGGCATGATTTTACATTTCTCAGATAAACAAACCGATCAAACGTTAGAGAGGGGAGTCCACCGTGTTTGATTCCATCGTAGGACACCTTCAGTTTGAACGCAGATTCATTAACAGGCTTCAAATGTCGTACGTATTAAAATGAACCGGTCAGAGTCTCTTTGAAACCAACTAAATACAAAACCAGGAACTTTGGAGTCTGACTCTGAATGATGACTACGTTTACAGGACGATCAGACTTACAACAAACAAGTCAGACCATAGATGTCAAAGGATAATATTAACTGATGAAGATATTATAGTTAGAACCCGTCTAATGTCATAGAACAGTGCTTTAACGGTAGGGAGCAGCAGTCAGTAAAGTCGGATAAACAGGGAGATGAAACCATCATCGAACTCGTAAAGCAAGGATCCATCATAAACTGCAATGGGGAGCAGGCATGCTTACACTTTAATGGGCTATTGTGCGTTTCCTATGGGAACAATATGTCCCACTTTATGTAAACGAGCCTATATATTGTCGTGAACGTGTCCTCCTCCCCAACACTAGGGGGCGATATGGGTCTTTTCAGCCGCGCTGTTTCCGACCCCATCCAACCGTCAACAACAACAGCAGGTCGGTGTCAGACGTCAGAAGTGTCTACAACTGCTGCTGGGCATTTTGGAGAAACAAGAAGATGGAGCATCGTACAGCGTTGTTTTTGTCCGACATGATGGACGCGCTACTTTTTCTAAAGATGAGACCAACGCTATTCCTCTTCGGCAGCGTGGCGTTGGACTACGCTGGTTACATAGTAGAGAAAATCGAATTCCAATCGCATTATCTGGGTGTCTCCGACTCCAATCGGAGTTCTCAAACTACTATTAAAGTCGGACTAAAAGTCGGTGTTTACATGCACTTCAGTTGTCTGGTTTTAATCGGAATAAGGCGATAATTCGGTTTCCTCGAGTTTCATGTAGATGTACTGACTGAGATGGACTGACGTGATGTTAAACTGACTTTGTAACCCTTCTGCAGTCTCTGTATCTTCTTTAATAGACGCTGTTGAGATGCAGGCCAACCACTCCCAGCTGTTCTCCACCAACTCCTCGGACTACTTGACCTGCTCGGACGGCATCCTGATGTTCATCAGTTTATATATCTACAACACCTTAAACATCCTGGTCTTCCTCCCGCTCTACGCCCTCGTCTTCTGGAAGAGTTTCCAAAGATGGAGGAATCAGACCACGGGAACAACGAGCCACTCTGACATCTTCACCTACTGTATCATCTCCATGGAGATTCTTGGTGTTTTGGCATCGAACCTTTTCTATTTTGGCTTCAACAAAAATGTTTCACTGGTGAACATGGTCGGTTATTTTTCCTTACACTTCGCCTACGCCGGACAAACACTGTTTCACTGCCTGACTTGTATGGAGCGCCATCTGGCTGTTTGTCACCCCATCACGTACAGAGCCCTGAGAAGAGCGGGCGGGGTGAAGGTTCGAAACATCAGCATCGGTTGTGCGTGGCTGCTGTGTTTGGCACTGACGGGGTCTACCTTTTTATACTTCCCTGACTTCCCCACCGTCATGTCTCTCGTGGCTTTAGGACTCACCCTGCTGATTGTCTGTTTCTGCAGCCTGTCCGTCCTGCGGGCTCTCGTTCACCTCGGTCTGAGGAAGGTAGGTGGGACTCAGAAGCAGATTGACCAATCAAAGATGAGGGCTTTGCATACGGTCATGGCCATCATGATAACACAGGTGCTGAGGTTTTGTGGGTTAGCGGTTTCCATCGTCATATTCGGCTCCTTGGCGTCACGCGATGTAAATATCTGCCTGCTGCAGTTGTCGGTGCCGTTGCTGTGTTTGCCCAGTAGTCTCGTTTTACCTCTGGGGTTTCTGCAGAGAGAAGGAACATTGGTCTGTTTTTAGCTTTAGAGACTTTATCAGAACTCCAACAGAGGGAAAGAGAGATACATGTTCATACCTCTGCAGGAGACACTCAGATGTTTGGGAACCCGACTTACCTCCTAAACTCTACTCATATAGACTCTCATAATGGTTTACATATCATGGGCCATGAGCGTCCAGATATTGTTGAGAAATTAAGGAATCCTTTGATGGTCTGGCAGCTAACCCCATCAAAAAGAAGATCCTGGACCTGACCAAAAACTGTCTTCAGACTTTCATGGTCCACGTCACTGTCAGCCGCTCTGATCTGCATGGAAAAACCATCCGTCCTGACCCCCCTGGAGGACTTGTCAGATATCACCAGGTGTTCACTGGTGGTTTTGTGACATGCAAAAAAGAATTCCAGTGATGTTTTTTTTCCTCTAACACCTGTTCAAGACACACCTTCTCCAACTCTCCATGTTCTGAGGGTCAACCATTGTTCTCCAGCTGAACGTCAGAAGAGGGTCAGAGCTTCAACCACTGGAGAACGAAAAAGAGGAAACACCACCTGTCAAGTACGTATGTCTGAACAGTGATAGACTGTTTTAATTTGTAGTTTTGTCGGTTTGTAGATCGTTAATTTATAGACAACGAGAAGACTAAAAAGTGTGAGTACATCGTTAGAAGTCCTCTTTGGACAGGGCAAAGACATGACATTGGAACTGTTTTCTGGCTCTTTTTAGTGTTAATATAATGTGACTACCATTTATTCTTGGTACGAAATGGAAACTGTTGAACCTCCAGGTTGAAACACAAATACGTAACTGTCTAAAAACGATGCAGGGTAGTTGTTCCATTTGATTTGTGGGACACAGGATCAGGAATTCAGAGGGAAAGTCGCTGCCTTACCTGCTGGCTTAAGGCAGCATTACAAAATCTACTCTGTACTTGAAATAACGTCGATAACCTCACGACGTCTGCCTTGTTTCCACTCATGAATGAGCTCTGAGGTCTGAAGTATTAGACTAAATTAGTCTTCTTACTGCAGTTGCAAGTAGAATCTATGGTTTCTATGTCCTTCTGGTGGAGTCTAGAATAATAATCGGTTCACAGATCTACACAAAAGGTACTTGCTCTCTGAGATACAGGAAACAGGTCATCAGACTTCATGGATTTGTTGTATTTCTGCTCCACAGGCGATGTCTATCAACTCCTCATCCCCTTCCAGTTTGACCCTTGACCCTCTACACCTTCTCCAGTCCAACTCTTCCATCTTATTGTTCTACCTAAAATGTACTCAAAGCATACCCAGCCTTGTTTTGTACTCCATCTTCACCGCCTACAACGCCCTCTTCCTCCTCCCTTTGTGCATCTTCATCATCTACACCGGTTACCAAAGGTGGAGGCAGCAGAAAACCACCTCCTCCCACTCCGATGTCTTCACCTACCACATCGCTGCTGTGGAGATTTGCGGGGGCGTCGGTTCGTTCATTTACAGTTTGGGGACCTACACCAGAAATTGGACGCTCCTCGAGATGGGAGTCATGATACCTTGTGTTATTTTCCCTGGACAGACACTTTTCCACTGCTTGACCTGCCTGGAACACTATCTGGCTGTTGTCCACCCCGTCTCCTACAGGCGCCTGCGGGAAAAAGGCGGGGTCAGGATCAGGAATATCGTGGTTGGATGTGTTTGGCTGCTGTGTTTTGGGTGGGTCGGGCTGACTGAGTTTTACTACCCTTATCTTCCTGTCATCCAGCTGCTCTGCTTGTTCCTGATTTCCATCATTTTCATATCGTTCTGCAGCCTGTCTGTCCTTTTCACTCTGACACATCCAGGGCCGGGGGACGTAGGCGCAGACAAGGAGCGGGTTGCTCAATCAAAGCAGAGGGCTTTCTTTATCATCATGTCTATATTTGGGGTCTTGCTCTTGAGGGTTTTGGGGGTTTGTGGTTCTCTTGGCTTGTACCTTATAGAGTCAATCGGGATCAAGGTTTTGTGTGCAGTTACAGATTTTGGACTGTGTCTGACTATTCCGAGCAGTCTGGTTCTGCCTCTGCTGTTTTTACACAAGACAGGTCAGCTGGTCTGTTGTCGCCACAGAACCGTCTCATAACACGGCGTTACGTCGGCTACTTTGTGGTTCTGTTCAATCGTTTACCGGCAATTTCCACCAAATCCGGAACGGCTACAAAAAAGGTCGTATCCTCCGATCATAGCTGATCGTAACCATTCAAGTTAACGTGTCAATTTACACCGACTTCTTTCCGTTCCTCTGCGGATCGCCGGACTCCTCAGCTGATCACAAGAGTTCTATTTTTTCTGGACGCCGGAGCATGGCGGATAAATTCAGCACAGATTAACCCGTGCTGGAAAGGAAGTCGGGCACAGACACAAAATAAAACATCCGGAGACGAACAAGTGAAAGGTTTTTAGACGTCATTTCACCCCGATGACACCATGGATGAGGAGATGCTGATTCTAGAAGTCTGGAAATAGATTTCCTCCTCTGGAAGGACACAATCTACTGCTTATATGATTAGCCTCTGTGGCTAAAGACAATTTGTTATGCATGTGCACGTGAATCCACAGTGTCTTGTGAGTTCTTGCGATTCCTGCTGTCCGTAATCCGCCACGAAATTTGCCTCACAAACGGATCCGGTAGGAACTGCTGTACAGTGAAAATCGCAGCTGTTCCAGATGCGGTGGAAATCCCGGGTTAGAGTCCATAATAAAAGGTCAAAGGTTAGATAAATGGTCATCATTTCAAACAAACCCATCATGTTCATATTTGTGTTGTGTGATATGACAAAGTTTGTGTATGTTTTTGGTGCCTTTTATTGAAACTCTACTTGTTACGTTTGATCTACATATTGTTTTAGGGTTTAAAGTGTGTCAAGACTTCCATCGTGTTCAGCAATGTGCAGTTTTTCTGCAGATGTGTATTACTGTCTGTCCTCACCGCACTGATACACAAGTTTACGGCCCATGACTAAGTCAACAAAAGTCCTGCTGGGTCTAAGAAGGATTAGCTCCCATCCCCTGTATTCCTCCATATTTACATTGTAATATATTATAATAAATGGAGTCTATGCTGAATCTGGGTTTCAGCGCATTACTTTATGTCATGGTATATATCATATTTTTGTTCTGATAAATATGCAATCATACTTTGTTTTAGTGAGACTAAATCACATTAAAGTTGCTTTGTAACGTGTTTCTGTTCTGTTTTTGTATCTGAAGTTCTCAGGAAACTAAATCTCACCAAAGTTTCCTTAATATATAAATTACATAAAAGCTGCTTATCTGTGGCCCTGACATACTGCTGCAGAGTTCAATGGCTCATGCTGTCTCCGCTCATTTGCATGGCCTCTAGCTGCAGCTATCCCCGTGTCGTCTGGATACACAACATTACCTCTGATTTGCATTTATCCTCAGCTCTAACTCGACCACAGATGAAACTACCAGAGAGAGAGAGTGAATATCTGAGAGTTATTTTCATCATTTTTATCTCTGCTCATTGAACAAAGAACATCCACTCTGATAAGTTATCAGACGAGTAATCAGAAGAATCAAACAGAAGAAAAATCTGAATAATAAATAACTACAGTTTTCATTTTTGTTTTATGATGTTTTTAATCCAAATACAACAGAACAAGACACCTAATCTACCACGGTTTACAGTTACTATTGTTCCAAAACAAACAGAGAACATTAAGGTCTTTTTTTTTTTTTGCAGATTTAAAATCAAATGTCAAAATTAAAAAGTGAGGAATGTACACCGAAAGATATTCCAGTGATCCAAAGAGATGTCTAAAGTTTCAGTTAAACACCACTTAATGCCGCAAAGAAGACCACAAACCTTCTGGAACAACCAAAGACCTGCAGACTGCAAATGATTCATCTACAAACCAGACGACGTAGAAGTGCACGGCGCACTCCTGCGTGTAAGAGCCGCTAGTCTCAGTTCTCCCCAATGAAGTCCTGCAAGAACTCTTACAGTGTAAGCCATCAGGTCCACAAAGTCATCCCGGTGTGAAGAAGATCCTCAAGAAGAAGAAGAAGAAGAGGAAGAAGAACTTTAATGATCCCTGAGGGCAAATACAAGAGCATCAGAACTTTCTACAAGAGTCCCAGAACTTTCTATGAAGGTCCCAGAACTTTCTTTGATAGTACCAGAACTATCTACAAGTGTCTTAGAACTTTCTAAAAGAGTCCCAGAACTTTGTACAAAAGGCAAGAACTTTCTACAAAGACCAGAAACTTCCTACAAGAGTCCCAGAACTTTCTACAAAGGCCAAGAACTTTCTATGAAAGTCCCAGAACTTTCTACAAGAGTCCCAGAACTTTCTACAAGAGTCCCAGAACTTTCTACAAGAGTCCCAGAACTTTTCTCAAGGGTCCCAGAACTTTTTACAAAGGCCAAGAACTTTCTACAAAGACCAAAAATTCCCTACCAGAGTCCCAGAACTTTATGACAGAGTCTTAGAACTTTCTACAAGAGTCTCAGAACTTTCTACAAGAGTCTCAGAACTTTCTACAGAAGTCCCAGAACTTTCTACAGAAGTCCCAGAACTTTTTACAAAGGCCAAGAACTTTCTACAGAGACCAAAAATTCCCTCCAAGAGTCCCAGAACTTTATGACAGAGTCTTAGAACTTTCTACAAGAGTCCCAGATTTTGGCCTTTTATTTTAGATTCAGCCTCTGGACTCAGCAAATCTTGCGCTTTAAATAGACAGGTAGGACACTTGTCAGGTAAACTGTCAGGTGATGATGATGCTCTGTAAATGTGAAACTACAGCAGCCTGCCTGGACTGGCTCAGGCTCAGTTTGCTGATCAGTAGATGGTACGATGGTGTTCAGTTGGTTTCTTTGTGGTTCTTGAAGCTCAAATCAAACTTTCAACCTCTTCTAGTGTTGCACTTACAGCATGACAGAGTTCCTGCTCGATGTAGGAACAGCAGCGGTAACACCAGACTGCCGGGCAGCGAGAACCAGAGTGCAGAGGTCAAGACTGCACACCCGACACGTCTATCCAGAAGCTGCGAAGCCTCCAGAGCATCACAACACAGCATCCCTCCAAAGCACAAGAATAACGCTCCTGTTATGGCAGTGGTGGTGTGGGAGGCCTTTCGCTTCATCGGATCGACCTTCTTCTTGTTGCCGCTGCCGTCTCCAGGACCAGGACGCTTGAGAGCACAGAGAACTGAGACGCTGCTAAAAGAGACAACAGCCAGGGATACAGCCACGAAGCAGAAGTACAGGATCATGTTAATCTGCGCCTTGGTAAACGCTACTACGAGTGCCCACAACAAACACAACAACCAAACACACCCGATGCTGACATTTCTGATCCGGACCCCACCCTCATTCTTGAGACGTATGTAGGTGACAGGGTGAACAACAGCCACATAGCGCTCCACACAGGTCAGCATGTGGAAGGTCAGTTTTGCACACCAAGTGCAAGAGAAAATCTGATAACTGTATTTCCTCATGTCAACCAGATCAGCGTATAAACCGACACAGAAGACGAAAGACGCCAAGACGATAATCATCTCCATGGTCATCATGTGGAAGGTGAAGATATCAGAGTGACTGGTCGTTTCAGCCGGATTGAAGCGCTGCTGCCTCCACCGCTTGCATCCCAGGTATAAGACGAGTGCAGAGAGAGGGAGGAGGAGGACGATGTCGGAGATGTAGAAGGCTGTGAGGATCTGGATGTCAAGGCTGGACCAGCCGCATTCCCCAGAAGGACCCGAGGAATTGGAGAAGGGGTCAGGAGTGTTGTTGGTATAGCCAAACAAGGTGGAGTTAACTGAGATTTCCATGATAAACAGATCTGAAAAAAAGGATGAGACAAAGCGGGGAGAAATCGGTGAAGCTTTATTCTAATTTTATTTTTAATTCTTAAAAAAATTGCCAGGAGTAACCGGCTGGAATTAGTTTTCGGTCATTTCAGGTCAGGTCTTCTATCAGCACTATTATTGCTCCGGTATTCACACAAGTTGCTGATCATTTGTATTGTACATTATGTGAATCCACATTATCTATATATAATATGTAATGTGTATGTGTTGCTCAGGTGAAACGAGGTACAATTTTTTTATCCTTTCGGAGTTCCCTCAAGGAAATAAAAAAATAAACTATACATGACAAACCAAACAAGAATAAAGGTTTTCCAGCAAACAAAACAGCCTGAATTCCTTAAAAAAAGTCTAAAAACACTAAATCCGTCTAAATATATCCGAACACCCACCTCAGCAGTTTCCTGTCCTCGTCCTGCTACCTCAAACTGACTGTCTGCTGTTCAGCACTACCTAACTCCAATAAAGGATGTATGAATTCATGCGTGGTATGGGTGTGAATATTCATATGTGTTATCCAATGTATTTGTGTATATAAGATACACAAGTGAGGAAAGGGCTCTGGGGCTCTTTTGCATGCTGTAGTACGGGGTATGGCCGTACGCAAATTTATCTTTCCCGAAGGTCAGTGCGATTACAGCTGAGTGGCAAAATCTGCAAGTCAAAGTCGTTACAGCGCTTTCCGCCTTCTTGCACTGATCTGTTTGTTTTAACCGAGACATGATATCATTGATAACAGTGAATGTCCATTAATGGGCAGAAAACCGAACCACTCCAGTCATTATTCACACGTTTATCGTATAACTTGAATACAGGTATGTCATCGTGCTTTAAGCCGTCTTGAATATGAACCAGATTTTTCAGGTGTTGAAAAAGGTAAGCCAGTAAATTCAAATACTTCACTTTATTCATGTGATCATTTACATCAACATAATCAAACAAAGCAATTCTCTAAGGACTATGTTTGTGAAAGAGAGGGAAACATTTTACATGATCAGTAATATTTGGTGTTTCTGTCCTGACTGCTCCCTGGACGAGCTGACTTGGACTTCTGGTGCCAGGCTGTAGACTAACCTTGATTTATAACTGCAGAAAGTGTATACCAAAGTTAAAGTACATGCACTGAGCCCACAGGGTGTCCGGGCTCAGCTTTAGAGATCGGGTAAGGAGCTCAGACACTCAGGAGGCGCTGCTCCTCCATGTCGAGAGGAGTCAGCTGAGGTGGCTCGGGCATCTGGTTAGGACGTCTTCTAGACACCTCCCGTTAGAGGTGTTCCAGACATGTCCCACCGGGAGGAGACCTCGTGGCTGGCCCAGGACCAGGTGGAGGGATTATATCTCTCGCCTGGCCTGGAAGCGCCTGGGAATCCCCCCCGGGGCAGCTGGTGGAAGTGACTGGAGTGAGGGTCATCTGGGCTTCCCTCCTGAAGCTGCTGCCCCCGCGACTCAGACCAGGATGAAGCGGAAGAAAACAACGACGATGACGAAATACAATGTTAAAATACTACAATGTCAATTAACGGACACTTCCATCCAAAGTGACGTACATACAAGAAAAAGAACAGCAAAAACAATTCAGAGTGCTTATCCTCTTCCACCAGTCTGAAGGCAAAATGACAGTTTCCCCGTCCTGTGTAGATACAGCAGAGGTAACACTAAACTACTGGGCAGATGGTACCAGAGAGAAAATGCAAACACCATACACTTAAGATTTGTGTTCAATAAAGGTAAGGTGTTCATGAAAAGGGCAACAATGAAGCCCAGGAACCCTAACCAAAGCACTCCCAAAATAACCATAATGGTGAAAAATGCCTTTTGCTTTGATTGGTCAACTCTCTCTTTGCCCCGCCCTTCATCCTCAGGCTTGGAGCGAATCAGAGCGCAGAGAACGGACAAGCTGCAGAAAGAAATGACGACCAAAGAGCTGACCATGATGCTCAAAAGTGCGATATTGACCGTGTGTGCACTAAACACACCTGCTGCAACCATCCACCCTAAAGAGAGCAACCAAACATATCCAATAATGACATTCCTGATCCTGACCCCACGAGCGGTCTTCAGCCCCCTGTAGGTAAGAGGATGAACAACAGCCAGGTAACGCTCCACACAGGTCAGGTCGTGAAAAAGGGTTTCTCCGCTGTAAGGGACAGTAACAAGGTTCATGCCAACTTGTACCATGATTTTGAGCCTGCTGAAATAGCCCAGAAGTGTCACAGCTGTCCCTAAAATGGTGAACAACTCCATGACAGCCAGGTGGTAGGTGAAGACGTCACAGTGGCTCTCAGCTGTCCAGGAACCCTGCTGCTTCCACCTTTGGTAAGCCAGATAGAGGATGATGAAGGTAAGAGGGGTGATGAGGGCCACTTTGAGAAGGCTGAAGGCTGCAGTATAACTCTGAAAAGCTAAATCAATTGTGCAATCGTTGTGTGACAAATTAAGAGAGGAGTTGTGGATGGATGAGGAGTTGGTCCACATTTTCTATCCTTGATGATGGACACCTGACAAAGAAAGAAAGATACTTACTTTAAATCAATTCCGTTCTTCTAATACATACACTACAGAATATAATAAACAAGCTTTCTATAACTCAAACTAAACTACAGTCAGAAACCAGAACACCAAACAGAATCATGAAGTCATGAATTTAAGTTCACACCTGGTCTGCAGACTCTTCAGGTGACCGTCTTCTCAAATCTCCAAACTGACTGACAGCTGATCACCTGTTTTTGTTCCAGATATCATACCTAAAGGTGTGGGTTAGGATGTTTAGATAAAGATGTCAAAATGATCGATGGCAGAAGGAGCTGATTTGCATGTTGTAAACCATATTTGTTTGAGCTTAAGTCAATAAATGTCAGAAGGCAAATTTTCTGTCCAATTTCCAGTCAACACAGTCACCTGTCTGCACCTGCGATACAGTGATTCCAGTGACTGAAGTGATGGATTATCCTTGTTAGAAGTTGTCCAAGTTGAATCAAAGACTCACTTTGGGTCCAGGTAAAGGTCACTGTGATTAAAGTTACCAACCAAAGTTCTCTCTGAGTCCCTTGAATGGTTACGATTAGCGGATACGGCCTATTTGGTAGCCATTCCGGAGGTGGTGGAAAATTGGGGATTATAAATGTGAATGTGAATACAACAAAATACAATCATACATCAATTTCTTTAAATTACTAAATTTTATTGTTTGTTTGTTTTTTGCAGATATTCACTCGTTTTAAATCTGAGGTTGTAACACCTTCCTAAAAAAACGGGACAGGGTCATGTTGACCTCTGTGTTGCAATCGACTTTACTTTGAACATCACTCAATTCGCATTTGGCTACTGGGGACACTTGGTAGCAATACATACAACGCTGGTAAAATCAGATACAACATGAAAAGCAGGAGTTCAGGTGGAGGTGAGTCGTAGTTTACAGAGGAAGCAGAGGGAAAAGGAGGGCTTAAACAGTTAGAGGAGTCTGTTTTGACATTAGCCGCGCTGATGCAGAAAAAATGATAAGATGGTTGATGTTGCTCAACCTCGTCCGCCAGTCTGGAGGCAAAATGACAGTTTCCCCGTCCTGTGTAGATACAGCAGAGGTAACATTAAACCACTGGGCAGATTAAAGAGGGAAGAAAACGCTAACACCATACACTTAAGATTTGTGTTCAATAAAGGTAAGGTGTTCATGAAAAGGGCAACAATGAAGCCCAGGATCCCTAACCAAAGCACTCCCAAAATAACCGTAATGGTGAAAAATGCCTTTTGCTTAGATTTGTCAACTCTGTCTTTGCCCCGCCCTTCATCCCCTGGCTTGGAGCGAATCAGAGCGCAGAGAACAGACAAGCTGCAGAAAGAAATGACGACCAAAGAGCTGACCATCATGCACAAAAGTAAGATAAAGGTTCTACTATCATTTGGTACAACGACATTAACCATCCATCCTAAAGAGACTAACCAAACACATCCAATCATGACATTCCTGATCCTGACCCCACGAGCAGTCTTCAGCCCCCTGTAGGTAAGAGGATGAACAACAGCCAGGTATCGCTCCACACAGGTCAGGTCGTGAAAAAGGGTTTCTCCGCAGTAAGGGACAGTAATAAGGTTCATGCCAACTTGCACAATGATTTTGAACCTGCTGAAATTGCCCAGAAGTGTCACAGCTGTCCCTAAAATGGTGAACAACTCCATGACAGCCAGGTGGTAGGTGAAGACGTCACAGTGGCTCTCAGCTGTCCAGGAACCCTGCTGCTTCCACCTTTGGTAAGCCAGATAGAGGATGATGAAGGTAAGAGGGGCGATGAGGGCCACTTTGAGAAGGCTGAAGGCTGTATTATAACTTTGGAAAGCGACATCAATTGTGCAATCGTTGTGTGACAAATTAAGAGAGGAGTTGTGGATGGATGAGGAGTTGGTCCACATTTTTTATCTTCGAAGATGGACACCTGACGAAAACAAAGGACACTTAATTTAAATCAAATCCGTTCTTCGAATACATACACTACCAAATATAACAAACAAACTTTCTATAACTCAAACTAAACTACAGTCAGAAACCAGAACACCAACCAGAATCATGAAGTCGTGAATGTAAGTTCCCACCTGGTCTGCAGACTCTTCAGGTGACCGTCCTCTCAAATCTCCAAACTGACTGACTGCTGATCACCTGTTTCTGTTGCAGATATCATATCAAACTCCCGATTGCATAAGGGTGTGGAATAGGATGTTTATACAAAGATGTCAAAACAGTCGATGGCAGCAGGAGCTGATTTGCATGCTGATTAACATTTTCATGATGATCAAAGTCAATAAATCTCAGAAGGCAAATTTTCTGTCCAATTCCTAGTAAACACAGTCACCTGTCTGCACCTGTGACACAGTAATTCCAGTGACTGAAGTGATGGATTATCCTTGTTAGAAGTTGTCCAAGTTGATTCAAAGATGAAGACCACTGAGATTCAGCTCTTAGAGCTAACAGGAGGGTCTCAGAATACGGGTCCTGGGGAGGCACTTGAAAGAAAGCTAAACACACCATCACCAGAGCCTGAATATGACATAGTTTTTATACCACCATGATAAGCCTTGCAACTACTCAATCCTCTGAAGATAATGTCCATCATGAGATTCTTAGTCTGATCGAGGATATGCAAATTCATATTTATTAAGCTAATGTAAAAGAAACATCTACCTATGAATATATTAAAGTGAAATGATAACAATTGAGACCATTGTTTTTCAGTTTATACCCTCTCATATCTTTCCCATACTCATCTTAACCTTGGGTGTAACAGCAAACTCTCAGTTTCCCTGTCCTCTGCAGATACAGCAGAGGTAACACCAAACTGCACGGCAAGCTAGACCAAGCGGAATATGTTTTAACAAAACACGCAACTGTGGGGCGAAGCAACTGTGAGGAGTATAAAACAAAGACAACGAGGAGCCCCATGAACCACAACCACAGCACCACCCTTGTGAATACGTCTTACAGTTCACGAAAGTAGAAAATCCACAATCTCAAATTTTGGAATATTACACCGATCCAAACAAAAAATTTAAAATCCAGAAATGTCAACCTTCTGGAAAATTCTGATCATTTCTGCATCACTGACAAGATTCTGGACTTTTCCTCAATATTCTGATATCTAAAGATTATAGATCTGTGATTTTCTTGATCTGTAAGAAAATACTTATCAAGATTCAAACAAAAAACGCTTAAAATAGTTCACTTTGTATGTCTAGAATTTTTTTAATCACTTTTCATGGATGAACATGAAGTTCTTTGGACACTCATACATCACATACAACCAATCCTGAATTCATGTTTCCCGTACCACCTTTAGCTCGACTTAAATATATTCCAAAAAAATATGAAGGTCATTTTCTGTAAACTTAAAAAAAAATAAATAAACAAATGAAACATATGAAAGTTGAATGGAGGGTTTATTATGATAAAGTATGAAAACATGTGAGACTTTTAACCCCTCGCGGTCAAATGACACTTCAGCCTTTTTTCTGTCAGCTCTCAGTAATCTGTGAGACACAGAAGAAGACCGGTGTTACTCTCGGTCTCCATCGACTGTATAATAGTGGTGATCGTCTTCTTTCAAAAGGGGGTTGGTACCTGCACTGGGAACTGATCCTGTGGGGAAACTGGAGACCTCTTTTCCTATTGTGACAAAAAATAAATAAAAATAATAGATAAAAAAAACAAATCCACAAAAGTTTTTATTATTTGGAATTCCAGAAAGTGAGACTCCGCTGTGGCAGACAGAAATTTTAAGTACAGATCAATCAATGTCTATTGTTCTAAATGTTAATTATTATTATTATCATCATTATCACTATCATCAAGTTTTTAAAAATCAAGTTGTTAAAAGAAACACGGGCAATCTGTTAACTTTTGGAAAATGGAAGAACAACTTGAGCTGTTCCTGTTTTATTTTGTAATAGTTGTTCCTCGTGTTTTTTTCCCTGGTGTCTTTTTTTTTGTTGTTGTTTTTTTAGTTAGAAATTTTTGAAGAAAGTTTTTGTCGTTTTTTTTCCATTAAGTTCTTTTAAATTAAATCCTTTTGTTTTGCATTATGGTCCTTTTCTCTTGTTCAACCCTGGACCCTGACAGTGTTAATGTTAGGACGTGTTAATGACGATCGATTTCAGCCGCCGCATTTATCAAGACCCGATCGTACGTACGCTGGGATCGGTCAGATACGAACCCTTTCATAAATTTCACGTGTGTCCTATCGTATTATGAATCCTGCGCTCAGTTCTGAACTCAGTTCTACGCAAGATTGACAAATGAGGGCCACTGACTTTACCCCCTTTGTGCATTCATATGTGATCAACCACATCTCTTAAAGAGAGAGTATTTATCAACTCTGTGGTTTGTTTGTTTGTTTTTAGTCCGTGGTTTTCTCGAGTGGTTTTCTAAAAAAGAATTTCTACGCCTCAAGTTTCTAAAATAGTTTCACATTTATCCACAAGGTCTATAAAAGAATCGATTGGTTCTCACTGTTCTGGTAATTGCAAATATAAATATAAATATCTACGTTGTGACAGTTATATTGTTTTTTTTTTTTTCTCTCGTCATCAGTTACCTCTCCTCTCCTTGGGTTTCGTGACGATAGCGTAGGCTGTCTGCACTGAGTCTTCTCTAGTGCAGCTGCACTGTCGTCTTCCTCAGACACTAAAAACACAATTTAAACACAAATTCGTTCTTAAAACTGAAATAAAAATCTGTGAAATGTAAATTAATCACTTCTGAGGTAAAGTGACTTATTTTAGGATATTTCCTGTTATGGATTGAAACACAGTTATAGAGTTTACATATAAAGGCTGTGAGAGAGTTACCTTTCTTCTTCTTCTTCTCCTTCTCTTGTCCTTTGTTGAAAGAATGCGTCATCTCCATTGAGACATCGGCACAGGCCTCTTCAAACACGCAAACATAACTCCGATCAAACACCACGTTAATGTCATGTTGAGAAACGGTTGTTAGGGCGATGTTTTGGTTAACCTTAGTGGATCACTTGAATAAGATAATGCAGACCCAAGTTTTTTCTTACTCCACACTACTTATTTACACTTTATTTTTACACGCAGAACAAACGCTACATGACCCCTAATTTCCACCGCATCCGGAATGGCTACGAAAAGGTCCTAACCTTCGATCGTAGCTGATCGTAACCATTTAAGTTAACGAGTCAAATTCCACCGACTTCAAGGGTTCTACTTTTTGTGAATTGAACGACTGCACGTGAATCCGCGGGTTCTTGTGAGTTCTCACGACTACCGCTGTCCATAGTCGCCACAAAATTTGCCTCACGAACAGATCCGGTAGGAATTGGCGGACGACAAAAAACGCAGCCGTTCCGGATGCGGTGGAAATCCCGAGTAACAATGGCTGTAGGCACGTGTTACACATGTGAATGGATAATTGTGCAAAATTAGAGACACAAATGAAGCCTTTTCATGATTCGATCCAAGAGTAGCACTTCACCGTGACGGTGGTAGAAGCGTGATAAATACATACAGTCAGTCAGTAAATGAGTGACAACATTACACTGATGCTTAACGATGTTTCATCAGCTGAAATCCTAACTCTCTGGGTTGGAGGAGGTTTGAGTTCTGACCTGTTGGTTGACATCGCGATGGTACGGACCGGACTGGGGGAGTAGAAGCTTCTCCACCTGCTGAAATACAATTAAAATGAATAAAAAGGTTGTAAAAGTTTGTAGACGAGTCTGCAGAGTCAAACGGTGTTCCTTAAAAAGAATGCCAAAAAGTTCACAGTCTAGATGGTTGTTGATTCTTTTTACCTGTACGGCATTTTCTACATCGGTGAAATCCCACCAGCAGCAGCGAAATCGCGAGGAAAACACAGACACCCATACAAATCTGCAGCAGAAACAGGTACTGTTGGGGGAGAGTTGGATCCTCAGAATCCTTGTTACCCTCTCGAGGTCCTGGGGAGACAGCGGTGTGTGTTGCTAATATGAAATCAGTGTCTCAAATCTGTGAGTTTGGATATTTTATCCAAACACTGTTGTCTCACCTCTGACTTTTAGCCAGCTCTCTGGAGACTCTCCGGCCTCAGAGATGCTGCATTTGTAGAGTCCTTCATTCGATCTGGAGACGCTGTGGATGGTCATGGTTCCTGTAGAGCTGCTGTCCATCAGGAGGCCGTCTTTGAAGAACTGTGAGGTGAAGTTGGAGGACAACAGCTTGTTTCTGCAGGTTAGGGTCACATTGTCTCCTTCCACGACAGGAAGGACAGGAATCTCCAGAATCACAGGTCCAGCTGTAAAAATAAAGTTTAAACATGTTAGGGTGGATTAGTTTAACTAGAATTGTGACGCTACAATCGCCCCTGATGCTAACGTGGTGGGTGATATCTGAAGTTATTGTCGAAGACTGTCTGCGCAGATCTAAAACCTGAGACTCCAAAGGTTTATCTGAATGTTTTAAATATCGTACCACTGACGGTGATGTTGACCGAGTTACTCCTCTGCGCTCCGATTTCACACCAGTACTCTCCGCTGTCGAAGGATGGAACAGCATTTTGGATTTCGCAGGGACCCGTAGACGTCTCCCACTCACCAGAACAGGTCTGAATGATTCTTTTAACCCTCTTCATGACTCTCCATTCACTCGACCCCATCAGCCCCTCACAGCTGATTTCTATTGGCTCATATTCAAAGAACTGCTGTTGGTTCGGGTCAACCCGAGGGAAAGCTCCATCTGAAACACGGACACGACACGTTTTAGCATCAAATGTTGATGACTCTTAAAATAATCAATGAAAACTGAATTTTATGAATCTTTTATTTCTGTTTTTGAGTGTTTGACTGACTTACTGGTTTTTACAGAGTAAATGTCCTCGACCAGCAGGAACAACAGGGTCAATACTGCAGAGGATACGGAGCAGAGATGTTAAAAACAACTTCAGTATTGACATTTTACTTTATTATCAAAGTTTCAGTTCTTTCGTGAAAAATTAATCTTTTCAATAAAGTAGATACAGGTTCATGAGAATGACGGTTTAAAAGCAGGTTATTATCAGACCAGATTAAATAGTCGTTCTGTTTGCTGACAGGTTGTGTTATCATTAATACTTATATATCTTATTTTCTTCTCTGTTCACTTTCTACTTTTTTGTAATTATAAGATGAAGTCTGTACTCACTCAGCCTGATACAGAGAACTGTGACTTCCATGTCGTCTTGCTGCTGACTGAACATCAGACTAAATTTAAAATACTTTCAAGCATGTCAGTTCCTGTTCCCCCACTTCCTGTTCCTCTGCTGCGGACAGGTTTGGGGTCTCTAAGACCCATATTTAATCTGAGACACATGTCTGAAATACAGATGGCGCCAGAGGGTCAGATTTAGAAGAAGACTGAAGCAGTACATCGGTGGATTCCTCCAGTGATATACTAATATTTATAACCTTTACAAACAGAGTAAGACTTTACATTGAAGCAGGTAACAAGATGGTCATAGTCGGATAATAAACTGATAAATGACAATAAATTATACATACGGCGCAATTTGACCAAAAAAGACAAAATACTCTAAGTCCTGATTTAACAAAGCCTCCGTATATGACAGCCTTTAAAGAGACACCCTGAAGACAGATTAACAAACAAGTATTTTTAAGGTTTTACCACTGACACACTTTCCTGACATTTATCTAGACCTCCTCTTTATAGCGGGTCAAACTCTGTCTCAGTCATTTGATCAGGTCACTTATTGACAGACTGAGAGAAAACGAAAGTACAACACAAGGACACAAGGACACACACACGTTTATTATCAGTACACTTAACCTTCAGTGTCTCATTTAGAAGAACTTACTCTGATATGTTAGTTAGACGTTTGACTCAAAAGTGTTTCTTACCAGGTTGATGTGTTTTTGTTTTTGTTTGTTTTCTACAGTTAAACTTATTTTATGAATTTTGAACTTTATCAGTTCTAACACAATAAACAGACAGATGTAAATGTGTAATTTTTGCACTGAGAACAATAAAAAGTCATAAAGTCTGAGCTTTTGTTTGCCGCAGTTGGTGGGTGTCAGTACAAATGGTTTAATGTTTTATCAGTTTATGTCTGGACTTTGACCCAGCCCTTATTTCCTGTAACTCTACAGCAGCTCTGAGACACGGTCAGCAGGTACGTCCAGTTTTTACATGTAGAAACTTATCATAGATCATTTAAGACCGAATACGTCCAAACTTCTGCCTCGGATAACGATCTTTGAACTTTTTTTTTAGCACCAATTGATTTTATTTCATTTACAGAAATCCAGGATGATTTCCATGAAGTACAGAGTCGTGAATCTTCACCTCAGTGATTTCAGGACATCGATCATGCACTTAACTCTGCTTCTCCTAATGTCGTGTTGTGGAGGTAAGTGATGAACAAAACTCAACAAAAACCTCGATCGTAGGTTAGATTAAGATTGAAAAATATACCCTACAACTTTTTATTTGGATGTTTTATCGCAATTCTCTTCAACTGACCAAATGTTGTTTGTGGAAATAATGACAAAGTACGTCATCAGACTAGAACATTTCATTCATTCATTCATTGGGGGATCTGGGAAAGTGCCGGGGGTTTACGCACAAGACAACGTGGCAGGGAGACCGAAGTGAAGAGATAGGCTGAGTGGACCAGTGGGTGGCACTCTTCAGGGTTGACCTAACTTTGTAAATGATTGCTGACAGTATCTAAGAATAACTGAGGTGTAGGTAAGCCGTCTTCACCAGACATTTATCTGGCATTTAGTCTGAGGAACCGCAGGTTTAAATCAGGGCCGTGATCTGGTTGTCTCTGATTCAGTTTGACCATGTGCCTCCTGGTCTGACAATGAGTTGCATTTCCCGAGAGCATCATGGAGCAGCACTGCCGAGGTTAAATACAGGTTCACTTTTTTTCTACTTGACCTCTGACCTGTGGACTCCTGGTGTGGTTCAGTTCATGTAGTTAAGTCATACACAATCTGGAATCAATCCACAGTGTTTTATCCTGAAAGGAAACCATGTTTTAAAACTGTTTTGGACTCAGACTCCCTGTGTCCTCGATCGACCCCATGCTGGTTCGTTAGAAAATAAAAGTCTTGAACATCTGCTGTGACGGGAAGCTGGGTGCCACACAGGAGCAGGATGTTCTTGTGTTAAATTCACATGTACCTACATACATCTGCGGTTGCGTCACATTAGCAGACTCATGGTACAAGTATCTGCCAGTCCTTGTCACCCCAACTTGTAAACATTTGGACTTGCAGTTCTGTCCAAATCTCAACAATACCAGCATGGACCACAACAACCGGTGTTGTGGTCCAGAGTTTGGTACCTTTACTTCCCCATTCAACTAGACAGAACGAGGAGGAAAAAGTGTGAATTCTGACTAAAACCTGGTTGTGGTCTTTCCCTTAGGTGACTCTCAGGCAGCTGCTCCATCCAAACAAACAGTGGCAATGCTCGGGGACGATGTTGTTCTACCCTGTCACCTTGTGTCTGCTGGGAATGCTGCTGACCTGACCGTGGAGTGGGCAAGGCCTGACCTAGACCCAAGGTTTGTCCTCTTCAGACGAGGAGGCATAGAGCTCCAGCATGAGAAACATCCGACATACAAGGGGAGAACATCGCTGTCTGAAGACAAACTGAAGTGTGGAGACCTTTCACTGAAACTCTCCGGAGCGAAGCTCTCTGATTCAGGAACATACAGATGCCTCGTTCCCACAACCGACACTGACTCTACAATTCAGCTGACTGTAGGTAAGTTCACATACTGACACAGTCCATTACACTAACCCCCAATGTCCACCACATCTGCTGCAAAAAAGCCGTATGCGCCGATCGTCTCTGATCATTTCCATTCAAGTTAATGTGTCAATTTTCACCGGCTTCTTTCCATCAGCGAACTCCACAGCTGATCGCAAGAGTCCTATTTTTTCCGGACGCCAGAGCATGCCATATAAATTAAGCACGGATTAGTCCGTTCATTAATTTCAGAGTAAACTCATTCTCTTGCTTAACAGGTTATTCTGGTTTACCAACCTTGTAGGGTCGTGTACCTTGTCTGGGAAAATCCGTGTCTGTGCAAATAAAGAGTCACCCCCAATTTCCACCGAAACGGCAGCGATTATCACTGTCCGCCAATTCCTACCAGATAAATTTGTGAGGCAAATTTCGTAGCGGATTAGTGGGAATCGCGAGAACAAGAACAAGAACCCACTGATTCACATGCAAACACGGGAGAAAGAGTTTACTCTGAAATTAATGAATGGATTTGTATGACAAAGAAGAGACACTACTGTGGAGACGTTGGGCACCAGAGTGAGACGATATTGGGTTATGACAAAGCAAGGTATTTGAAAAGCAAGAATAGAAATATGTTGGCACAGAAAGTGTTCGAACAAGAGCTGCATCTATGCACAAGACATCTATGCACTTGAGAAGGACTCCAGGGATTGAGACTGACCAAGTAGTACATCAAATGTCATATCTAAGACAACCTCTCTCCTCTTCTCAGGTTCGGTCTCCTCACCTTTCATACATATGTCTTCAGTCGGCAACCGAGTCTTGTTAGACTGTAAGTCCAAGGCCTGGTATCCTGAGCCAGAGGTTTTGTGGTTGGATGAGGAATCCAAACCTCTCTCTGCTGGATCTACGAAGTCTGTCAAAGGTCCTGATGGTCTCTATACTGTCAGCAGCAAATTGACTGTGGACCACACACATGGCAACAGCTTCACCTGTAGAGTCCAACAGAGGAACATCAACCAGACCAGAGAGGCACAGGTCCATGTCCCAGGTAAAGAGGTGGTTCATGAGGTATTTTAGTCTTGACTTGGTGATTTCCTGTTTCTCCTTGAATCGTCAGTTTGTCATGATCTTTATTTCAGATGAACTCCTCATGACCCAGTCCAAATCTGCTGTTCGTATCTCCATCATCGTGGTCATCTGTGTCCTGTCCATCGCTGCTGTTGTTCTTCTTCTATGGAAATGGGGACCAAACAAGAGTGAGTTGAATCAAGTTCTGCTTCAGTATCAGTTTTGTTTTCAGGTAAGAGAGGACAGCAAAACTTCTTGAACGGAGCTTTGCTGTCACCAAACTTTTGCCCCATTGTTCTGAACCCTGTTCTCCATATATGCTGTAGGAGATAAGATCCATGATGGTGAAGTCATGAGGATGTCATTCGGAAATGTTCTGGAGCTTCAGCCTCTGATGGGTGGAGGAGGAGATAGACTTCAGTCCGTGACAGTCCATGAGAAGATAAAGTATTTAGACAGTACAAAGGCTAAACTTGAGGAGGAGTTAGGAAAGACTGAGGGGGAACTGAGACATGTAGAAGAGGTGATTACTAAACTGATGGACCAGAAGAAGGATCTGAAGAGCCAAAGAGAGAAAATCATCTTACTACAGCAGACAGACATGGTGAAGATAGCGGAGAACGAGAAGAAACTGAAGACACCCCCAAAAACAGGCAAAGAGCACAAAAAGAAAAAGCGTGAAGATGCCAGCAAAGATCTGGCAAAGAGAAAGAAAACACATGATGATATGTTAAAGGAAACAGAGAAACTACTGGAGAAAACTGATGATATGATCACGACCATGACTGAGAGGAAGGGCAAACTGGAGAAAGACAAAGAGCAGATCAGTAAATACTTGACCGAGACAGAGAGACAAAGAGGAGAGGCTGAGAGCAAGTCAGAGGAGCTGAAGAAACATCAGGCTGAAAATGAACCTCAATCAGAGGAGCAGAAGAAACCTCAGGCCGAAAACGAACCTCAACCAGAGGAACCAGATGAAGAAGACAAACAGTTCCATCATCCGAGAACAATGACTGACTGAGTTACCAAATATTCTTTATCACACTCAGAAGGTGTTTTGTATTATTTGTGATTCACAAAGTCAATAGTTTTGTAGATCCTACCTTTGTCCTCTTTTAAAACATCTGACCACCTTTGTCCTCCTGGTTATATATGGAAACATCAAGTTATGACAAAGAATATGAAAATTCTCAATATCTATCTATTATTTGTTCCCATTTAAAGTTGTTATTTTTTAGCTTTTTCATTCTACATAATTTACTGTATTTCACCTGATCAGTTTTTAAATTGATGTTGATCCGACTTTCTCAGGAATACTTTGGAGTGTGTTTGATGCAGTGATACAGAATGATTCAGAAATTTATTTAAACCCTGATTCTTTTTTATATTTACCTTTTTGATGCCAGTAAACATATTTAAAAATATATTACATTTATGGTGTTCATTCACAAATGAGTTGTTGTGTTGAGCCATAAACAGTTTTTTTCTGAAATGTAACATTAGCTAAAAGCTGAAACTGTATAAAAATCTCCCAACTCTTCCATGTTTAAGTTTTTGCTAGACTTTATTTCTTAAAAATGTTTTTTATTAATAAATACACTTCATTTTTAAAAGTGTTTGTTTCATTTTGACTCTTTTAAATGAAAATGAATGAATGAATGATTTTATTTCGATATAATATGACCGAAAGGGTGTAGGCTGAAGCAATGCTTATAAAGATCCTCCCCTTATACCATACATGGAGTACATTATACAGATACACTCTCTTTATAAAATATCAACACTTCAATTCACTCTTCAAATCAGATAGAGTAATGAACATGCTTTACATGTTACATTCATAATCAGACAATATTAAGAAATAACATTATTCTTGTACAGTCTCTTAAAGCTTACCAGAGTACTACAATTTTCTAATTTCTACCGGGCAGTCGTTTCATCGACACACAAAATTTTTGACATTTGTTCGCACTTTTGGTTTCTGAAATAATCCTCAGCCTCTTAGGTTGTAATTAGAGTCCTTCAGTTTAAACAGGTTCAGGACATGTTGCAGTAAGATTAGGTTTTTGTCTTTGTACATGATTTGTACAGTGATGTAATCTACTAGGTCTTTGAATTTTAACAAATTTAAGGAAGTACATCAGGGATGAGTTGATTCACAGTAATGTTTATTGCAGATGACTCTTACGGCTCGCTTTTGTAAAAGAAATACTGGGTTTGTATTTGTTTTTTAAGTGTTTCCCCAAATCTTAATGCGCTGACTATGTTGTCTTTTTGTTTGATCAGCTTTTTAAGTTATCTCACCTCATTTATCAGGTCAAGCTGTTCAGCCTGCTTCTTGGCCACAACACTGACTTCCCCGGTCAGAAAGTTCAACGACAGCTTGATCTCTTCCACATCTTCTGAGTTCCCTACCTTCTCTGGTGGCTTGATGCCGGCGTCGTCTGTCACTCTGCTGCGGGTCCGGTGTTGTTTGCCGCCGCCGCCCTGGTGATGTTAGCTACCGCCGGTCGGTTGATGTTAGCCGCCGCCGGCCGGGTGATGTTAGCTACTACCGGCCTGGCAATGTAAGCCACTGCCGGCCAGATGATGTAAGCTACTTCCGGTCGGGTGATATTAGCTGCCGCCGGCCAGGTAACGTTAGCCGCCGCCGTCCGGGTGATATTAGCCACGGCCGGCCAGCTAATGTTAGCCGCCGCTGGCCACGTGATATAAGCCACCGCCGGCCGGGTGTTATTACCTGCCGCCGGCCGGGTAATGTTTGCTGCGTCGGCCGGGTTGTCTGCTGCGGACCCGGTGATGTTAGCCGCCGCCGCCGGGCCTACCTCCGCAGGCCTGCTGAAGTTAGCCCCCGCAATGTTCAAATGTTCAACTTTCAGATATAAACTACACAGACATTTGAACACTGCATGTAAATTAGTTAAAAAGTGAAGTTGGAGGTAAGTTAACACAAAAATAAAGATCTATAATCACTTCTTTTTAAAAATACAGTTATGAACTGGTATATACAGTATCTGTGTTCAAACGAACCAGAGGAATCAAAGTTGGAATTATACACACTTATGAAAACCATTTGGAATTTTCAGTTTAGCAGCTTCCTTATTCAAAAATCTGTGTAACTGTGTCTCTGATATGGTAGAGTAGAGGTTTTCTTTGTGGATCAGTAAAGTTCTTGTATTATATTATAATGAGCAGCAGTGATAGGACCAGTGTTAAAATGTGAAAACAGTCTCAGGTGATAATGTGAGGGATAATCTGATGATATATACACTTTCTTTTTGAAAAGCGTTAAAAATATATAATCTTTCTGCTGTACTCACAAGAGTGATCAGATAACTATCCCTGTATTCCACCATAATTTATTGCAGGGTATAGAGATGGTCACCATTTAGTAAATCATTATACTGAGGGAGTGTCTGGAGACATTTGATTACACTATGATTGTATCCTTGAGTCTCTTCGGTCACAGCCTTCGACTCTCTGCAGAGTGGAAACAGAATCTCAGCAGGTTTGTTGGATTTTTTAATTTAATCATCTTCTTTGCTTTTCCTTCTCATAGTTAACTTCATCTCTGTCTTTCATAAATCTGTAAATAAACAAAGACTAATGTTTTTAAAAAAACCCTTTCTGACTGTGACCAGTCTTTGCTGCCACCTGTCTGAACTTTACACTTTTGTACTCTCTCCTGAGGACAGACTTAAAATCTGTGTTTGTGAAAATATTCTGAAATTTCAACTTTGACTAAGATTCAAAACCGTCATTGTTCAGTCATAATCAAACAATTTATGTGAATTCATTTCTTCAACAAAACACTTTTCTCTTTGTACTTTGCTATCTTGTAATTTATGGTCCCACTTGAATGATTCAACAGGATTTATTATGGGGTACTTATACTTATCAGGTTGTTTATTTCTAACTACAAAGCTCCTAAAGTTCAGTTTCATTATCACGACTACTTTACAAATGTTGTCATGTTCAGACAGGATGTTTCACACCACGGATGGACTTAAACTGACCCCCAGTGCCCTCTGGGTTTACTTTGTCCACATCATGTTGTTGCTTCTGCTACCTCACTGCTGTCAAGGTAACTCCACTGTATGTTTATTGATACGTTTATCAAGTAGGACAGAATCCTGATCACTTCCTTCATTAGTTTAAGAGCCGTAAATGAACATCTCAATTAAAGCTCAGCTTCAACGATTGTGTCTGATGGTTGAATCAGTTCCTGATTCCAAATCTTAAAGAAGTGGATTTCTTTTGTCCTACCTTTCTTAACTTCACAGTTTCTTCCCAGGTACCATACAGGTCATCGGTTCACCTCAGCCAATAGTGGCAAAGGTTTGTGATGACATTATTTTGCCGTGTCACCTTAAACCTGCCGTGGACGCTTCTTCCCAAACCGTGGAGTGGACGAGACAAGACCTGAATCCTAGATTTGTTCATGTGAGGTGATCTGGTGAAGAACTTCTGGATGATCAACATCCATCCTTTGTTGGGAGAACGTCTCTGTTCATCAAAGAGCTGAAGTACGGAAACATTTCACTGAAACTCTCCAACGTGAAGGTGTCTGACGCCTGGTTCACACTGGAAGCGCCGCGCGCGGAACGGAAGCGCCGCGCACAGAGTTTCAGATCGGCGCCCATGTTAACCTATGAGACTGTTTACACTGCACGCGCGTGGAAGCGCCGCGCGCGGAACGGCTCGCGCTCTGGAGCGCGGGTGCTCCGCTTCTCTCTATTTTCGGCGCGAGCCGCGAGCGCCGATGTAAAGCTCAACAGAGCAGATCGGACCAGACAGGAAGTCAGGAAGGAGATGCGCGAGGATCCGGTCAATTTTCAAAATAAAGTAAATTTCAATAAATTAGAAAAGGATTTACGGTGTTGCTTGTCAGTCTATTTTTTTTTTACCGATGAACACACACACACACACACACACACACACACACACACACGGAGGGAGAGCTGCAGAGATTCAGTGATGTTATTGAGACAAAGAGGGGGGGGACTTTATTACGATACAGTCAATAGCCTCGAGCTAACAAGGCTATACATACAACGGAGTCAACAGACTCCCCAATTTATTCGTCGTTTACCCCTATATAATAATTTAAAACATTACTTGAAGATGCTGTCAATATTTAATTCATGTATGACGAAATAAAAACGTAAATAAATAGTGATTTACCCATTTCTAAAGCGCTCGTAAGTGTGGAAAACTGAGGGCAGACGGAAACGGCCGAGCACTACCGGGCTCAGTCGATGTCTGACCGGCATGTCAGAGCGCAGCAGAAAGCGCTTCCTGTGTGAACAGCCAAGCGCGAGCCGGCGCTGCGCGCGCGCGCGGCGCTTCCGTTCCGCGCGCGGCGCTTCCTGTGTGAACCAGGCGTGACAGAGGAACCTACAGGTGCTTCATTCCCATAGTTGGAATAGATTCAACTGTTGAGCTTCTCGTGGGTAAGAGGACATTTCTTCATTTTAGTGTTCATTTATCAACATAAAAACTTTAAAGTACACAGTCACTGTGAGGGTTGTGATACTCAGCATGGTTCTGTCTATTAGACTTTGATGACTAAAATAAAGACATGGTTATTGTAATACTCCAAACTTCACTCTGGAAAAAAGGACATTAATACTGTCAGTTTATCACACACTTGACAACCATTATTTATAAGACTCTAAACTTTGATGCCAACACTGGCACTGTCTGTTAAAAGGTCCAGCTGAACCTGAACTTCAGTGTTAATGGTTCAGTGAGTGTTTTACTGACCCTGGCCTTTACGGCTCCTGTGGAAACATGGCAGTATGTTTGAAAGGGAACCTGCATCTGTGTAGATGTATATGAGTCATTAAAGATTAATAAAACAAAAAAAAAAGTTTGTTAACAGGCAACAATACAGTAAACCTGCTGTGGATCACCTTGGAACAAAGAGTTACCGGGCATGTAACCTTGTTCAGGTGACACAGTGTAAACTGGGGTATCAAGACTTACATTCCTTCAGTGGAAATGAGTGTGGATTTAGTTTGATAATAACTGTCATGAACCGAGGCACAGAGAGGAGGACTCAGTTGCACAATATCGTATCAGTTTGTTCAAAAGACGAGGGTTTATTGAAAAACAAGTAAAGGTCGGTACACAAAAGGCAGTCAGGTCAGGCAGAGGCATCCAAAAACACAAGGCAAAATGCAAGGTCTGAATTAGACAGGCAAAGGTTATACAGGGCTTGACAAAGACTATGGATAATGCTGGAATGAGACTATGAAGTGCAACATACTGGTGATGAGACAGTGAGACACACAATGTTAGATATAAGAGGTAATGAGGGTGATGGGAAACAGGTGGGGAGACACAATCGGGCCACTCAGGTATTCTTAGTGGGTGGATGAGAAGTCCAAAACTCTCTCTCTTTATTATGATCCTCATTTCAGATGAACTCCTCATGACCAAGTCCAGTTATGTTCGTATCTCCATCACTGTGGCCGTCTGTGTCCTGTCTATCACTGTTGCTCTTCTTCTGTGGAAATGTGGACCAAACAAGAGTGAGTTGAAATTAGTTCTTACTCATTTACCTGCTTCAGCATCAGTTTTGTTTTCAGGAAAGTGGGGAGAAGGGCTCCAAGTCACCCAATGAGATCTTGACTTCTATGTCAGACAATATTTGTTATGGGTATTATCCAGTCTGTATGATGGTCACTTGCTAACTAAATGCCTCATGATCTGAACCAGAAAGTATTGAAGGATAATTGTACCTTTTCAGTCTTTAAACAGATCTCTGCTGTCACTAAACCTCTGCTCCATTACACTGAACCCTGTTCTTCATGCTGTAGGAGATAAGAAGATCCATGATGGTGAAGCCATGTGGATGTCATCATTTGGAAATGTTCTGGAGCTTCAGCCTCTGATGGGTGGAGGAGGAGACGGACTTCAGTCCGTGACAGTCCATGAGAAGATAAAGTATTTAGACAGTACAAAGGCTAAACTGGAGGAGGAGTTAGGAAAGACTGAGGGGGAACTGAAACATGTAGAAGAGGTGATTACTAAACTGGTGGACCAGAAGAAGGATCTGAAGAACCAAAGAGAGAAAATCATCTCACTACAGCAGAATGACATGGTGAAGATAGAGGAGAACAAGAAGAAACTGAAGACAACCCCAAAAACGGGCAAAGATCACAAAAAGAAAAAGCTTGAAGATGCCAGAGAAGATCTGGCAAAGAGAAAGAAAACACATGATGAACTGTTAAAGGAAACAGAGAAACTACTGGAGAAAACTGATGATATGATCACGACCATGACTGAGAGGAAGGGCAAACTGGAGAAAGACAAAGAGCAGATCAGTAAATATTTGAAGGAGACAGAGAGACAAAGAGGAGAGGCTGAGAAGAAACATCAGGATGAAAACGAACCTCAATCAGAGGAAACAGATGGAGAAGACAGAGGAGACCCAACCTCTGTTTTAGAACAATGACTGACTAAGTTATCAAATATTCTTTATTACACTCAGAAAGTATTCTTTCTATAATTTGTGATTCACAAAGTCAAGAGTTTCATAGATCCTACCTTTGTTATCCTTTTAAAGATCTGAACACATTTGTCCTCCTGTTTACATACGGAAACATCAACTTATGACAAAGAACATGAGAATTCTCATTTTCTCTTTTTTATTCTCATTTAAAGTTGTTATTTTTTAGCTTCTTCATTCTACATTATTTACTGTATTTCACCTGTTTTTAAATTTCTGTTGATCCGACTTTCTCAGAAATACTTTGGTGTATATTTGATTCAATGATACAGAATGATTCAGAAATTTTATTTGTATAAAACTGATTTTTTGTCAATTAATTTTTAGATATCAGTGAACATATTTTTAAAATATATTTTAGATTCATGTTGTTCATTAACATTTTCCCAGAATGCCTTTGTCTTCATCAAATGAGTTGCTGTGTTGAACTACAAACAGTTTTTTTGAAATGTGACATTAGCTAAAAGCTGAAACTGTAAAAACCTCCATGAACACTTCGATGTTTATGTTTTTTTGAGACTTTATTTCTTTAAAATGTCTTTTTTATTAATAAATACACTTCATTTTTAAAAGTGTTTGTTTCATTATGACTCTTTAAATGTTCAACTTTCAGACATAAACTAAACAGACATTTGATAACTGCATGTAAAGGAATATAAAAGTGTAGTCGGAGGTAAGTCAACACAAAAATAAAGATCTACACTAACTTCTATTATCATTGTTCTTTTTTAAATACAGTAATAAACTGTTAAACTGAGTATATACAGTATCTGTGTTAAAAAAAAACAGAAAAATCAAAGTTGGAATTATAGGTACTTATGAAAACAACAGAATTTTCTGTTTAACAGCTTCCTTATTCAAAAATCTGTGTAACTGTGTCTCTCCTATAGGAGAAAAGAAGTTTTCTTTGTAGAAAACAGTTAAGTTCTTGTATTATATTAGAATAAGCAGCAGTGAAAGGATGAAAATGTGAAGGATGATCTGATGATATCAAATCAAATCAAACTTTATTTATATAGCACTTTTCAGGCAAAAAGAAATGCAGCACAAAGTGCTTTACAATTCAAAACAATGAGCCCCTCCATATCCACCCCCCCCCCCCCCCCCACCAACCCTCACACACACACACACACACATGCACAGATAATGCAATCTTTAAAGCGTGTGGCTGAGTACAGAGGAGCCAGGTCAGAAAACATCAGGAGGCCGACTGCTCATGGCCCAGGGCCAGGACACCTCCACCCGGGCATGCACCCCACCACAGGCCAGTAAGGGGCCCACAGCAGCAAAGATTGCTGCAGACCACCACCTGGCCGAGCTGAGCGCACACCACAAGGCAGAGAAACCCTAGACAGAGCCAGTCACAGCCTCCAGTGCAGGTGGCCCCCCCCTACTGAGGAAACACCGGAGAAACAGATAAAAACATAAAAACATAGACTAAATCAGCTAAAAACATCAAACTAGATAAAATTATAAAATACTGATTAATAACTAAAATACCATTTAAAAATAAGTAAATAAATATAATAAACATAACATGTAAAATGAGGACTAAAATATATAAATGAAATAAAATAAGCGGCCCTCAGTTCCTCCAGCAGGTTATTCCAAAGACGGGGACCATAGTGCTGGAAAGATGCCTCACCGTAAGTTCGTGTTCTGACTTTGAGTATTATTAAAAGACCAGTGCCAGAGGATCTCAGGGTCTGCGGGGGTTCATATTGTAAAAGCAGTTC